GTATATATATATAATGGGTTTGACTTCTTTACAATGGGTTTGAGTCAAATAACATGATTTGAAGTACTTTTTTTACATTACATTATTTCGAAAAACTAAGGATTTCATTATACTATTTAAGAATCCTAAGGACTTGATCCTATGGATATGTAAAATATAGGATTTTCAATCTTTGCAGGATTGTTATTGTAACATATAGAGCTGTATTAGCTTCCTATTACAAGGATGTTAACCTTATCATACTCACCGGAGTAGAATAAATTGTAAAATATGATTTGTGTTTTTATTATTCTAGTTGATGGGTATAATTGTTATGTAGATTTATTTACTTGCAAAATAAATATTTCTATAAAGCTTATAGATTTAAGGTATATATATTTATAGAATTGGATAAATGTTCTAAAAATTAAAAAAATATATTTTTATCAAAAGCTAAATATAGGTTTGCTATCAAATTAAGAAACAATAAGTAGGAAGTTAAATGTCGTCAAGATGATGTTAAAATTGATGTATTTGAGTAAATGAAGAGAAAAATAAATTTGCTAAGTTTATTGCTCTATAGCACCTTCATGACTCTTCACTAGCACCTTCATTTTAAGTCAAATTAGATAAGTATAAGTTTAATTTATTATAAAATAAGAATATTATATATTGTGTGCATTTATAATATATGTTTGAAAGTACATTGTGAATTAATATATGCATTACATAAGCATGAAAATATATAAATTACAATGAAAATATATCGTATACATGTATATGTGTAATAACGTGTCGTATGAAGATGTATATATTTATCCATGATATGCAGTGTGAGAGTGTATATTATGATATGTGATGTGAAAGTGTATATATTTACTATGACATAAGATATGGGAGTGCATGAATATATTATAATGTGTGCTACATATACATATTACAATATGTAGTATATTACAATATGTAGTGTAACAATACATATATAAGCTATGATGTATAGTGTGGAAGTACATATTATGATATATGGTGAGGGAATATATATATATATATATATATATATATATATATATATATATATATATATATATATATCCAAGCATGAATCCTAAGTTATCCAACATGTCGTTGGTTCATCCGATACTTTGTTCGATCTTTTGGTGCATCGTCCTCTCTTTCAGTGTATTGCCGAATCGGCATGTTAACCTTTACAATATCTGATCTCCTTGGCGCAATGTCCGATCCTTCGGCCCGATAGCCGAACTCATGGCACGAAGTCCTTATGTCGGTACATCGACCGATCCTTCGGCTCGACATCTAATCTCCTGATATGTTTCATTTCGACCCAACATCTTATTGCTCCTGCTTTAATCAATTTGCTCTTTCTAATCGAAGTTAGTCATGTGTCATTCAAAACATAGATTAGATCGTAAACTCATTTATAATTTTGTTGATATATTATACTTTCTATTCTTTCACATATGCATTTTGAGTTATTTTGACTTAAAATTTTACATTTGTTATGTCACTGTATTATACTTGTAAAAGAAGTTATAAGATGACATATTTACTATTAAATATTTTATACATGTAATTTTGAAATATTACATACACATACGATAGATGAGGCTTATATTTATTGAGTTATTACTCAACATAGACTCTATTTTGCAAGTAGGTACATTAGTACACATGATATGGGGTGAAGAAATTTGTGGATATGTTATACTTTTTATTCTTTCTCATGTGCATTTTGAGTTATATTGTTATACTTGCTAAGTCTTAAGATAATGTATTTATCACTAAATATTTTATACATATCATTTCAAAATACTGTATATATGATACGATATAAGCTTACGTAAATAAAATTATAAAAGAATATACTTACGTAAATCTTATTTTGTAGGTAGGGACACTAGTTACCCAACCCAAATGATGAGTAGGGAGGTGAGGAGAGGCGAGCCCACTATAAACATTTTTGTATATATAAATTTTAGATATGATATGCATTGGTGTTTATATTTTGACTAGATGTTTAGAGCTATATACTGGTGTCAAATATCATTATGTACAAGAAATCTTATTATTTTATTTAATAATATATTTTAAAATTATCTATCTTTTCACTATACTCTTAGCAATAGTAAACTAAAATGTGACATTCTATCTTAGTCATATACACGTACGTTATACATGAAGCTCGAGTAGAGTATTACAAAAGTGGAGGAGGAAGACACGATAATACCGACGACAAGATCAATGACATGCATAGATTCCGACAATTGCCACCATGGAACAGTTTTCATGGCAGATCATCCTTTCATGTTTGCCATCAGAGATGAGGTGGATGGCACGTGTTAGTGAAAAAATGCGTTGTGGTTGGTGAGTCAGTACGGCCTAATCCACGGGTCGATGTCAGGAGCTTTCTGCATGGTGATTCGGATAATGAGGTACCCGAGCTCTCGGGAAGGGGTGCTGGTTAGCGTTGGTTGGAATCGGGGTTGATCAACGAATTCCTTGGTGTCGGGCAGATCGTGCTTCCGTGTCGAGTCCTTCACCGTCGATGAGTGGTCATCCTCCTGCACAAATGGCTTCTGTCGGGTGGTACCCGGTCGTGGCCCCTTCGACGAGCAAGTTAGTAACGAGTGGGATTGCTTTTTCCCTCCTTTTTGCCCCCCTTGGTCAGAGGCTGGCTAGGGGTTTTATACCTTGGCGAGAGGACTGAGGGCGCATCGATTTGGCGTCATCGTTGGTCCCCGAGGGATGAGACGACCCTTCTGACTGGCCGTCGTGTCGGGGCATGTAGTGCAGCGTCAGACGGCACCACCCTAAGCTCCTGAGATAGGACGTGTGGTATATCTTTTTGGTACGAGCTCCCAGGACGAGATGTGTGGCGTGGGGCTCTGACTTGACGTTTGTGTCGGCTGTGACGTGTTCAGACTGCCAAAATATACCGGTGTCATTGTTTAAACACGTGGCTAATCCTTTGCAAGTTGACTGACCATGGAGTTATCGAAGAAACTCTTTCGTAAAGCAGAGTATTTATTATTGTTGCATATAGATAAATTTAGAAGTAAATATTTTGGATCAATAATTTAGGTTTAATAGTTAATAGATTAACGATCACATGAAACGGATTACCTTCTCCAATTATGTCCAATTTTGGATCAACCATAGGTTCAAAACCCTTGTGCTAAACATTAGTCCAAAATCATGCATAAAGTCAATTCCAATATGCATGATGCACCACAATTTTGACTCTGATAAATATCAATTTGGTATGCTTCACAACTTGGATTATTGTGAGCAGCCAACACAATCCAATAATATACATATAAAATATAATAATGACCAAACTTCAATCAGCAACAAAAAAACACAAGAGAAAGAGAAGAGTTCTTCGAGGACAGGGTAGGGTTCATGTAAAGCCTGACCGATCTCATGCACATCAGTGCCCACGAGTTGGTTCTTCACCTCACAGAAGGTCCGAGGTGGAGAGAAGGGCACGCATGCACGCACGCATGCGCGCAAAAGGTTCTCATAGAGCTCGGCCTTTGACAATGTCGATGCTCATCTCACTGGGGTCTGTTGCTTGCAGCTCCACCTGGATCCCATCGAGCTCCCTCTTGAACCTGTCCTTGGAGCTTGCATACAGCATCTTGCTCCTCACCCTTGCGGCATCGGGTGACCTGTGCGGGAAGAACACAGCCAAAGTAGTAGCAGATGCACTTGTTTCTTCCTAGGAGTTCCAGGGAACTGAAGGGGATGATGAACACACGCACACACACACACTCTCTCTCTCTCTCTCAAAGATAGAAAAGCTTGTTACCACTAATGACTCTTAGTAGTCATTTTCCACTTCCAAGGAGTTCTAGAAGAAGTTCTTTTGAAGACAATCCACTTAACATATTAACATGGTGCAAATAATTTAGCAAGTATAATGATCAAGAGAACATAAAACTTGTCTGATGAATCTTCTCTCAAGCAAAAACTAGAAAGCTAATCCAACCAGTGTTAACATAATGTTGTTGCTACAGAAGTATGAATTTGATTAGTTATAGACCATTATAACTATTAAGGATTTTAGCTCCGTAAACTCTATAGTTATGAGTGTCCAATTAATTGATGTTATGATTTTTAGTTAGTAATTTTTTGTAATGCTTTGATTCAATTATTTTTATATTATAATGTTTTGAGCCTTTTTTTTATTTCTTACAAATGGATTTTGGTTTCTAATCATCAAACCTTTTGATAAGTCACAATAATAATTCATATTTGTTTCCTTCCTATTTCCGGAACCGATCTAAAATGGCACAACTACACTATCTTGGCTCCATTAGAACAAGGCGACGAGAACTTTGAGGTGGTAGGTCGTGTTGGGTAATCTTACCAAGCGATGAAGAAGATCTTGCTCTTCTGGCAATTCTCGTCGGTGACGAAGTCGAAGTCGAAGACGGCGTAGCGGCATTCGTCGGCCGGCAGGGACGCGGTGAAGTCGTCGTAGCTCTCGTCGGGCTGGCCGAGCTTATCTACCATCACCTGCTGTATCCTCTCGTCGATCTTGAAGACGATGAACCGGAAGTTCCTCTTGGCCTTCAGCTCCAAGAACTTGAGCTTGCACTCGTCGCTCACCGCCATTCCCGACGCCGCGTTCGCCTTGACGAAGTGCACATGCAACACAGACGATTCACCGTCGTTAGAGAATGGATCGAATGCTCTCCGTTATCCATTCTGAGGAGAGTACTGAAAGAGAAAGAACGAGCTCACCATGGTTTCTCTCCAACGAGGGGCGAGATGGGCAACGAAGGTTGAGGAAGCTGGGAAAAGAAACGATGAGGGGGGAGGAAGGAGGAGGACGCGATGCTTGTGAGGGGGAGGAGGAGGAGGAGGGGAGAATACGATGGTGGAGGAAATGGCGGGAGCAGCGGCTCGAGGGGACGTCCTCAAAGCATGTGCATGGCGCCACGTCATGTTCCGGCTCTCGGCGTTTGACTCGGTAATCCATCGTGCGGATGTTGGGATCCAAAACAACACTCTCATTTTGGGGTCGATGTGGGTTGCAATTTCGAGGCTTTTTTCGTTTTTTTTTTGTTTTTGGTCTTCTTATTTTCTATTTGTGTTTAATTTGGGATTGAAATTTGGGTATTTTTCGATTATAATAGTCTTGAAATCTGGACTTTTGTAGGCCTTCTGACTTTGTTTTTTTCTCCTACTATTTCTTACATTTCCTTTTAATGTGGTTTATCAAATGCTTCTTTTTTCTTTTTTTTGGTTTCTTGATCTGTTATTTATATTATTTTTTTAAGAGTATGTGTTGAAGGTTAATTATAATTGTAGAATCTAATAATAATTTATTAAAATCTTAAACAAGTCACAATCAAACTCATAATGCTGAATTGATAAATATTTTAGATTAAAAAAATTCATAACATGATCCATACAATTGTTTAGTCTATTAGACTTTGTTATTTCTTTTCTTTTTGATTTGTTCAATCATGCAGAAAGTCACTAAAAATAAAAAAAAATTTGAGCCAGTAATAGACCAAGATAAACATGAAAAGATATATTACCAGGAAAAGAGAAGCAGAATGTGTGAATTACATTTTGATGTTCTAATAAAAACATACATTTTATTTCACTGAAGTCTCCATGGTATGATGATATTTACCCAATGCAATAATAAGCAATTCCTAATGATCTTTTACACCACTCGAATCATTAAATGCTGCAATTGCTCGCTTGGATTTTATGCTGCGTGCATTTAGATTCCCAATCTCTCATTTCATTTCCAATCAAATGGGTAGGACTGATGCTCACGCTATATATCCTGCAAAAGAAACTTCAAGATGAACTTGGAAGCATATTACATCATAAAGACCTCAGGATTGGCCAACATAATTCTCATTTCTAACCACAAATGCACTACTGAAGGATCTCGATTCCTCTTCCAAACTAACTGTAACATCAAAGCAATCCAACACCAGTGAAGGATATGGATCTGAGAATTACAATTCAGGTAAAATAAAGAAACACTAAATCCAGAAGCTTTTGTGAGCAAAATTGACCAACAATCAAAGCAAACTAAGAATGTAGGAGAATGCATTCGGAGCACGAAAGAGGAGCACAACAGTTCACATACTGTTTTTAAGGATCCTACTAACCATAACATGGAACAACAAATTTTACAAAGTACAGCTTCATGGGCACCTGAAAGGAGGAAAAGCAGAATTCAGCCAATTGGGTATAAATGTGCTACCCATTTCATCATCTATAACGAGTTTGGAAATTTTATATACCACTGCTGCAGCTTGAAACAAATCTGGTCATACAACACACAAAGATTCAGATGAAAAAATACATACTCAAGTATGAATAATAGTTTAAAAAGAAACATAGATTTGCCACTGGATATACAGTTGAACAAAACCTGTCGCAGACAAATTATCCTCATTTTAGTTCATATGAGAAAGTGGAGCAGTCTAATTAAACATGGCTTCTGCCAGGCTGCCACTGCCAATAACAGTTAGCAGTTCATATCTGTTCCGATGGTAAGTGGCGACAACGGCAGTAGTTGACCCGTCCATGCAATGTGTGTGTGCAAGTCAACTAGAAGGAAGCAACGTTTTCCAACATATTTTCCAGAGACAGTTTCACTTGGGGAGGAACGAGAAGATGGCATACCGCCTTCCAACTAAGCCATTTACCCTCCTCTTTAGAAGGGTGACCCTTAAGAAACCTGTAAGCACTGCTGGTAGTAATTTCTCCTCTAGGTCACGGTCCATATCCACCTATTATAGGGTAGCAATTGATATCTGTTAATGAATTGCTAAATGAATCATTTTGTGTGCATCTAGAAGTACATGAGAGCGAGAACTATCTTCTAACTCAGGTTGGACATTGCTCATAATGTTCATAATTAAAAGGTTTTGCTGATTATGCTTAATAAGACCAAAGAATTGCAGCATAAAAAATTGCTAAAATCCTATAAATAAGGGACTCTACGTTCTCACTTAAAGAACTTGCTGCAAGACTAGTAAAAGCACAATGCAGAAATTTTCAGAAAGATATTGTCAATCATGTATCATGAAATAGCATGGATGTCTTAGAATATTGTCATGCTAATTTTAATGACAACCAGAGTAAAGTTACAGCAGTGCACTAATAATTCCAAGAACAGCACACAGTGGTGGTACCAATTACCCAACCAAACTTCTATGTTTTTTAAGTTAAATCTCCTAGTTACTATTTTAAATTTTATATAATTATATTCAATACTTACTCCATTCACCTCTCTTTGGCCAAATCTCCCCTCGGTTAAAACAAAAAAAAAGAGGCCACAAGATAAACTAATAATTACACTTGGATCTACAAATGATAATAGTTAGCCACCTTTCATGTGCTTTTCACTGTTTGCACTGCAACTTCATTCCTTTAATCTTTTGTTATGCTTATTTCCAATAACTCAATATGTTGCAGAAGGTGCCTTCTATGTACTTTTCACTGTTTGCACCACAACTTTATTTCTTTTATCTTCTTTATTCTTTCTTCAACTACTTGTTGCCAAAAATCCTTAATATGTTACAGAAGGTGCTGGTGTCTTTTTCCTACTATTTGTTCCTTCATCTCTGAGAAAGAGAGCCAAAAAGCTATATTAACTTATGTAGTAATGTCTAGAACTATAAATCTCATGCAATTGCAACAGCTAAATTATGTTACCTGAACAACAAAGGGATGTGCTTGGTCATTAGAAAATTAAGGCAGTGCGCAAGTAGAATCTTGCCAGAACTTTCATTAAGGTTTACCACAATCCACTCCCCATTGGCTCTAAAACACATCATAATCAATCAGTAATTGTGTATTGATCCTACTGTGTATCAAAACTTTACCTCAACCGCTATAAATGTTTGGCTATTAACTACTATAAACTGTAGTCTATTAACCTCAAACAGCATAATGTTTAATAAAGCTCAAAACAGTGTTTCTGTCCAAGATTATAGTAGTTTCGCAACTCTCTTATAAGTTATAAAAGTCCATAAATAGAATTCCATGTACCAAACAACATCATCCTTCAAGCTCTAAAATGTTCTTTCCATGCAAATAAGAAGTATTCCCTTTCTCTATGATTTAAGTATAGTATCAAACTAGATATAAGCATAGTATCAAACTAGATACAAAACGAGCAACTCCTTACTTCAAAGAAGTCAGCTTATTTGATTGTGGAATCTCTTTGTTGGCAAATCATGACAATGGCAACAGTGATAAAAAAAAAATCTTAGCCTACAAACAAATCTGCTCAAACAAAGCTGCAAGTATCTTTATCCAAGCATAGGGCATCACTGTCAGAAGTATGCTAACTGAAAGGAGAAGAATGAAAAGAACAGAATGAGCTAGTCTTGATAAAAAGCAAATGTCTCACCAGAAGATGAAAAAAAGGCAATAAGAAACCATAAGCTACTATGTACTAAGTGTGATATCGCCAACTTCTTACTAAACGAACACATCAAATAATATATAAGGGTTCATTATGAAAAATCCGGACATCAAATGCATCCCAAACAAAAGTTGAACTCAAATGCATTCTATTAAAGCAAAAATATTGTTGTCTATATAATATATAGCTTGCGGAATACTCATTAGGCATCCTTCAACTCCTTTGTCGCCTTTTCTTCTTTATCTTTTTGATAACATGCTTTATGAAAGATTTGTTATCCCAACTGGACTTGACAAGCCTTTGGTACCGACGTATCACTCTCCTTGAAGTCAAGGTTCCTTGCTTCTTTTTATGCCTCGATGGTAGAGGCGGTGAAGGTAGAACAGGTGCATCAGGAGACACAGCTGGAAACTCCAGTGACACCTGTTGTGACCAACTCCTGTTCAAGTCATTATATCCATCCATCCTCCTCATCAGTGCCTACCGAGCCAAGATATTCTTTTGTTAGTAATAGGTTTGTCGCTCAGTAATTAAACTAACTACAAACACAATACTGACCGCCACCCTTGCCTCCATAACTGATAGTCTTGTCATCATATTGTCTACTAAATAATGCACAGAGTGTTCAAGGACTTCCAGCCTTCGTGAAAGGCTGTGAACCTGCATCCATGAGGATAAGACAATTAATCAAAGTTCATATATTGCACATAGAATACAAAGAAAACCTAATGTAGCTAATATGCTGTACCAGCACACCAGAAACAGAATCTTCACTCTGTTGTGTGGGTTCCCCCAGCTGTGAGTTTGCATTAGTATTCGCCATACCAGCCTGTTATTGGAAAAAGATTGAATCAAATTGCAAACAGGCATGGATAAACCAAAGGGATAGTAAAACTCAATTGATTGTATTTTCTACCTAGACCACAGAATTCGAAGTTTCCAGTTGATGCTTGTGATGTCATATATGTTAGATTAAAAAAGTCTAGTACTCTTCAATGAATAAGAACACAAATAACAATTACAAAACTTATGAAAAACCTAAACACTTTAATATTTCATAAACGTTAAGTGAGTTTGTGTAGCCTGGATGAAGTACTGACTACAAAACCAATAAAGATGTCATCGTAGTGAGGATTAAGGAGCACAGAAAAAAGCATTAGAGAAGAAAAAGCTAATAGAAAACAAGACGATAACTGGCAATGTTCCACAAGATAATTCTGATGCCAAAAGATTACCAATGAATAACCAAAATATTGTTTTGTTAGAATCAACTAACATCTAACAAATGTTACATTCCTCAACTAACATCTAGAATAACCAAAAAGCTTTTTTCTGTGCTCCTTAATCCTCAACTAACATCACTTATCAAAAAAAAAAAAAAACTAACATCTAATAACAAGGTCTCTTCAGGTGCCATATATGCTATGTCTTCCAGTACCTTTGGTTTCTATTTCCGCACAGAATTACATTCCAAAAAGGCAAATCGGTGATTTCTTGAGAAAGCAAACGTTAAGGTTGGACATACAAATGGAAGGCAAAAAAAAATCACCATTAAGACCTTTTAGTAAAGAAAAAAAACATGATTTATGAACAGTACTAAGAACAAAATGCATCGAAGAGGCACCACGAGCTTCTGCAACGAATATAAGCCATAATCCTCGAGACAGAATCCAATCTTGAAGGGTTTCTGATCCACCGACACTGTCGTTCTACAACTATTGAGGACCAAGAAAAATGCCCTAAGAAGCGGTAGTGCAAAAGCGAAAATGCCCTAAAGAATGACTGAAGAAACGTTCGCTTTGTATCCAACCAGCGTTTCAATCCCACGACACGACGAGATTGTTGTGGACGTGTACCCAACGACGAAGTCCCGTTGCCGATTAAAAACCCTGATGTAGATCAAGCACGCCCTCTGACGAGCACGCAAACACTGCGAGGAGGAGAAGACCGGGAGAAGAGATGACGTACCTTGTGGCGAAGAAACGGGACAGCGCTTGGAGTGCTTCTCTGCGCTGATCGCCTCAAGAGGTCGGTAGGGCGAGATCTCTTTGTCCTTTCTTCTTCTTTCTTTCGGATTTGATTCGAGGGAAAAGATTGCAGGAAAACTTTTGGCCGACGCCGCGCCCTCGCTGACTTGATTTATATTGTCGTCCCCAAGACGTCGCCCCCGCGCAGGACCTGCTGTGGGTCCCGCACACGAGTCACCGGTGGTGGCCACTAACGGAGAGTGATCGAATGGACAAATATATATATATATATATATATATATATATATATATATATATATATATCCGTATTAAAGTTAGTGAATTTTGTATTTATTCCTCTGAATTTAAATTTATTTTTTTATATAATGTCCGAGAATAATTGGACTGATTTTTTATGTTCGAAAAATATATGATAATTTTGTATAATTATTCTCACAAATTAATTCTTACTTATTTCTAATTATCAAGCTTACCCATATGGGGTTAGAAAAATATTTTATTCAACTCCGAGCTATCTAACTTCACTAATTTGGGTATTGGATGAGTCCTTATCCAATAATATCTTGATATAATTTTGAATAATCAAGATTGTCTCTAAATTCTTGACATCTCGAATAATTAGAATATATATATATATATATATATATATATATAATTTAAAACTTAAATTTTGATAAACTAAATTGAATTAATATTTTTTATGTTTGTTTCTTTAAATCAATTTAATAATGAAATGATGTGGAGAATTTTATATATTTAACTACGATTAGTAATGATTTTGGATATCGATGTTTTAAGATCTAAATATTTAAAGAGATATGTATACCTTTGGTGGGATACATGTATATTATATTACAATATAAAAGGGTATATTCTATTTCTCCCCTTCATAGCTTCTTCGGTAACAAAGTGGGGTTTTCTTTGTAAGCATCGAAAACACACGTTAATTATAAATTATTTCCTTATAGTACCTCCTTAACATCCTTAATATCCTTATTGTAAATTTAAAAATTTTATATTAAATTTTTTATAATTATAAAAGTAAAATATTTAAGTTTATTTACCTCAACGCCATCAGTTTTATCGACAAAGACGAAAATAATAAGTTAAAAAATAATTTCAACGTTTTAGTTGACATTGACAGACAATATGCGGATGGTGATGCCACTAGGGCTACAAGTAACTATCATGGATAAGGATAGCGATGACAAGATATGAGAGCCACTATGCATTTGTGTTGATGATGATGTAGTTGCCTAATGGTCTTTTCTTCGCTTTATATCTGCGTCGATGTCAACACAGTTGTTGAGCAATAAAATGACCGCTCAACATCTATATTAGCGTCGACGTAGATGTACAGTAGCGCCACTCAACAACTATGTTGATGTCAACGCAATCAGCGCTCATTTTTGTTACTTTGCATCTGCGTAAACGTTGACACAATTATCGAGCAACAAAAAAGTTATCAAAGCAGATGCCGAGTGACCCCTTTCGTCGATCAATAACTGCATTGATGCCGACGTAAATACAAAGTAATAAAAAGACTGTTAGGCTAAGCAATCCTTTTGTCGTTTTGCATTTGCATCGACATCAATGTAATTATCGAACAGTGAAAAGACCACCGATGTAGAAAGTCATTCACCTCTCGTCGTTATTCTCCTCATCCATAGTAATCACTGATACTATTAATTATCATCAATTAAAATATTAAAATTATTTATTATTTATTATTTATATATTTTTATCGATAAAATCGATGATATCATATGAACCTAAATATTTATTTTTAATTAGCTGCGGAAGAAGACACCGCAACGTGGCCATGCTCTGTTCCTCTCTAAGCGACTTCTTTCGCCTCGTCACCCGTAGAAGCACCGGCATTTCCGTCTCCCTCCGCCTCGCCAAACCTCTCTCGTCCTTGTCCACGAAGCCATTGCTAGCCCCTGCAGCAATTCCGTCTTTCGGTCCTCGGGATCTCCGGTAGGCCCGCTTCCCCTGCTCCGTCGCGCAGCCCTCGCGGGCGTTGCCTCTGCACCGTAGACACGCCTCTGAGATGGCCTCCACCGAGTGCGCCGCGTCCATCCGTGAATTCACCATCAAGGTTGGTCTCACCGATTTGTTGCTTGGTCTCGAGGGCCCTTTCGATGTTGGTTCCCCCAAAGATCGAATTTTGGTGCGCGATTGGTTGTTTACATTGGTTGGTTCTTCTAAAGAAGAGATTTTGGTACTAAATCCGATGTTCTTTGTTTATATGATTCAAGATTCGTCATTTTTTGCAAATAAAGGTGCATCCAATGATGGTCTTTGTTGATTCGTTTCACACAATTTTGTTGGTGCTTGTGTGATAGGGAGGATACAGTCAATCATTCACCATCCGACCTATGTCCTTCAAGTGGCGAAGACCGGAAGAAAAATACAAATGCTACCCCTCATCGGGTCCAAACCTATATGTTGTCTCCACCCTTATCGCCGACAAAAGGTGGTTATTAGAGAAGCTGCTCTCATATGATTAGGACATCAATGATATTTACATTATTCTTTTATGAGAAATTATGGTCGCTGAAGCATTATTTCATATGATTGGGATACAAGTGATGTCAGATCTGTTGAAGTCACTTTTTTTTCCTCCCTAAAAGGAGGAAAAGAATACATGTTTGATTTCAATTGTTTGCTGAAATCTGATTTCCATTTCAGGATGCCAAGGGAAATGACGTTGATCTCAGCACTTACAAGGGGAAGGTTTTGCAGATCGTCAATGTAGCATCCCGATGGTAATTATACATATCCATCATAGTCCTCAACTCCTCATGTTGTTCAAGGGTTTGTCTCTTTTGTACCATGTTAGTGATTCACTTGTGCTATTGTTTATGCCAACTTTTGTGTCGTCTGATTTGTATTGTTGTAGTTCTACTGCTCTTAGTTTAGCCATTATCTAAATCTCTATTTTTTTTGTGCCAGTGAATTGGCCAACTCAAATTACATGGAGCTGAGTCAGCTGTATGAGAAGTACAAGCGCAACGGTATGTGTTTGTCACTTGATTTTACCTGAATATTATTTGATATGGATCATTTCTTGCTGTATTAGATTACGATGCCGTCACTTTTGATGTTCTGCACCACATTGAGCCTCTTCTTGTGTGTGTGTGTGTGTGTGTGCATACATATGTATGTATATATACATACACATGTTGGATCAAAGAGTTTAGCTGTTCTTGGTTATAGAATGTCAATCCGTCCATGGCATGAAGTAGGACAAAGACATGTATATCAAACTTGTGAGGTCGGCTTCGAGGAAACAAAGTGAAAAGTTATTGTCATCTCCCAGAAACCTTGCAACAAATGTTAAGGAAGCATATAACTAAGTAGAAAACTGAACATGTATAAGAAACCAATTCAAAACCATCTTTGGGTCTAATTTACTCGATGCTCAATGGCAAACTCGTGCAGCCTCCAAGGAATTAGATAAATTAGCTCAAGAAATCACCCCATCATTCAATGATAGAGCTGCAAACTGGTTGGTTGATTGGCATGACAGGGGACGGCTGCGGGGCAGCAACACACTCAATCAATATTACATACACCTAATATGGACACTTCTTGGACCTTCTTGGATATGAGCTTGATAGCTTAAACTCCAATCAAATAGGTCTACATAAATAAATGAACGGATAACTATTGTTCATGTTTCTAAGTTGCTTGATGTTTTCTTCCAATATCCAAATTTTGCATGTTGTTTAAGATGAGACTAGTGTAAAAGGATTTGTATGTCAAAGACAGATCCTTATCTTGATTTGTGGAATGAAGAAACACGATCGTCTGAAAGTATAATCAGTTTGTAATATGATCATCAGAATTTTTTGTTATGTTTCAGATTTCGAAATTCTGGCCTTCCCATGCATTCAGTTTGGAGGGCCAGGAACCAGGAAGCAATGGGGAGATCGTTGAATTCGCCTGCACTCATTTTAAAGCCGAGTACCCAATCTTCGAGGTAATGTTTGTTCATGTGTTTGTATTGTTCTATTCATTCTGGATGTAATTTGTTACATCAAAGCTTCTCCCATAAGTATAGTTTTCTTGTTACATTGGATATAGTGCATGAATTATTACAGAACAATATCATTAGTGGAAGACACCACTAATCTTATCTGTTTCAGTCAGGCTAAATGCTTTGGTTAATGTTCCGACAAATGTTGATCCGTGTTACATGAAACTGAAGTCTTGTTTCTGATTCAGGTTGATGTAAATGGTGACAATGCTACGCCTATTTACAAGTTCCTGAGATCCAACAAAGGTGGCATCCTCGAGGATAGCATCAAGTGGAACTTCGCTAAGTTCTTGATCGACAAAGATGGCCATGTGGTGATGTCACGGATAAAATTGTAGACGGGATGTTCGATGTAATGCTTATGTATGTCCATGTCTTTCGGTTTTGTTTATGCTTTGCACAGCATATAAAGGGTTGGCAATAGGCTTAGCTGACCCATTTTCTTTGGTTTTGGTGATCGTTCTAGGCTTACGAATAAAGATTGTGTCATGTGGACACTTGTGAGGATTTTGATCTGTAATGGATCATTTTTGACCCTTTGTTGTGCGACCGTTCAGAGCTTGTAAAGACAGTTTGTAATTTGTATCGGCTATGAAGTGTTTACTGAAATGATTGTTTATGGATCCTGAGTGAGATGTTTTCTCTAACCTATTTTCTCTTTTGTAGGTTCTAAGAGATCATAAGAGGTTTCGGGAAGGTTGACCTTTACGAATGGACACGTAAGGGTACTGCATGACTTAGGTAAAACCAACTAAGTGTGTGTCAATGTAGTGGACAGTTATGCTCCAACCAGCATTTAAGGTAAAACCAAGCACAATACCATCCCTTTGATCAATTCTACTTCGGTTAGATAATATGTGGCACAGTTGCGGAAGGACATCAAGAAGCCCTTGGGCACTGCATAAATCCTGTTCTTGGGGCTGTCACTCTCTGGTTAGCTTCTTTAGAAATATGCTACTATCAGCAGCATTCTTGCTGTCTTGATGATTCAAATATAAGAGACTGCAATTTGTTGTTTTTTACTGCAATCTATTGATTCGTCAAGCTTAAAAATCTGCTTCTTTATCATGCCTAGCATTTGCTGATGTTGGTGCTGGTTTTACATGATATGTGGATATGCACAGTTGGTCCATGAGCTCAATTGTGGGGTTCATGTACTATTATTCCTGTCATTAGTCCATGTGAGGCATAGGATCATCTAAGACAAGGTCAACATGGAAAACAATGTTGAGAAACCTTCAAGCACTTCATCCCAATCTGCTACAAGTTGAAATCAATCTGGGAATTATGTTTGTGAATTATGTTTGCACTTCAGCATGATGCATGTGCTTGTTCAATCAAGACACTTGATCATCAGAAATAGCTACATTAATCTGCAAAGACTTCTTCAGCTGCATTTGAACACCTACATTGACTTACAAGTTCTACAACTATGAAGAAGCATCAACACATCTTCCACCAAGGATATAACTGAAAGCTTGTTAGCATAAGAGATTCAAACTTGAGCTGCTGCAGGAGTGCCATGGAATGTTGCTACCTAATGATCCCAGTGACTATTCGATGCCTCATATGAACAACACTACCCTCGTGTCAGGTCGATATCCATGTGAGCATTCCTCATATCGAGCTGCCTCGATGCAGGCCACCCTGCCATGACCGGAGGAGTAACGTTTTCACTAGGGAACTCTGCATACTGCATGTGTCGCTCATCCCCAACCTCCAGCTCGGGTTCAGTGCCTGTTTCATTGCTGGCTTTCACCTTGCTCTTCGCCTTTGATCCTGCGTAAATGAAGCTTCCTACAATTACCTGTAATAAGAACAGAAGGACGGACAGGACATTGAGACTAGAGTTCAGCTGCAAAAGTGTTCATGTGACCACAAGGTTGACAAACTCTTCAATTAGTCTCTCGTTACAGAAAAACCAAATCTAGAGGTTGAGATAGGAGGTCATCTCAAAATCTATGTAAAATAGAGACAAATGTAGGCCTGAGTAGTTTACCTGTACCGGGTTTGCAGCTATAAGAGATCCAGCTACACCACCGCCAATTACGCGGCCGTCGGGACTAGAAAGAGAGATGCTCAGCCCTCCAGCTCTGCTACGCGATCCACCATTGTCCATCAAAGTGTATGAACCAGACAAGCAGAGTATCTCGAAACGGCCCTGATCAAGTTTGAAACACAGTGTCAAGTTAGAAAACATGAAATGTTGTGAAAATGTTGAATCAATAACATGGATGAGGTGATCCTGTTCTAAGCTGAATCTAATACAACCTCAAAATTATCTTCACAATTAGTAGCATAGAAAAGCTTCTTTAAGGTCGAAATGGCAATCAATCCAACACCTCATATAGATAATAACTTGTGCTAAAACATGTGCCATCTAATGTTCATTTTGCACTATTCTTCAACAATATAGACACAAATTTGAAGTCATAAGCAAAAAGAATAGATGATTAAGCATAATTACGGTTGAAAGGCCATTAATATCCTTAAAAGTTGGTATCGGTTTTGATATGTCTGAGTATTATGCAGCCAGATTTTTGATATGGTAGCTAGTAAAGTTGTCTAGCTTCAATAATTTTAGCTGGATAGTTCAGTCTTGGAGAGATTTAAAGTGTCAAACCTTACATTGAATCAATCATTTTCCTAGTGGGATATAGAGACATCTGCATGAGAACAGTTCAGTTACAGTGAACACTCTTCTTGTCTATCTTTAGATCACAAACTGGTTGTCTTCCCTCCAGATTCTTGTCGGAAAAAAAAAAGAAGACAAATTTCTCTTTGTATGTTGATGGCACATCACCTTCATCAACCCTTCAAACAGCAAATGAACACATATTTCGGGCTTCTTAGTAGATAAAAGATATTATCACTTTGAATTCTCCAAGTACTCCAGAATATCCACAATACCGATATAACCGTAGTTATTTTCAACTATTACATATATGCGATATCAATCATTCATAGGCAAATGAACTCTCAACAAAACACATCTTCCAAGTTTTATGTCAGAAGAAGCAGGCAATCAGTGCTTGAATAAAAAAGCCTGAATATGGTTAATGCAATCAACATGTCCAAAAGAAATTTGAGAGAAGTTGTGAACCTCATAAGTGACTGTGCTACCAGAAGTTGCAGACTGCCGAAGAGTCACAGTGGACACAGCACCATTTGCTGAGAGGATACAGACAGCCCTTGGTCCCTGCTGGGAGAATGACATTATCTTTGCAGCGATGTCCTGCACAAGAAAACTTAGTATACATATCATGGTATGTGCCAATACTTGATGCCAACTACAGTGGGAACTACAGTATGGAATTTCCAGTCAACAAGCAGGATGCCAACAACACTATTATGGCATTCTAAGAATAAGAGCATAAGAATTTCAAGGAAACAAAAGCAACATAATAACTATGTTCAAGGAATCAGAACGAACAAAAAATCACTAACAACACTTCACTTAATTCAACAAAGTGATAGAAAGTTTGAACCATACATAATGGAATCTTGTGCTCTTAGGATTTAGTTAGGCCATAACATTATAATCTGCAGATACAAGGCTTGCAACTCCATGCAAGTCAATGAACCTCAAGTTAAAGAATGTGTTCATGTGATGAACAACTGAATTGCTTCAACCACAAATATTGCATACAAGCTTTGAGCTCCATAGCATTGTACAAGAAGGAACAATATTAGCCCACTTGATTTATAGAAGGATCACTATGTCATCCAAAAAGGAGTCAATTTTCTTTTAGCATACTAAATATATATATATATATATATATATATATATATATATATATATATATATATATATATATATATGTACATACATATATATATATATATATATACACATACATATATCTATATATACATATATAACATGAAAGAAATGTAATCCACTTCTTTCTGAAAGAAAAAAAGGCAATAAAATCCGTACCTCTCCTACTGGAATTGTTATGACGTGTGGGGTAAAACCCATTCCAGCTGATCCAACAACCCATTCACCTGTTGCAAGGCAGTGAGCAAAAGAACCTCTTAGACACTGATCTGAAAATTTATATGGATGCCAAGAAGTCCTTGAAATGACCTCAACAAATCTTTTGGTAACTAAATAAGTAGAGCACAATCAAAAGGTCAGGAGCTTAGAACTCATCAAGAACTCTTCAGACAATCCTTCCAGTAGTTAAATAGCAAAGCTTTCACTCGGATTCCAACATAGCATATAACATGGTCCAACCCTCACCCTGTCCACTATAAATACTATCTAATGAAAGATCAAAAAGAACAACTCTTACAGATAGAGAGAATCTACTCTCTGCCGATATATATTATCTATCTTCAAAGTAGCTAATGATATAAAGCTATTAAGATTCTCATAAATACTAATACTGGTCATACAAGCATATATCTCCAACACCGTAGTTCAAAGTTGAAAGAGTTTCACGCTCCATAGATCGTGCCAAGACGCTCCAAATTGGCATCCGATAAGCCAACAAAGAGGCAGCAGGCAAAGGACAACAAAGATGCAAACTTTTCTTGACGAAGGAAAGGCAAAGGGGAGATCTTTGACCCACCAAGCGATGCTAACAGTTGCTTCCTTCCAGTGCCTGGCGGCCGCCCTCTTCCTCGCTTCTGCGTCGGAGCGCCGGACCCCGAAGCTGACCCTGACACGGTCCCCGTCCCGGAAGGAGGAGCAGACGAGGAAATGGGCGAGAGCGCCAAAGCTACGTTCCCATCCGGCCCATACTTTCTCGGCCTTCCTCTCTTCCTCTTCACCGGCTCAGTTTGGCTTACTCCCTCGTTCAGACCACCGCCACCACCATGGGACGAGACCGCTGGAGGAGACTCTACCTGGAACGGCATCGAACCAACGCCGGAAGACGGGGCCGTCAGAATCGCGCCGGGGTTCGGCATCGACCGGACCCCGGGTTGCGCTGCCACATTAAATCCAGACTGCGAACCAGCACCGGGACCGGGGATTGCTCTATGCGCTATGTAATAGGCTGAGCCAGACATCCCATCCATTCATGAACCGAAAGAGGGAGCCGGTCCTCCTTCCCTCAAGAATCTAGACGCTGAAAATCTAGCCGAACCACTCAAAACACCAGCAAGATCGAGACTTCAGGGTTCTGGGCGAGACTAGAACCGAAGCCGAGCCCTGAAATCGAAGGATAGCGTATGAAACTGAGAGGCCATGCAGAAAAACCAGAGGCCGCCATTTCGGCATCATCCGCTTCCTGTAAAACAAGAAAAACCTCACCTTTATCTATGCACCTCCATCTATCGCCCTTCCTCAGTGCAGCGAAAGGCACAGTAAGAGAAGGGGGGCAGATAAGGCGAGCTCCAGCTTCCAGAACCTGCTCCTTTCGGAGGAACGGCGAGAACCTAGGCTCGGGAAGGGATCGGTGGAAGGAGCCAGAGGAGGAAATGACACATTTAACGCGCCCCAACGCTTCTCAAAGCCCCTCCCTTCCTGACCTTCGTTTCATCCTCTCACTCTGTCTCTGCCCCCAACTGTTCTCTCAGTGCAAGCGTCTTTTAGAGAGAAAGAGAGAGGATCGAAGGAGCCAAGCGGTGGTAACAGGAAGCACAGAAGCCACAGTTCAGGGTCATAAACGGGGAGAGAAATCAACAAGTCAGGCGATCTCCGGGAAGACGGAAAGAGCGAAGAAACCGCCCTTGTTTTATTTCTCGCTCATTTGGTTCCTCTTCCAATGGCAGACAGAGAGAGTGGCTGTATGTGTGTGTGGATACGATGATAGGATAATTACAAGACCGGCTTTTTTCTTCCCCCCTAAAAATAATAATAATAATAATAATAATTGTGGATATAATCCGAAGGAACGTATCCGAGATGATTGGCGCTCGTCATCTTTGCTGTTCTCTGCTCACAGCGGATCCCATGACCTTTAAGATTTCCGAGGTGGCACGAGCCTGGGAACCGCGTACGCGGGACCCGCCTCTGCCTCCTTGAATCACCGGTTATCGCGAATCACGAGGCTCATGGAGGACGAACATCGAGCTTCCCAGAGAGACTTCTATGCGCCCGTCGGTGCTGACTCCCGGGCGGGCCCCTCTTCGGGACATACTTCTTCTCACCCACTATCAGATTACTCGATTGTCTACCCTTCTCGCCATTGGTGGGCCCGACGCAAGGCCCGCAACTACCCCCTGCCGCGAGGCGGGTAGCGAGGTGGCCACCCACGACCCGAGACGCGAACCCGGCGCCACGACCGGAAGGGCGACGCGCTCCACGACGGCCGAAGCCTGCGGCAGCGCTGCAACGCGGAGGGCGTAGCTATTGCAGCAGGAGACGACACTCGGCTCCGTCGAATTCGTGCTACTGTGTCTCGCCGACTCCAAAAGTCCAAAAGCCATGGCTTCCAGCTTCAACCCCACCACCATTTCCTCGTGTCGAATACTTGATGGCCATCGACTCATCTAAATGAGTGGACACACGAATATGCATGTAAAGTATGATGACTTTGAGAGCATCGGAAGCTGACACTTGGTGTAAGAGACATCGAGATGAATGTCCCATGCACAAACTTCAACATCCTGATGGGCTCGATAGGTCATGTCATCTGCCAAAACTTTTTTGAGTGGAAGATCACAACAAAAATTGAGATCTGAGTTCTGAGTTCTTGGATCATTGTCGCCAGAGTATGTTCTATACGGATATATAATAGACTACCAAGATGGTTGACTCAGAAGTTTCAGTGGGATGCTGCTTGGTTTTAGAAACGCAGGTCAACAAATAATGCTGACATTGAAGTCGAAGCTGTCATTGGAAGAAGAGCTAAAATGCAGTAGCTTTGTGTCATGATTTACTATCCATGTTACGTAGTTTTTGAATGGAAGAAATGAAATTAAAGAAGGAAAAAGAAAAAGAATTTAAGCTCTCTTGAGTTGTTGGACAGCAACTCTCATGCTAAAAATTTGCAGGTTGAGTGTCAACTCTTCACACATCACAAACCATGTTGAATGTTTTGGACAGCATGATGTGGCAACTTTACCATAATGTAGGAGGAACCTCTTTGCAGATGGATCCTAAGAAGAGCAAGATGCCTCAAGAACAGTGCAAATAGTCTTTCCAAATAGCTCTCAGCTCCAACTTGGAACCGTTTTCTTGATTTCGGATAAACTTCTCATGGCCTTGTTGAAGATAAGGTTGTGGTGAGCTTTGTAAGAGAACACAGTGAAGGCTTCTCTGTTGGTTATCTGGTCCAGGGAGATTCAACAGCTGCTGGGGAAGGTGAGTCAGCCAAGCAACAGTGGGCACTGTCTGAGGAGTCAAACAAGGGGGTGGAGCACCTTTTCCACCACTTTGACCAAATTGGAAGGCAGGGTGTGGGAAGGAGATGAGTTGGTGGATCCACCACCCACTCTCTTTTGGATAAGCATGAACCAGAGCATCCATCACTCATGGTGAGAGTGACCACAAAGGAACAGAGTGTGAGAAGGTGGGCAGCCCCCATGCCATGCCCTACTCCTCAGTTGGACCAGTAGCAGGGCAGGGAGGAGGAAAGCTTCCTTCCATAGTGTGCTTTTGGCCGCATGAGGCATCATGGCTACATGTTGAAGGCAAAAGCTGGCTGAGCACATAAGGACAATGAGCCATGTTTCATTCAGTGTGATGTCTTAAAGAAAAGATTTAATTGTCTTATTCATAGCTCAATGGGAATATATATACATATATATATATATATATATATATATATATATATATATATATATATATATATATATTGTAATTGAGTCCAAATAATTAAAAGTGTAAAAAATATAGATTAATTTGGTGAGTTTGAAGAACATATTAGGACTGACTTTCTGTATTGCTTCACAGGGAGAAAGCATTGGGGGTGAAAGTGACGCAACTGAGAGCAGTCTGCATGTGCACATGATTGCCGCAGTGGTTTGTCGTCACTTCTTTAATGATGTCTGTCTTGATCTTAAAGCTATTATGGCTTCACAGCGAGTGAGCACATTTGCATGATTTGAGGAAGAAAGGGAAAAGCAATGGCTGAAAGAAAAAAAGTGTTAGAAGTACATTACACCAGATTGAAAGCTGATCAAATTTGCCAAAAAAACAAAAATTATATTTTTTGAAGATGCCAGATAGCTTAATAATCAAAACTTTAATGAATGGATCTCATCTTCATTATTTATCTTTGATAATAAAAAAAAAACAGTAAAACATGAACATGCAGCTCAGAACCTCTAAGAATGCACAACATTAGTTGAAATGTCCGAAGAGTATTGGCATGCATTTGGGGTTACAATGCAGTGTTTTGAAGTACAAACTAGAGAAGTTCAAAAGCCATGTTTTGAAGGACACTTCTGCTGCATATGATCACTAGATATTGGTCCATTCAAAACTCACCTCCCATATACAAGCTGATTCTTATTTCCTTTGTTTGCCAATCCACACAGGGCTATTATCTTTATGAAGCTGTCATTGATGGTATAACAATGTTTACAGAAGTTGTGTTTCAGACTCAGGGGTAAAAGGCTTTACATGTCAAGTATTCCTATTGCATGCCTAACATTCATAGCCAATATTTTGACAATGATATCAATATCTGGCAGCTTAGGAAGGCATATATTGTACACATGACAGAACCCAATCTGGAAGTGCCAGTTTGCATTTTGTATATAAATTATTCAAAATGCTTCTATGAGATGGGAGCCCAGTAACATGGCACTGCTGATCCATTCAGAAGACCTTTCCTGTGGTTGAGATATTCTCTCACTCCTAGGGCTCCACTGGAAAAGCTTTATAATATGCCTGGCTCTGAGGCCAGTATTTTCATCTGTAGATGCCCGAGCACCAACTCAAGAAACTACCAATGATTCATTGTTGCAATGTGAGCCCAGAAATAGCTTTACGGTGTCATCGATATGTGCACTTACACATGATGCCGTGATTGGACTAAATAATTTCAGACGGTCCGGCATAGTTCCTACTCTCAGCCCTGTTCCTTCTTGGAATTAGGCCACCCATTGATCGAGTGCTCATCGGGATGGATATTCAACTTAGCAAGAAGTCTTTCATGAACCGAATTTTCTATTGCTATTGCATCTTTGATGCTGTTATGAAGCTGTTTGCATAACTCATCAAGTGCAAGCATTGGAAATGGTTCTTCGATAAGCACACCAACCTGAAAAAGTTTCTAGAGAAAGTTAACGGGGTAGAATCATGCAGATAGAACAAGTGTCATGTGATGATAAGCATGATATCAGAACATACTAGAATGTCGTTTCCTCAATTTGCCATTCTAATAAGAGTTCGGGTGCTTGGTTAGGACAATCTTGTTCTGACACAAAGCACACCAAATACGATGCATATTATAAAAAAAATGCAAAAGGCATAGCAATTAAAATGTTCAACACTGGCCGCTTATGAATCATCAATTATCTAAATAATTTAAATCATTCTCGTATATCAGATCAAAGGCAGGTAACTCATCAGGAAAGATTCTGTAATCATAATCAGATGATATCTCTTCTGCTCTTATTTAGTTGATTCTATAGCAACAACAGACCATTCATTGTTTATGTTTCTTTAATTCTATAACAACAATAGATTAATGGACAAAGAAAACAAAGACTGAGACAGTTCTAGCATCCAGAAACATATTATTTTCTGATATATCTGGAGCTTACTGCTTGCCCTCACTCTTCACTAAAAAATAACAATAGTACACTTAAATCAAACAATGACTAGATTTCTGATTGGTACTCAGATGCTGTCATAACTTGGCATATAGTGGACCTAAGATTAGTGTTGACAAACATGTAAATATTTATTACCATTTTCATCAATTTTTACATATATAAGGAGATGTATTTTTGTTTCCAAGGAACATAACTCAAGAGAAAATGTTGCTTACTTCTTCGATGCAGAACAAAGAGGCTGCACTTATGAAGGTGGCAGGAACAACAATCCATTTGCAATCATCCCAAAGTATCACAGGGAGTGTAAGATGCCACAGGACTAGAAATCTTGAGGTTAAACGGGTATATGATAAAGGAATAGGGATGCCCATGAGTTGTTCACAAACACCAATACCTTCATGGAAACAGCAGAGTTTTGACTCCTACATTAATAAGCAATATATATAAATTTTTAGAATGGAAAATTGCTAAACACTAAGTCGCCCCTGCAGCATGTGAAACTGTTTGATAGACATACAATGAACAATTAATTTCTAAATAATTGGTCATTGCCAGAAAGATTAATAAAAAAATGAAACAAGAAACACAAAAGTAATGTGCAAGTTGCAGATATAAGTTCTTCTAGACAACCCAAGGATACCTTAGATCTTATATCAAGAAACTTTATTGCACCATAGGTAGAGAATAAGTAATTAATTTCACGTTTGGCTAGAGAAAGACATTGTGGCATTCCCACATCAGTGAAACCAAGGACAATGACCAGAAAACTTTCAACTCTCACTTCCAGTACCATAATGACCAAATATCAATTCATGGGGATAACTAGTTACACAAGCTATTCTGTTATTCCATACTGTCATCCAGTAAACATGACAAACAAATGCCAGCAAAGTTTCGGTTTCTTTGGACACTAAGTTTGTCATACATGTCCTAAGTTGTCTGTTCTTATTTCTAGTGCCACTAATATGTCCATTCATCCAATGTATAAGGTACTGAGACACCCTTGTGTCGGTCTATGCTGGTTGGCATATATCATGTTGGCTCATTGCCAGCACAGCACTGTGCTGCAATATTTGAAACCTTGCCTGTTCCTTTTAAGTCTAGCACTTCCAAAACTGACTAAATGTTATACTATGCATATCTGTAAATTATTTATTTTATTTCCTTTTTTGTCTCATGTTCTTCTTTCATCATCTATGTCAGGGTGTTCATGGTGACAATCAATATCTCTCTCAGTGAATAAGTTAAGTTCCTTATTATTTGTTCTGACTTGCACAAATTACAGCATAATAAATAAAACCAAATTTTTGTTTCATTTGTATAATCATAGAACCTTCACATCCTGCAAGCTCATAGCTGTATCACAATTGTTATACATCTTTATTGCATACTGATTCATGTCTAAATAGATGACAGCCTTCGCCTATTTTTCTCTTCATCATAGTAACTCTATCATTTTTCAGCATAGGTAACATGTCAAAGCTAAATAACTCTGGTTGACAGAACAAAATGATGTATCCACATAAAGGAGCATATTGATAAACATGCCATAAATTCAACTGATTGCATAATTTAAGCTGTTAAGAGTTTTTTCTGCTATCTGCCGAATAATATGCTTTTAAATGAGGATGGTCATTTTATGTTGCTCAAGGAATTACCAAGAGGTTACGCTTTGGCTCTTCAATGTGTAAGATTTGAATGCTCTGTGAAATGAACTCAATGACACAGCGTGGACGATGTTTTGATTTCATGAGTACTGTTAGATCATCAACGTCAAGCAAATTTTGCAGATCTGCTTTGATATCTGAGCCGCTAATAACATGACACTGCAGTGAAAAATTCAGTTGTGGTGATGTCAGATTAAGTTGATGAAAACATAATTAATATCTACAACAAGAGAAGGTTTTATATTGAATTACAATTTAAAACTAGAAGAAAAGCATGTCAAATCCAAATTCACAAACATGTGATAATGCTTGTTGCAGACACATCATGATACCTTTTGTTCCTATAATCCTGTCATTTGCTAAAAGAAAATAAAAGATTCCAGAAAAAACATATGACATCTTCATTTCCAAAGCTTGAGAAGAAACTACAAACCCATTGTATCCTGGAAACACCAGTTCAATGACTTGAAACTCTACAAGCAGATGCTCCAATAATCAAAATTGACCCAAAAAAAAAAGAACACAGGTATAAAATTGCACGAAATGAATGCGTATGCATATGACAGCTCATTTAAAATGTTCCAAATATCTCTTATGATCATGATTACTTTTTTCTGTAACCAGAGAAGATTCATCAGGATACTAAGACAACAGCAATGTTGTGGCCAAAAGCTATAGAAGTTCACCAACAAAGAAAGGAATCAAAGAACAGAAAAGCATAGTAGCTGTTATTTTGGAAGAATAGACATCACCGTATCATCCAACCCTACTACTATAAAAAAGAAGCAATATTTCTGTGCAAGATAGAAATTCTTTCTAAATACCCTTCTGAACAATGTAATTGGATACCAAAGAATCTGGTGCAGCAGAAAAATGATTTCCGATCCAGATCTCCAGCCTTTTCTCCATTGAAGTGAATTTCTCCTTGAGGATTGACAGGTCACTTCTATTCTAAGATTTTTGTTTTCATTTTCTTGGAATGTTCAGAAATTTCATTGGCACCTTAAAAGCTGCTGACTACTCTCTTATCTGAGAGACAAACAAGCTCTCGATAATAACAAGAAGAATATGTGAGTGATCTGGCCATTTAAAGGAAGTGGCAACCTAATTTGAAGCATGAACAAAGTGAATAAAGAAATGGTCTGACAGATGTAATAGCCATCACAAGACAAAGGATAAAGCATGTATCGATTCTAATGGCTTCTAAATCACAATCCTTGTCATTTGAAATCCAACCATGGTCTGCCCGGTTCCACAGAAAAATTCCTGACTTGTTGATGAATATCAGATCATCTAATTCTTTGGTGTTCTTGTAATTTGAACTAGAAAAGGCGCTGATGCATCATACATAATAAGTGGTGATGCCTAAGCTGGAAGCACAAATTCAGTCCCTTATATTGTAAGAAGGCACTTTGAAGCATATCCATCAGCTAGATCACCTTATTCATGAGATACACCAGTTCAGCAGGAGTTGCTGAGCAAACAAATGTAAGAACAAATCAACATTATTCTGAACATTGTAATCAGCAAATTTCATGAAATCCTGTAATTCTAACTTGCAGGTATAGACTATGCACATCCACTTAACTCTAACTAATGGAAAAGTTGGCAATTAATCTTTTCAATCGATAACACATCTATACTTCCTGACGAAATGCATTAAAGGCATCAAAAGAAAAGAAAACAATTTGAGTGCCCGAGAGCAAGAAAAGCAAGTCGAATCAAGATAAAAAAGATTGACCTTGAGAGCCATGGGAAATGATATGATGTAATTTAACAGGGACCGCTTGACCCCGGCGTCATCCTCCCTCCCTTTGGCCGACATCACTATTCCGGCTAGCTCGCTGGCGCCCGCCATGACCCTCATCCAGGCCTTCCTCCCCTCCTCGAACCTCGAGTAGGAGGCCTCGGTCCTGAAGACGAGCAGCAGCGCCAGGGCGGGCGCGGTGAGCTGGTACGGCAGCGAGGACGCGTGGAGAAGTGGGAAGAGACCCGGCGGCAGCCAGGCGAAAGCGACGGCGGAGTTATAGAGGGCGAGGGCGGCGGCGACGGCAGTGAGGGCGGAGACGGGGGGGATGAGGGAGAGGATGACGCGGGATGAGAGACTGGAGAGGAGATGGCGGAGGTGGCGGAGGGAGCTGCGGTGCTCCCGCCAGTCGTCGGGCGTGTAGAGGGGGCGGCGCTTGCGAACGCCGAGCTCCTTGACAGCGTCGGCCCAGTCGGGGACCGACCGGAGGAAGCGAGCAAGGGAGGGGGATCCGTCTCTCTCGCCGTCGCCGGCTCCGGTGGGATTGGAATTGGAGCACAAGATCGGGTGGGGGAGGTGAGGAGCGCGAGGCACGAGCGGGATTCTTGAGGAGAAGAGATGGGGGTTAGAGTTCGAATCAGCGGAGGAGGTGGTGGATACGAAAGAATGGGGAGGAAGCAGGAGTTTGGCCATTTGGATAAGGAAGCCGTCGTTGCCGGGGAAGGTCGGAGGAAGAAGATGGCGCGCGCGAGTGAACGAGGGTTGGCGAGGGCGAGGCCAGGGAGAGGCGTTTGGATGTTTGATAACGGCCGCTGTGGAGGATGCAACAACACGTGGACAAGTCATATATATGAATATAGAGCAAACGGAGGATGCATCCCTTTTTGCTTTATTTTCGCATGACTCTCTTTATTTTCTGACTCCCTTGGCTTCCGCCCCGTCGCTGCGCTGCGGGCCGCCTCCGCCATTGCGAGGCCCTCGTCGTCGGGCTCGCCGCCTCCGTCCTGCCGGTGGCTGGTCTTGTTTCCCCCGAGTGCCTGGTAGGACAAGGACCTTTACCGCACACAGAGCACTCATAGGACTGCGACGACAGCACATGTTCGTGTTCGAACGCTGCTCCGCTACTGACGCCGCGGGAGAGCATCACGAGGCAAAGGGCGTCGAACTCCTCCTCGGTGAAGAAGCAATGGTAGCCGAGGCGGTCAGCATCCTCATCGGAAACTTTGGGAAAAGAAGAGGGGGAGAGGCGCGAGTGCTTCAACGGCTTCCTCTTCGTCGTCGACCCGACTTGGTAGGGCGGCGGCGCCGCCGCCGCCGACAACGGTGGCAACATTGAGGGCGTCTCTTCTACGGCATCTACGGGGATGAAGGATGAAGGAAACAATAAACAAAAGGATAGGCATAGAACACTCATAAGATATTTTAAGCGTAAACTTCTTATCTCGATTCATGAATTATTATTTTATTTATAGGACCTAACGTTAACTATCTCACTTCATCATATCACTATTAATTAGGTATAGAAATTATTTTATAATTTTTAGATTATAGATCATTTTTTAAAATATTATAACTATCTAGATAACTACTAGAATCAATTCTCGAATTAAGTCTCGTCACATCATAAGTGACTCGTCTTACTCTATTCAGACACCCTTGCCTTATGCCTTCTCGCGCCACCAACGACAACCCTATCCTAGTCTTCACATAACTGAGAGACGAAAGCTTCAGAGGAGGGCTAAGGCCATGCACGAAGGGGCTCGCGAAAGGTGGTGATGATCACAGGAGAGCGACAAGGCCATAACGAAAGGGAGGTGGCGATCACAGGAAAGCGACGAGGCCTTATGGCGAGATGACGACGAGAGCCTAAGGTGAGGTCTCATAGTACAAAGGCATGACCCACAACAGTGACAGGAAAGAGAGGAGAGCGATAACAAGGGATCGATCATATCAAGGCAGATAATCTTATCTTTTTACGTAAAAAAAATAAGAAAAAAAATATTTTGTCGAAAAAAATAAAAACTTGAGTTTTTTTAGAGATATTCCATAAACGAATGATAAATATAGATATAAATTGAATTATATATACATAATTTACCAATTAAAATTACTGGGCGAATATTGAATGTCATAATACCAACATAATTATTTTAAAAAGCAAAAAAAAAAAAAAGATAATAGTGCTGGATTTGTAACTAATAAATGATACGGCTTATGATAGAGAGACACTTAGAGAATCCATTAGCGTCCGATCTTCCAAGCTACATCAGATCTCCGAAGACCACATTGCAGGGTAGGAAGCAACATAGGAGATCTAATTACACAATCGGCAGCCACGGCAGAGTTGTCACCAGTCAAAAATCTCGGAGAGGCTACACGGAGTCGCTTCACTCGATTCTGCTACACATTGGAAATTGCAGAGATGAGCAATCCATCACAGGCACTTGCTTATCACTCTCTGAAGCGACCGCTTTATCATCCCCGGCGACGCGACGTTGCTGCTTCTTAGCTGCAGTGAACGCCAGAGTAAACCATGTCAGTGAACGAGGAACGGAATGCAGGAGGAAGTGATGGGGGTTTTGGAGTCGCCCGAACCTTGGATTTCACGGACAGTGCAAGCATGCCGTCGACGGAGGAGGATTGCACCGAGATGGGATCCAGATGGAGGTTGCTCATCGACTCGACGACCTCGAGCAGCAAGCACTCCCGCCACGGGCATCGCAGCTCGACCAGCACCTCCTTCTCCTTCACTGTGACGGTGACGTGGACGGGGCCGTGCTTGGACAGGACGAAGTGGTGCTCCGCCACTCCCTCGTCGATGTCGCAGGCCTTCCTCTTGTTGCCCAGCGGCTTCCATTCGTTGGTGATCTCATTGCCCAAGTAGTTGTCGGATGTTCTCTCTGCTACGTCAGGATTCTTCCGTCGATCGGTGGTGCCGAGCACAGCTGTGCCGGATTCCAGCTCCTGCACTCTTCTCTCGAGATGCTTCAGATACTGTGTCGTGTCATCGAGGATCGAAGCCTTGTCGATCTGACGAGAGAAACAACAACGAATGAGGTACGTATGCGCGTCTACGATCAAAATGGTCTAAGAAGGCAAATCCGATTACCTTGCCACCGGTAGGAACTAATGATCTCAGAGCGAGAAATTTCTCGTTCAGCTTCTCTCTTCTCCTCCTCTCGGACAAGACATGATTTCCACGCCACCACGCTCTATCCATCAGAATCTTCTTCAGCAGTTTCTGAGGCGTGCTCATGAATGATTTGGGAGTGTTGAAGCCTCTTCGCCAGACCACAAAACTGGACCTGAAGGACACCTTGAGGAAGCACAGAACTGGGTTGACCTGCTTCGAGGTCCGCAAAATGGTGGCCACTGTCTCTGCGTAGTGTGAATCGTCACCATCGAGATCCAGAGAGCTGTGCTTGCTATGGTTTCCCTCTTGAAGACCACCAAGCATCTGGTTTCCGGTCGGTTCCCTCATTGCAGAAGACACAGCCCTCTGGGCATTGACGAAGGACAGCGTCGCATACTCATTGGAGCTCAGAGATCCATGTAGCAGGCCATTGCTGAACTCATCATCTACCAGTTGCATGCTGTGAGTCCGGGACGTGCCATTGAGCCCATCAGCTCCCAATAGGTCTTCAAGCTGATGAGTGAGGCAGCACTCGTTTGAACTGTCATCCGGAGAACATGTGTCCGGTTCCTCACGGATGTTCTGATGGAGCTCCTCAACCTTGACTGATTCAGTATGTTCAATGGACACATATGAATGGAAAGGAAATGGGAAATGTGTTGGATCACTCTCCAATGGAGTTTGGCGGTCGGTGATCAAGTTGTGGTCGCCCAAGGGGATCGAATTGTCGATACCATTATCGATATCTGGGCATATTATGCCTTCACCACGCTCAGCTAATTGTGGACTGGATATGGATTGTTCATAACATATAGGATTTGGCAGCTCCCAGAAGAAACTTGTGATTTGCTTTACGAGATCAACATCCTCCAAAATCTTAAAACAGGACACAACAAATCAGTCGAAATTTAGCTGAATGAGAAGTCTAGTTCAGAGTTTTCCACCATGTTCAGTAGATTGGAGCTCACCAATTCAGTTGTGCCCAACTCCAGTACTCCACCCATGAAAGGGATGCATACTACAGTCTGCAAAAAGAGGGAGACATAAACAGATGCAAAAGTAGAGATTGGAGATTGGTGCTAACATAATTCCAGACAAATGATTTTGGAACTATTTGAGAGACTGAAGAAAATGCCAATTGTTATTAGAATTGGGAAACTAAACCACAAGAAAGAGTATGTAGCAGCTGCTGGTTTCATACCTGAATAGATGCACTCTGGATGATGCATGACAGGGATCAATCGAGCAATCCGCAAATTGCATATCGAAAATGACAGAGTAGAGAAACATCAGCTTCTACAAGAACTAATACAGTGCAAATTGAGCGCGAATTACGTAATCTACCTTTGCTAGAAGAGAGCGCGAAAAAATCTTGCTATCTGCAAATTGAGCATTGTTCAACCAGATGTGCTGATTGTTGGCTAAGGCTTTGCCTGGCAATCTGAAACAGCAGCAGGAAGCTACATAAACATGGAATTTAGACCATGCAAAACAAGTGACTTGAGATACCTTGGTCACTCAGGATGCTACATTTGATATTGTCTTATATATATGCTATAAACTCTCCATGATAGGATGTAGAAATCCATCATTTCTTCATTAATCAATGCAAACAGGAAACAGAGGACATGGAGGGAGGGAACTCTAAGCTTTCAAGATGAGAATTTACCCTTGTCCTAGAGTGAACTTGAAGGTCATGCAAACCAAGTAATACCACTCCGCATCGGTTAGGTCTTCAGGAGACAGAGAAGCAGAAGGCCTTCTTGTCTGCTGAATGCTGTCGCCTGCCGAAAGCGTTTCATACAGTTCTCTCAGTTGCTCACTCCTCTGAAGGCCCATTTGATCAGCTTTGAGTTCTATCGGCTGAGTCATCTTCCTCGTCTTTATATCACCATTGTAGTACCCATCACTCCATGCCAACACTCTGAACAAAGTGAACAAGGAAATCTTAAGCATTAACCATAAAGAATGCACTCAACCATAATGCAAGACTAATTAGCAAATGAGCAACAAAACAAATAAAATGATTCTAATCAAAGATACTTTTTGATGGCAAAAGTTTTCTAAACTGAGTGATATGATTCTGTCAAGTGGCATTGCTCTTTAAGCAGCAGCAACCTAGAAGAAACTAAACAAGATGAGGAGTTTGATGTGATATGTTTGCAGCATGCTCTCTGCCTCAAGACTCTTTGCATGGCAACATGTTGTCCAGCTCTGCTTGTGTTCATGAAATGAATGAACACATGACTAGATAAAATAGCATAAGATTGAGAGAGTGTTGTCTTGTGCTAGAAGATAAAGCCAAGCTCACATTAGGAGCCATATGGTTGGAAATCCCTCAAAATTAAGCAGTATTGTGACAAGACATGGCATGAATCAACTTCTGTTTTCAGTACAGAAATCATTCAGATCTACATGAGAAAAATGAACAGAACTTGAACAGTAAAAGAGATCATCACAAATGAACATTAAGGAGCATGGCATCATTGGCATTCACTAAAATCATGAGGCTTTGATCATTAAGGAGCCTTCTAAAACAAATAAAATTGGCATAAACAACTTAGAAATGGATAATCACTCATAAAAATCTGGCGTACACATTGTAATAGTTTTCAAAATTGGCATCAAATCAACTATCAGTAACTCTTGGGACCAAAAGCAGAAGATGAATCCAAAGAAGACATAACATTTCACAGAATGTGGATCTCTTCTAGCTTGACATGAGTGAATCTGCAAAAGGCTTACCTTCCAGAATAAATAAAGATCCATAGAGTCTCCTTGACATCACTAGAATATACAACTAAAATGTGAATCCAGTTAGTAAGAGTATGAAGCTGTGCTGCAAAGTGTTACACTATCAAGCTTGACAAGATTATAATCTATATGCATGCTAATTTCCATTTTTCTGGCAAATCTTAACACTCTAGATAAGAATTTAAAAGAGAAAAGAGTGTCTGAAACAAGTTATTTAATGTCAAAGAAACCACACAAGATTGCGTTGGTCGGAGCAGCTTCTTTACCCTGGTTGCCTGGTGGAGATGGACCAAAAGATTGCATAGCTCCACTGGATCTTCCTAACTGTAGCAGCAATCTGCTTCCTGAGGTGGTGCTTCTCGGGTAATTCTTCATGGATTTCGAGATCTGCTTCCATTGCTCGACACAACCCTGACCTGTACCAAAAGCATGCAAAGAAATGCCACCAACTTAAGACTCAAAAGAAGGTCTTGTTTTCGCATGCAAACCGATGCTTTTCCATCTTGCAGATTCAACCTTCACCGGACCAGCTGGTCGCTGAAGTTGTACAGAGAAGGAGTCAGCTCAGTCAAGGTAACAAGAGTTGGGAGGCTCCCAGCTTTACAAATAGGTCAATGATGCTTAATCTGAAAAGAAATCCTTGAGGACTCTGTTCTCTTCTTTCTCCGGCAAAATTCCGACCCTTGGCCCTCCCAAGGAAAAGAAATCTGCTGCTTTTTTCTCCTTGGGAAGATGAGAAAGCCCCGCCATCTTTGTTGGTATAAATGCTCAATGAAAACTAGTGGAGTCCACACAAGCTAGTTTACGACAGTCTCCTGCATCCCAAAAGGTCCATTGGAGTCTGGAGTCTTCAGGAAGGAAACAGGGAGCTCAGATACCAGCACCGCAGAGGAGAAGGTGATCTTCCATTACGTATGAGAAGAGAGTGTTAAGGTCAGGGTATTGATGTTTGAAATCAGTTTGCGTTGGACACGGGCAGTAATAACATGTGCACAGTGCATGTCTTCTCTCTTATCATCTGAATCCATTTCAGGACACTTCGTTTGCTCTGGATCCTTTCAGAGCATAAATAGTTTGATCGAGCTCAGCAGCAGGGCATTAATGGGTTTACCTACGTTTCTGGGACCAACCAAGCAAAAGCCATGGGCAGTGGAGCTCGGTAAAAGCTTCTGCCACCGGCTATTCACCTTTTGTTTTCCTGATTCCTCTAACCTTTTGGGATTCAATGGTGACGAGACAGGACAGAGAGCACAACAAAGAATAACACCATTGACAGCAATCCATCACCATCCCATCTCTCTCTGGTCTCAGAGCGAGAGAGAGAGAGAGAGAGCTGAGATTTGCTTCAAGATTTGCTGGAGAGAACACTGCAGAAACAACAGAAGCGAATTCTGCGCCAAGACTACAACAGATACGATGTATCCGTCCAAGGAAACTAAGTAGAATTGTGCCGTGGATGATTAGAGTGGAACTAACAGGTCTGCTACGCACTGAAATCTGTCTTCCTGTCACACATGTGACTGCGATGGCCAGAATCACATGTTGATTGCCATAGCTCGGACTTCCTCTTCATCTGTCATTTAGATCAAAGACATACAACCTTTTAATGTCACATCCGACATGCAAATATAGCTAAGTTTATATAAGATACAGATCTGATGAGTTGCCTCGATGCGCTGTGGTTGATATCGATTCAAAGTTACTATGGAATGAATGCTTGGCTTGGATTCTCTCTCCCTTCAAAGGTGTTGTAGAAACCGGCCCACCACGCACCTATCATTAAAAAGAGTTTGGGAGTGGGGTGGGGGAAGAAAAGGAGGAGCCGTACGCCAGCACTAGTGCTGCCTGGAGGAGCTGCCTGGAGGAGCTGTTGAAGTGGCACCTGCATTCATTCACCATTCAAACTGTACCCTACACTATCAGAAATTTGCCTGTCTGCTACTGCAGCGGCTTGTAGTTGTATGTTGAGACTTTTAACACGTCTGAGATGCTGCAGATGCACCCTTTTTACCTTTGAGCAGTATGAAATGCTATTCCCCTTTATCACTGTAGATCATTCTCTCTCTCTCTCTCTCTCTCTCATGCTCTTTGCTTTTGCAAATGGTGGCACAGCCCGGTGAGTACTATCTTCATCGACCATCGATCAACAACAGCTCTTGCTTGATGCTTTAAATTATCACCACCACCACCACCACCCAGCAGAAGCAGAGGCAGCAACGACAACTTCTTGAGGGAGAAGGAGAGCAGCAACGACAACTCCACAATTAATGTGGATGTGACTGAGCTGCTTCACATTTCCTTCAGGCCATTATTACGTCCTGCAAAACAAGCGTCAGAGACGGCGCCCTCGCACCAGTCCGATCCGTTCCCTTCCTCCACAGGAAGTCTGCCATGAGCAGATGTGGGCTTGTCCAGATGCTGCCGTAAGCTACATGGACTGACTGGTCGAGAGTCACGGCCTCAGAACTGTCACTTCGTTCTCCCGTGGCCGGCACTCCATGTCGAGCTGGTATCAGCCACCTGCATTACCTGTACGTCTCAATCGACCATCCAAGTTTTGCGACGTAGTGTGATGCACATATTGTAGCATACGATTACGCCGTATTCCTAGGTTTATCTTGGCATCGTCTCATCACATTTGGACAGTTCATGATCGACTCCAAGAACATCCGCGGTGTGATGCTTGATGGTGATGTATGTCTTCTTTCTTTCCATGTATGGATTAGCCTCGAGAACAGGTTTTGGATTCCATTCGTAGCATTTATCTGTGAAAGAGGAGGAATAAGTGATGTAATGTGGTCCGGAATCTGCAGCCTTTCACCATGGATGTCTCATCTTCCATGTTTATCCTTCCTGCTGCATCCACATTGTTCATGTGCTGGTGTCAAGCACTAAAGGTCGGATATGAAGCTCTTAGAGTATTTTCTTCTTTTTTTTTTCTTTTTCCAAAAATATAAGGATTTGCCTCTTGATATACATGGGCAAATTTTCAAAAAAAAATTATTTTGTCATAAAAATTTATAGAACATTTATTTTGTCATAAAAAAATAATTTTATTTCCAACCTCCACCTCATCGGTTATCGTCTGTCTTTAGTTACCTTCGTGTTCGATCGTAGTTTCGAGCATGAATAGTAATAACAATAGAGAAAGAGAAGAAGAAGGCAAGAGCAATAGTATGAGAGTAAAGGTGGTGATCGATAAAGTATGAGGACAATAGAGTGGATGAATACATGACTAAAAATAAAGACAAAGATAACTAGCGACAGAGGTGGAGACCATTATACTCGTAGGCAAAATGATCTTTTAGGAAAGGAAAAAAAATTGAAAATGAAAGTGCTTTCTAGAAATTTCTCAAAATATTCTTATAGTTAATCTTTTTTATTTGGCCATCAAACATAATGACATTAATACTCCTTAAAAATATTTTCATATATCTCTCTTAAATTTATGAATTATATATTTATTCATCTAAATTTCAACAAAAAAAAAGGGGTATCAAATAATTAACAATGGTGTAAGAGCATTATAACTATAAATTAATATATTAAATTATTTTTTTATGATTATATGTATCTAAGATCAAAATATCATTGCAACCCACTTCAAATTTTTATACTTGTGTTATATAACAGTATACCAAACTTACTTATCAAATGTTAAGGATTTAAAATCTTATATTATAATTTGTTACCCCTAAAATATTATTCTAATGATATATCTAACTCATTTTTTTAAAGAATAAATACTGAAAACAAAATTCAAACTAAATAGATTCGATGCATCATTATTAAATCAATATTTGATATATAATTTATTGAACTCATTTATAAGAGTTGAGAACTTAGACGTGGCTTGAGATGGAATCCGGTGTTTACCACTCGAGACTATGAATGGTGTGTTGGCGGAGGGCAGGACGGCGAGCCTGAGAGGGAGGAGACAAAGTCCACAACTCTGAGGCGAGGACAACTGTGGGCGGAGCAGAAGGCTATCGGCCACAGGACCCCTCGACGCCACTCAGAGCCCTGCTTTTGGGAGGACCTTCCCCGAGACGCAGGCGGCCGGGCGGCAGCCGGTCCGAGAACAAAAAGGTCTCAGGCATCGGTGAGGCGAGACGAACGCCCGCCCTCCGTGGTGGCCCCCTCCACGTCGATCGAGAAGCCCGAGGTCAAGACGAGGAGTATGCAGCTGCCGGTCCCATGGCGTCTGCCCCCGGTCGCTTTACCATGAGACGCTCGTCAGCTTTGGCGTGGTGTCTTCTCTCCGATGCCCGGGACACGTGGTACGCACCTCATGTTCTTCGCCACCATCCCCACTGCTACTGTTTCAAACGTGAAATCAATTTACGAACAGTGAGATTTCAGACCGATAAACAATTATCAAACTCACGTTAGATAAGATTTAAATCGGTTTAGTACATTATCGTTAGAATCATCATACGTTTTGCATCGCCCGTGAACTTATGGAGCCCCACAAACGTGGAGAGCATCATTGCCATACGGGCGGTGCCAAAGCGACATCACGCAGAGAGGGGGGAGCTTTTGGCCAGTGTTTTGTTGCACCGTCATGGCATCTCTTGGCAAGCCAAAGATTCCTTAATCCATGTCGTACGAGTCGGGGGTCCTTTGGTTGCATGACGAGTCTCGTCATCTTTTCACGCATGGCAACGCCATGGTTCGTGCGAGTCGATCGAAACAGGTCATCTCTTGTGTGCCGCTTCAGAACGGAGGAGCGAATGAAGTCTGTACCTCTCTGTCCGCTCGGTACTAAGTTCGAGCTAACACAAGAATGTGGCTCTAATGTGCATTACGAACAGTAAAGGCAAGTTTATTGCGTCCTAATTGCTCGCTCGCTCACTGCACTCCAACTCCGACCTAATCTTTTGACTTTGTCTTTAACGGTTGGTTTCCGAACCAAAACCGTCAAAAAAAAATTTTATTTTATTAATATTTAATTATTAATTTTTATTTTTATCGATATGTTTTGGTTCGATTCGGAATCGTGAAATCGTTGATCGATTTCGGTTTCGATTTTGATTAGTATAATTCTTAGTTTTGTAGTCACATGTAGTCTTAGGTATTAGGATATCTCTTTGTGGATCAACGAACTATCGTCGTATTATATTCTCTTATTTTTTAATTAAAATTAAAAGAATTACTTGATCTGGTGTATATGGTTGATCTTATTGATTCGTATCAACGATCAATCAGTATGACAAGACATATCGATGAATGTACTGTCCGTATCGATCCCATCGATCTCCTGTCGAACTAATACGTACCACTCATTGAATGATGTATTGTTATAGTAATTTAAGCAATTAAGTCGCATGATGGCGTGAAATCCAAAAATACAAACTAAACGATCGCAAAAATTGATAGTGCAAAAACAAAAAAAATTAACCTCCAACTTAGGCATAAATAAGTTAAAATATCGTAAATCTAAATAGGGAATTTGTGTGTTTTAACTATATTCCTTGGCCTCGGACGTTCCACATCGTGAAGAATCGGAGAAGAGTTATTTATAGCCTTTTTCTCCGATAGAAGGCTGTGATGCAGCAGCGAAGAATTAGTAGAAGAAGAAGAATAAAAGCTCCAACACAAATAACATGGTGTAGTACATCAATCATATGCCAACTTGTCTGTCCAATTACCTATGTTTATGTAGTTTGCAAGGTGGGTGTTGTTGGTGAACAAATGTGTCATGGCTGGTGAGTTAGCATGGCTAGATCCACGGGTTGATGTCAGGAGTTCTATGTTAGTTGAACTGGACGCCGAGGTAGGTCGAGCCTCCCCGACGGGGTGCTGGTCACCGTTTCTTGGTCCAAGCATCGTCTGCGTCGAGCTACGTCTCTCCGTTCCCGGGATAGGTGACAGCTCGCACTCCTTCCCCGGGTGGTGATTTTCGAGTCGAGGCGCTCGTGGCTCGGGGTGATCGTTTTCCTGCAAAAAAGACCTTCGTCGGGTGATTCCCGATTTTCGCCCCTCCGACGAGCTAGTTAGCTGTCTCCTTTCTCTCTCTCCCTGTTGGGAGTCAGGATAGAGGTCTTTATACTATTGTGAGAGGGTCGATCGTACGTGAATTGGCGTGGTGGACACAGCACGACACCCGTACGAATTCTGGCTTGACAGGCGGGGCATTGCCATTTCGGGATTACTGGGATCAGGCGTGTCGAATAATGTCTTAGGAGTATAAGCTCTGACATGACGTGTGCATCAGCTATGAGGTGTCATGGGGTAAAACATGCCCTATCAGGTGTCTCGTTGTTCTCCCACCGGGCACTGGAATCGACGTCAACCTCTCCCCTACCACGCACAGAACTGGACAATGCATGCACTGATCTAATCGGAACACTTACCTATGTTCGTATAGTGTGTCAGCTAGGTGATGACTTCCAGCCTCTTCCCTGCCATGTTTGTGTGAGACATCCTGTAGTGTGATGGCCCCTAAGGGTGGGGTTGGCAGTCATCAATTACCTCAGTCTGTGGAACCCATATGAGTCGAGCAATACGTGATTACTTTTTCCGAAACGCATGACTTTTTACCACTCCGAACATGTCAATATAACGTATCTGTTATTCTTAGAACAATCGATGCTAATAGTTCTTGGATGTTTTTTCCAAGTCAATCGAAGTCTCACTTCAATCTCAATTGAGATTTGATTCGTCCAACTCTTAAAGACGTCGGATTAAAAAACTAATTTGAGGGGGTGATTACGTGTAGTAATTACACATCGCTCTTAAGTTTAATTGTGAGTTTGATATTGTGGTATGTTGAATTCGGATTAAAAACTGCTGTGCCTTTCTCAAAATGGTAGGTTTGTGCCTCGTCTTCCTCTCTCTCTCTCTCTCTCTCTCAAAGTGATAGGTTTGTGCCTGTCTTCCTTTGTGCTTCTCTCTCCAAAGATGGTACCACAATTTGTGCCGATACACCATGTGTCGGTAGACTGATGTCAACCAGATCGATGCCAAAATTGAGTTTCTTCAAGTATAACCAATCTCATGTCAAGTGATATCAAAACATTCTTGCTTTTATTCAATTACTCTGTTTCTTAATTAGGCATCCGATGACCATTTAGAAGCTCCAAAATGGTGGTGAGAGATGAATACCCCGTAATTATGACTTGTCCAATGAACATACATTGTATGTACATTATTTATTTACGGAACACCATTTCGCCAGACTCATCCTTCTCGAAGACCTGTTTAATCCACTCGGCCAACTTCGAACTATGCGTCTCGCTGCTAGATGGTGCTGAATGAAGCTCGCTGGCACCTCCGGTGGATTGGTCATTGAATGTGCCGTATGTTGATGGCAAGTACGCATCTGGCACAGCCATTATGACAGCACGCCGGAGTGCAGCCTCATGCTCCTCGCTGTGCTCCCTGTCGATCGTCTTCTGGCGCTCCATCCGTGGCTTCGGAGGGATCACCATGAGCCTTTCCTTCTCCAGCATCAACTGCAAATTTCAAAAGATTCAGGTTGGTTCACAGAATCTGATATGGAGATCGAATAACTTGGTAGGTTCAACTGGATCTAACACTTAACGACTATTAGCAGTATGATTTTTCTTCATCTGTGTCAACAGCACAACAAGCAGAGTATCGGTGACGATAACTCGAATGAACATTACAGATGATATCCATGCAAATGTATGCTCATGCAGAGACACATGCTCACATGTAAAGTTTCTTCGACAGCAACTATCTAAGCATTTGATTCCGCTGACTGTCTTCAACATATTCTAAATTTGCTGTTTGATAAGTTTGCACCTTCAAGTAACTGGATGTCGTAATCTTATGTCCCGGTCAGTAGCTCGTGGACTGATATGCTGGAAGGGATTGTTCAAGAATATTTGAATAAAAGGAGAAACTTTTGAGTTGTGATCCAAAGCCTATAATTTTTGCATCTCTAAGAATTATTTTTGTTCCTTTGCTTACCGTAACACCATTTGACAGGTGCAATACAAAGCATGCGAATATAAGGGAAGGCAAGAGGAAGCAAAGTGGTTGTAGTTATAAAGATGGAACAACATTCTCGAAATAAGAGAGTTCCCTACTGCATGCACAATGAGAGACAGCTATGATAACAGAATCTCACTACAGGCGGACTTCTGAGATTGTTGTGGGCTAATTGTTCTAGAACATATGGGAGCAACAGGTATATAGTCGTGATGGAAAAATATTAATCTCTAGTACTTTATCCAATAGGAGAAATATTATACTGATTAAATCATAATATGGATACTCAGTTTGAAAGCTTTTATTTTCTGTGTGTAAAGATAAGAACATCTTTACCTAATGATAGAGGGTATCCTACCATCACCGAGAAACTGTAGAACATTAAGATAGATCAGAAGAGAAGGCATTAAATACAGGACTCACATCTAAGGCCTTTTGAGCTTCTCTCTCTATCCAAATAATGGCATGGTCGGACGTGGCATTGCAGGAAAGAACAATGTGCTCAAATCTTCCATCCACAGGCACAGCAGTTCTAACAACTGGTGGAAATCTTCCACATCTGTGACCAGTGAAAATTTCAGGTAAGTAATCTTTGAAAGAAAAGAAAAAGGTATTGTTTTTTGAGGCAAAATGGTCAAATAGCTCCTATAAAAAAGAATACAGAATCTCTTTTATCTTATGTTGGAATAAGATACAGTTCAATAATAGATATATTTGCAGAAGCAATGCCAATCATCGCAGGAAAGAGCAGAGATACACCAATGGTCAGGCTTATTCATTAAATATTGCTGAAATAAAAATTGTGAATTTAATGGAGTATGTTCCCACCATTGCAGGGTCTAGGGAGGGTTCAGGCAATTGCAACCTAGGTTCCTTCAGGCTTGTCTATCAATGCAACCACTGGATCAAGTTCCCAAGCTACCCTACTATCAGAGTGTTTCTCTCACATTTTCTTTTTTTTCTCTTCTGATGGTGAAGGGACCATCTTTTCCTTTTTTATTATTCTTGTGAAGGATGCTAATACAAATGAAAACTTGTATTTCTATATCGCTGTGTTCTAACCAATTCTTTTATACAGCATCTCAAGATAAAAAGGAATTGTGAATGCCATCTTTCTGGTTCAAGTGCATGAGGATGTTATACCTGAGCGGCTTCCTTTCAACAATGTGGTACAGCCTTCCTGGTGCATAGAGCCTCCGTGGATCTCTTAACATTGCATCTTCTGGTATGCAAGTGTCTGCCATGCATCTTAGACATAACAGGCATGGTAAACTGTTGAAAGAAAATTGTATCAACCATTCCAAATAAGACAGATATATGAATTCATGAGTTTGCAAGATAGGAGTACAAAAAAAAATTTCAAACTGTGCTAGCATCTCCAACATGGCTTTTCTTTTGCAAAGATATTAGATACCAAAGGCACAAAGAAGGAAAATACGTACAGGTAGGCCAATTAACTGTAATCAATATAAAAGAATACATGTGAGGCTTTGGAAACGAACATATCATGCGTACCATACCACTGCATGCTGTGCCTGCCCTTTGGAAACGAGCATATCAATCATGCCATGCCACTCTGATATATATTCATAAGCATCTACAATGATGTATACCGTGCCCTTGAAAAATATGCATTTCACGTCATCATAAACAAGGGTGCATCCCATTGTTCCATATTATTCATGTATCCATCTTGAGCAGATCATGCATAATAATATTGACATCCTAGACCATCGATACTCTGTTTTCACTAACGGAAGAGAAGTTTTGATTTTCTCAAATCCCATAAGTTGTCCAAAATATGTAATTTACAACCTTTGCGTTTTCTCCCAACAAGTTGTAGGGAAAATTTGGATCTTTGTTGGGTCTCACAAATCAGTGATTTCAAGAGTCTCTGTAATTTAATCAAAATTTGTTAGATGCCTTGTGATAGGTTTCGAACATGAAGTATCAATGCTTCGCTTCTTAGGACCTAGATTAGTTGGCTCAAACTTAACTGCTTTTCCTTATCAGTTTATCTTACAGTTTTGTTGTTACTCAAAATGTGTAAGATGTATTGTGACAGCTTTCGAGCATGTTGTATTGACACTTCAGTTCCTATGATCTAAATTAATTGGCTCAAACTTCAGCAATTTTCCTGACCATAATATCTAATAATTTTGTTGAACTTGATCACAAACGGTACCTTGTAACTGCTGTCAGTCCTCAACTGGTTGAAAAGGTGCTGGGTTCTGTTCATTCATTTAGCAAACAAATAGGACTGTGGGAGAAATTTAAGGACAAATAGTATATGAATCTAGGTTTATCTGTTAGTAATCCACATAGGATACAATGAAAATTCATCAACCTACAGACCTACAGATTAAGCTTCTTCAAAGCTTCAATTAAACAGTGACTACCAGGCAGTTCTACAACATCCCTAATGACACAAGTATTTGCCACATATCTCTGCACATCTGCCCTTTAACATTGTCTCCTCCAACTTTTTACGTTGTAACATATACCATTAGAAATCACTTGAGTTTTAGAGATAAGGTACATAAACAAAAGAAAAAAAAAGTCTATTGATCAAGATGCACGAGTAATACAAAGGGGGAAAAAGTTTCAATAAGATGGGAAATAGCAGTCACTAATGTTTTTTGTTTTTTTGCAAAGGGTAAGTAGCGAAGACAGGATTCGAGCACAGAATCTTGTGATAAAGTATCAGTTTTTATCAATTAAGCTAGTCAGCACCATAAAAACAATGTCGGATGAAATTTCGAACCATCAATATTTGGTAAGTGCATCTAGTACATTACCACCAAACCAATGTTTTGTGTACCAATGCTTCTAATTATATGAATTACAACATGAAATCCTAGTAGATTGAAAATTGTTAAGGCTTTTGAATCCTTTACTATCCATTTTTGAATTTCTATGAAAACCTTATGATGCCAAAACAAAGAGACCCTACAAGCACAACAGCATGCATGTTTTATACCTCTTTAAAAAGTTGTATATTACATTTTGCTGGAGGAACTAATGAAAATATTGTGAAGGGACAGAAAATGTCTGACAGGAACAGATTGAGTTTAACTTTTATCCATGGAATACTATTCATTCTGCACTTCAATATAAATAATTCGTCCAAGTGAAAATGTCAAATGAAACAAGGCCTTACTCTAAAAGATGAGGCCTCAATTTACCAGAAAAGTGACTTGAATATATCCTCAAGAGGTGTAGCTGTTCGAGGCAGAAAATCATCCTGAGCCATCATAGGAAACAATCCCGAGATCAGCACTAATAGAAGATAGGAAGTCAAAATATTATTGTGCTGTGCATGACTTCTACAACTTCATGGTACAAATTACAATTTCATAGAAGATTCTAGAATTATTGAACAGTCTAAAATGTCCAGTGAGCAAAATCTTCATAAATATACAATTTAAACTGGTTTATCCCCCTTGCTATACAAAACTTGGTAGAATTAGAAAAGAATTATACAAAACTAGGACATTATGACTACAGGTGTTCTCAAGCATTAGCTAGGCCAAATCCTTTAATAAGAACAAAGTGGAGCATGGATCCCAACATCCAGTGAACTTAGAAAGTGAGTAAATTCAGGAGTAAAACTCTTTGAATCTACAGTTTTATCAGAGATTCCAGGCTCAAACAAACTGAAGCTCACTTAACAATCATCTCTCTTTTAAACCAATGACTGATTACACCTGCCGACCATAGAGAGTGATCACTCATGGAGTGTTGATTTATTCTTGCTTTCAAACTTTTCATGAGGATAACACAGAAAAAATCATGTCAGTTTGAACTGTTAATAAACTTTAAGACCCAATTAGCATCAGAGTTCGAGGTCACCTGTTGTGTCATGTGGTATCTAAATTTTATTAGATAGTTGATACTCTCAAAACTTCCAAACAAGTGCAAAATTTGTCTTGTCAATAGGGAAGCTTCACTTTTTTGGTTCACTTTGTACTTACCAAGACTGAAGGTCACAATTGTGTTGGTTAAAACCAGGAAACCTGAATTACTCAGTTTCAGAAGTTCACAAGTGGGGGCAAAAATTATATCTCTGATTATGGAACTCTAATATTCACAATTGTGTCCAATTTTAATTCATTATAAACAATATGTGACCTGAATATAATTAGGGTTGAAAAGGCCAGGCAATGCAGGCACTTCTGTGTAAAAACTAAACTCGATACCAAAGAACAAGAATGATCTTGTTATTACTGTGTAACCACTCTTTTCTTCCCTCTTTGTTTTTACAATCTGTTCTCAATTTCTCTGGTTTTCTTAATTTTATTAGAGAATGCATATTCTTATGAATATGTGTTACTGTTATAAATTTGTGTGTGTTAGATACACTACATCTGGTTGGCATAGTGTATGTATAAAATATAGTTGCTATGTGAGATTATGGGGTATAGTTGATATAAAAAACGCAATAAAACAGCAGCTTTATTCCAATACATTGTCAGGGTTTTGAGAGTAACTACTAATTTCATTTTCTGAATAAATTGACATTTTGCACATTAGACCATAGTATTAATTTCTCTTGGCATATCCTCATCAACGCTCTCTAAGACCTCGGTTCATGCACGAGGAATAAGTTTTCAGAAAATCATCCAAGAAAAAATCAGAATGTACTTAGGGCTTTCACTTCCTTTAAAATCATATGTTCATATTGAGAATTTCCACTAAATTCATATGACAAAAGAACAGTAATCAATAAGGAGAGATGTAGAGCAATAAATTCTTGCCTGAAGAACAACCGAGTTGATAACATCCGCATATCTGACAGCCAAGTTGAGTGAGACGCATCTTGCAGGCGCAATTGCGAAGCACCTCATTCTCTTCCTCTCTGCATCCCCCAATTTATCCAGATTATGAACGGCCACCATTGCCAGCAGTGCTGCAACACCAGAACCCAGAGAATGCCCCGCGAATGTAAGAGTGTACTCTGGATACTTCTCCAACAATTCCCTCAAAATTTTGCATTCAGCATCAAATACCCAAACAGCTGCTGTCAATAGCCCATTGTGAACATAGCCACCAGAAAATTTCCTCTTTCCGAGCCCATTATCCAGCAACAAGGCATAGTCACCCTCTTGAGCAAAATTAAAGCCTCTTATCGCGAGCACGATATCGGAATTTTTGTGATCGACGTAGATCAAATACGGTGGAGCATGGCCATGGGTGTCCTCATAGGTCTTGCGAAGGACGACGGACCGGGTATCGATGCCATAGCCTCCCGGTGGTGCCCACTGGGGGTGATCAAGGTCATCCTCATAGACCGCGAGGATGTACCGGCAGAGTCGAGGCACGGGCTCGAACTCGACGGTCGATGCCAGGCCCCAGGTCTCGCTGTCATGGCCTGCGCTGTGGAGGAGGCGCTTCCAGGCCCAGCGGGCGCACGCAAGGCAGTACACGCACTCGACGATAGGCAGGCAGCAAGCGAGTGACATCGACAGTCAAGCGCTGTAGACGGCCGGGAATTCCGATTGGAACTACATGGCCGTGCTCGATCTTTCTGAGGCCATGGGAAGGACAGATAAGAGGAGATTGATGGGGATTCTGGTTGTCATGTGTCCCTCCATACGAAAGCTAGGAATTCCCGCACCAGCTCCTCGTATCAGCAAGTAATCGAGAGCTGGCAACTTGTAGGATCTGCAGCAGAACTCCACCAAGGAAGTAGAATTGGAGCTGCAGAAAAGGCCACTTGCAGAAGGGAAAGGAAGGGAAGGGATGGATCAGGAGTTCATTAACAAGGCAGAGAAGAATCCACTTACCACTGAACAAGAAAGAAGACTTGAATCTGCTTGTTGTATTGCCAAAGCAAGTGGTGAAGGATTGCGGGTGAAGGTGGCAGAGATGCCCGGCTTTGGAATGACTACGGCTGAAGCAAGGGGGAGGAATAGTAACCACGGAAAGCTGGTAGCTATGAGAAAGGAAGGGGGATGAGGCGGAAGTCAAGAAGAGTTACAGGACAGACACAGGGCAAGCGGATCCAACTACTAGTCAAAAACAGGCTACCATGAGGCTGATTAGATGCCGGGAATCTATGCCGCTGCCATCTTAGATTCTGGAAGCATCGAGCATCATTTAGAATGCAGGGCAAAATATTATCAGAAAAGAAAAGAAAAAGGAAATAATGTTGAAGAAAGAGAATTGCTGAGGAAAGTGGAATGAATCCATGACCGGTGCGGAAGCTTTTGCTAAGCTTGGGAGTTGTGGTCGGAAGTGCTAATAATATTTAGGCTTGAAAATGAGGGATATGTTATTTATTATTTGTTAAACTAACTATGAACATATATCAAGCATGGTTATAAAGGACAATTAATTATATTGTTTTGGCATTGAATTGCTCTGTTGACTTGCAGTTGAGCCTGCAATAATGATCAGCTTGATGAACCGAACCTGTGAGTCCTGCTCAACAGCATCACCAGGCTGCCATTTCTCTCAAGATAAATTATTGGATACCGAAAAAGATTGATTTCTTTTTCCTTAATTCATAGCTTCTGATTCAATCTGAAAGTTCCTTTCTGAGGAAAGGATAAGTCAATCCTTTGTACTACAGATAAAAAGTGTTGATCAAAACTTTTCCTTGGGCTTTTGGAATTAGTTAGTTTTGTGTCATATCCTTGACTCTTGGAATCACCAGAAATTGCTGATAACACCAAACTGACTATAACAATATGACACCATAATAATAACTCAATTGATTACTGTTTTCCACATTCAACAAAGTGGCACCTTTGGTGGGAAAGAAGAAAGGCTTGAATCATCATCACCTGTTATAACTAAATTACACAAGGCAAAAAAGAATGCTTATAGTGTATTGAATTCCTGCATGGTCCCCTTGATAACCTTCCTTGCAATCTTTAACCATCCAGCCTCATCCTGTCGGCAAAGACTGAGCTGAACCCAGAGGCACTTGTACTCATACGCTTCAGAGATTACAGCATTCTGAAGCTTGATGGAATATCTGGAAGCTTCTAAAGCACACTGTTTCAAAGCTGCAACTAAAGAGATGATCTTCTCGATTGTTTTCTCAAGAACAGCTGAAGGCCTGACTCTTGGTTCAGCTGCCACTAGGCTTCTTAACTAAGTTTTCTCATCTTTGAATTGTCTCATCAACTGGAGAATGTTCCCCAGCACTTCCTCTCTAGTTCTTTTAGCCTCCTCCTCTGCCCAAGACCTGGTGAAGGCGTAGAATTTAAATTAGCCTTGTGATAGCTGTTTCCGTTGGACACTTACTCAAAGGACTACAGATTTACATAAGTGCTGCAACATAAGCTCTAAGATTCTTAATTTCAACATTCATGTGTATATATTTAGAAATTTAAAAGCTGAAAGTGTCAGTACAATAGAAAGGAAAACAAACAGAAAACAAAAAACGGTGATTTTTCTAATTGCAAATGATGGGCAAAGGCGAGGCTTCATATTGTGATGCATAGCTAGTTTAGTGCTGTGACCAATTACAATGCATCATAGATCAGTTTCTGTTACCAAAGATTAAAAAATGCTCTAATGTTGTCTCATTAAGTACCCTTAAGGTGTTAAGTTTCAGTCTGAAACCCATACTGGTCATTCGATGGACTGGTAGAGTACCAGTATGTTTTTGGGGAGGAGACCGTGGCAACATGACGATGATGAGGCAGAAGCAGTGATGTCGACAGAGATGAGGTGGAGGGAAAGTGAGAGAATCAAAGAGACAGAGAGATGGAAGGAAAGAGAAGAAAGTAAGGGGGATTGACAATGGTGATTACTGTCATGAAAAAACTGGTACCAGGCTGTAGACTTACAGGACCATATGCCATGTATGTTGAGCTTCCTGAGTGATATCGCTTATCCCAAATCGAACCAGGCGAAATCCTGAGATCCGCATGTCGTCTACTGTAGGACCGGTAAAAATCATATGGTTCCTGACGGTATGGTCGGTTCCTGAAACCTTTAGTACCCTTTCAGTGAAATGATCCCCTTAATAATATATAGAGAGACCATGGAAATGCAACTATAGCATAAACAATTTAGCACTATGCAAATACTTACAAATAACTAGCTTACCTAAGCAATGGACAAAACCTTCTCCTCAGCGTCCAGTTTGTACTGTAACTTTATATCAATCTGATTCTGGCTTTCTGCCTTCTTGTGTGATCAATCCTTTCCCTCTCAAAAGATATTTCCAGCTTGTTACTCATTAAACTGCTCTTGTGCTTCATGTCTTATCCTTAAAAGAACTTCCATTTTGGATCACCAGTGGCACATCCCCTGAATTAGGGTGTTATGTTCCTCCTATCTTTGTCTGTACTCTGTCTAATTCTAGCTTCACCTCTTCAGCCAAATTATCTAGAGCCTTTATCTTCTCCCTTTCCTTGGAAAGCTCTTTCTCAAAGTTTGCTGTAAGATCTTTCTCTACTTGGGCAACTAAAGCAGTGTGTGCACTCACATCAGTTTCAGCCAATGACTGAACCACAATACAAGCAAATTCCTCGCTGATAAACTCTGCTGCAGCACCAGTTAAAAGTGCAATAGCAGCTCGTGCCTTTGTGACATGTTGGTCAGGTTGAAATAATATTGTTCAAGGTTCATCTTATCGGTCCATATTAGTGTACCAACCATATATCGGTATGGTACATACCAAAGTGTACGGACAGTATGCCAAAAATCATCGAAAATGGCTCCAAATATATCTGAATAACAAAAAAAATTAAATTAGGATTTTAAGTTCAAAATAAATATAAATTTAGTATAATTTTAGCAAAAATAATCTAAATTAGGAAAGAATAGTAACATACCTTTTTTGGACTTTGAGTAGCTTTATAGTACGTTCCGAATCGTCGTTCCGTTAATATTGAATTATCTACAAAAAAATAATTTGAATTGTTAGATTTTTTTTAAACAATTTAAACTTTAAGATTCAAATGAATCAATTAATCAATCAATAAATATACCTAGTTCTACCACCAAAAAGAACGACGGGACTCAACAGGCAATGGATCAGGATCTTCAATCCTATGTATTTGTATATCAATTTGATATGTTTGTTGGACCCAATCCTGAAATTGATCCCATGACATAGTATACTGATACATTGTATGCCATTGGTGCATCAATGTGGTGATGGTCGTAGTTTGATCGTCGTGGATCACACGTGTCTGAGGCGACTCCTGAGGTAAGTACGATTGAGGCATGTATTGGTACGAAGCATGGAGAACAATGTCGGAATTTCTACTTTTGCCACTGATCTGCTGCTCCGTATCATAAAATTGATCACCGGACTGCTGCTCAGAGAAGTCTGACCAACTATCACCATATTGTTGTTGGTCGTAAGATTCTTTATAATACGATGACTGTGAATACGATGAGCTTTGCTCTGTGTCTACATTGTGTAGGCTCTGTCGCATCTGCTTAAAATCATCCACTGTCTTCCCCTTTCGTGTATAAACTTGACTAGTACCTTGTCGAGTTCCACGATCCGAATCTTGGGTGATAGGTGTAAAATACTGCTCCTCAGTCCATGCATCACCCTCAAATTGTGTAGATGGGACCATCGACTTCCCGACGTCACCGCCATCATCGGTCGAGGCACTGCTGTCCACGTCGCTACCATGTCTCTGGATTGAGCGGGTTGTTGAATACGATTGAGAAGGTGTTTCGTCGCTCGACTCGATTCTTCCCAATGGTGCGACTGATGTTACTGCCTTCCCCTTTGCTTTTGCTTTTGCATTTGCACGTTGCGCAGACGATTGTGACGGTTGGGTGTCTTTAGTTACTCGGGTAGTCTTACTCGATGTTGTCTGGCTCCTTCCGTCACGTTCTAACTGAGGGGAATCTTCCTCCTGCCGGGGATGTGCTTCTTCTTCTTTTATTGCCTTGATAATAAAACGCGAAGGACGTTGAGGATCTCCGGCCTCATCAAGTAGAGGATCCTCTAGATTCTCCATTGCTTCGACCCACTCTAACATTGGCTCTGAATCTTCGTTGTAAAATTGAAAGTCGATGGGATCAATCTCTGTTTCCTTTGGCTCCTTGTCCAACTCGGCACACTGCAACCTTAACTGCATGTTATAGTAGACATATACCAGTTTCTCAAACCGTCTATATGATAGTCTGTTGCGGACCTTTGTGTGAATCAATGCGAACGTTGACCAATTACGTTCACAACCACTAGATGTCGTTGTTTGCGAAAGTACACGGATGGCAACCTTTCGTAAATTTGGTGCATCTCCTCCAAATTGTAACCACCACTCGGCTACAAAAAAATATAAATCGGACTTTATTAGCATAACAAATAATTAATATCAAATAATTTATAATCAACATATGTGTAACTTTTTCTCACCAGGATCCATATTGTAACGACACGATATAGCTACAATGTCGGAGAATGAACCAATTGTTTCTAGGAATAATCGATTCTCCATGATAGCATCGGCTGCATTCGTAGTGTTTGACAAGAGTCGATATATAGCATTTCTTAGCGCTGACAATAAATCTGATCGCATGCCAAGACTATACCGAAATTGAATTGCCGGATTTAGATAATAGGCTGCAAGACAAATAATTTTGTTAGTAAGAATGTTTTAAATATTAAAAAATTATGAATTAAATTATATTGAATATGAATTTACCTGCATTATAAATATCTTGATCCATATAAACTTCAATCCTACGATCGATAATCTGTAAGTATTGATTGGCCTTAAAATCATCTTTGAATGCTTTCTTGACCTCCTCTCTTGCTGTAATTAACATATGTCTAAGATAAGGCATTTGGGGACGCTTATCTATATCGACTTTACGAAGGACAACATAAAGTGGTTCTACTCCTGTTATGATTTCTTTCACGACATCCCAAAATCTAGAAGAAAGAATAATCTTTTCCATCTTTTTTCCATCGCTCGATCTTGAATACCTAGAATCTGACCATTCTTGTGAGATGACCATTGCCATGAGGCCTTGTTTCTTTTGTTGTATTGACTTTAAGATAATGAAATTTGTAGCAAATCGAGTGACTCCAGGTCTGAGTATCTCACCATTTATATACTTTTGCATTAAAGAGTGGATCCAATGATTATTATATATAAACTTTGTAATAGACTGTGCTCGAGTTATACACTTGTTGACTGAGGGTAACTCACTAATATCCTTCAGCATTAGATCCATGCAATGAGTTGCACATGGAGTCCAAAACAATGTTTTTCTTTTTTTCATTAATTGTAAACCGGCCTTTTTGAAATTGGCTTCATTGTCGGTGACTATCTGAACAATGTATTGTGATCCGATCTCCTCTACTACGGTGTCCATTATGTTTTCAATATAATTTGCATCTTGAATCTTCTCAGAAACATTAACTGACTTGTGAAAAACCACCCGTCTGTTACAATAAATAAAAAAATTAATGATACTCATTCTTGTTGACCCTATCCAACTGTCACACATTAGTGTCACCCCATATTCGTCCCACTGCCTCTTGAAGGATTTGATCCAATCCTTCAGTTCTGCTACCTCCTCATCTAAATACATGCCGTGGATCTCCTTCGGTGTTGGAGGTTGAATCCCAGTGCCAGACTTTTGAATAGAGGAGATCATGCTCTGATAATATGGACCTTGGGCTGTGTTTGCTGGAATCTTGTGGAAGTTGAACCATTTTGCAATTGCCTTCCCAATATCTCGTTTCTTTTCTTTTGTATATGCATCGTCAATCCGTGTCTGCTTCGTTATTTGTGAAGGATAGGCTTGTGGATCAATATCAATAATATCTAGTGCTGACCTCCTGCCAAGTCCTCTCATAAAACCACGGATTCCACTTTGCCTCATGCTACCAATTCGGCTTAATTGAGGAGGGGCAGTTGGTTGTCTCATGCTGGCCGACCTTTGGATTCTTTGTGGCATAGGCCCGCTGCCACCGCCATGCTCCCATTGTGAGTTAGGTTGTCGATGCCTTATTGTTTCCTCGTATATGTACTGATGCTCTAGTGATGCACGAATACCAGTGATGAGATCCGGTTCAATTTCATCGCCGCAACCCACATATTCGTCATAAACCGGCTCCGATGTAGCCTTATGGTATTCTTCCTTAGCTCTTGCCTTCTTTTTCATTATATCTTTGTTTGTCTGTCGTAACTTGTCTTGAAAGGATTTAGGGACCTCCGTTGAAACCTACTTGCATTTTGCAACATCGGGATACCCATTGGCCAAATGCATCTTCACCCGGGCAGTATGCTTCAGTACAACAAACCATGGTCTTGTGCAACCTATTCATTAAAGAAATAAGAAAATGATTTTTTGGCATATAAACTGAAACAATAAAGCAAACAATCTAATCAAAAATAATTACCAAAATCAAGAGTTGTAATGCCTTGTTCTTTAGTAGAAAGATCAACTACCAAAGCTACCCAAGCATCAGGATTATGGATGGTCTACGTAACTTGAGAACTGGCATAGGTCGTAATCATAGATAGGCATCATGTTAGTAGTAAGAATGGAATGTTTATCTTATATTAAGGAAGGGAAATTGAAACAATTTACATAAAGCCTTTCATGTTACATTTCTATCAACTTGTGGAAGTTGCCTTCTTTCTAAAAGCCATCTTCCAGCTTATGAGATGTTGACATGACACATTGCTGACATTCAAAATGTTTCGTCATAACATGTGAAAATTTTCTTTCTGCACAAATAAACACAAGAAGCATAAGCAACAAGATCCTATCACCATCACCTTTAAGGTGAGAAAAGAACATGATCCTGCTGATCACTGACAGTGTGACCCAAATCAGTTGTTGAAAGCTCCGTAGAGATTAATGCAGCTTCTGCCAAGCCCGTCCCAGAAACATGATGTACCAAAAAACAGAACACAAAATTGGAGAACCTTTCAATGGTAAACTATGTCAAATTGTGTTATAGTTAAATATTTGGGTACACAATTGCATACCTTGGATGTATAGAAATTCAGAGTGGTGTATGGAAATTCAGTCTCTTCAGGTGTAACATCATCAAGAGCAAGTTTAATCACATTCCCTATATACATTTGCTTGTTTTATTTTTGAAACTGTGTTCCTATGTAGGGAATTGAATGTAAATCTTTGTGTATCCAAGTAGGAATTCCAAGAATATAGGCTGCCATAACAAAAGACAGCCAACTTAAAAAATGATTTTCTATCTGAACATTGTTACCTAAGGAATCATGTTATGGTCCATTGGTTTCCAACAAATTGTACTAGTAGCTCTTGACTTGCTATCATCAACCATCCATAAATGATGTTATACTTGCACCTGATATTTGTTTAAGCAATAAAGCAACTTATAATGACAAGAATGCCTATAACAATATGCAATTTAACATGACAAACCAAAAAGCAACCTCCCAAAAAGATCTGAACTTGGAAAATCTACAACTCAGATGGAGGAACAGAAAAGGCTTTAATTCTTAAAGATCAGTGTATAAGTTCAACTATACTGCTCGTGAAGTGGAAGTTTGAATAGTATTGCTCATAGTATCAATTCAATGATTTTGATAGGATGCTCCAATATTCTCAAGTTTAATGTTATGCCAATGAAGTGTTACAGTACAATGGCATCAAACCCAAAGATGGGGCAAACTTAAATGAACTAGAAAATGGAGCCAGTTTAGTTAAGTAAGATATGGAAATCTAAATAACTTCGGTTACAGAACTTAGTGCTTGTGAAGAGAATGGGGAAGCATGATGCCTACACCCCTTAAAGGGGCTGAAGATTACAAACTGTTGACAGCATGAAGTTACATCAGCCCACATTTCACACTAGATTAAGCCTCCAATTTGTGGGAACTTTTGATTGCTGGTGCAGATTTTTCTTTAGGAAGCCTATGTTGTTTGTAGGGAGTGCCCAAGACAAAAAAGCTTATCATTGTTGTGTGTTCTCTCTTGATTTCCCTTCTCTGTAAAAAGCCCTCACTGATGGTTGCCAAGGGTCACTAAGTTCTCTGCTACGGTTGTATTTTTTATCCATTGATAATTATGGTTTGTTCTTGTCTTCAACTGTATGCAGGGTAAAACGTCGAACCACAAACCTATGTTGTCTGTATTTTCATTGTACCCTAGACTTGAGCTTTTCTGTACTTGTGCATCTGGTGAGAATCCACTTGCCGTAACAATCTAGTTGCCTGAAGTCTAAAGAAAACAATTAACCAAAAATCTAGTAAACGAGTATCTTCTTTAACATTTTTGTTATAAGCCCTTCTTCAATCAGAGTAAACATGGTACACACGGTGCAAGTTAATGCAGAGGAAGATGCTACCAAGTCTACGTAAACAGTTATCCTAACAATGTGCTCTACATCTTGTACATACTTTCATGGACAATATATCAAGCATTCCAAGTCAGCACCACAGCATGACATATACTTATTGAGTTAATCCTCATTCACAGTGAAGGTTATTAATATTTTTCAAAGAAGGTAATAAAACCAGATTTGGTGTAAAAATTGAAAAGCTAGTTAAAAGTTTGCTGCTGACTATTGTAATTTCATGTTTCTGCCAACTTTAGCCTAACTGGTTTGTCCAAATGGTTAAATGGTCTGTCTACTACTGTATGTGTTAGATCGAACACATGCCCGATACCAGAGAAACAATAGCCATCTAATTTGCACAGAAAAAGATTAAAGAAGAAACTTTAATAGTAATCAATAAGGTGTTCTCCTTACCTGCAAAGGAATACAATGACCCATTTGATCCATTATTCCAGGCCTCTCCCTTCCGTTCGCTACCCAGGGCGTCTCCGGCAGAGACCACCAAGCCAAAGCGGCGATCAAAGCAGCGGAATCGCAGCCGGGGGAAGACGGGTGAAGATCACCCGCAGCTGAGGCCGAACCATAGCCGGAGCGAGGTGGGAGTCGTCGGGCGACTGAACGGGCCGAGCTCGGAGGCAAGAAATCAAGGGCGAGGGCTTTAGGGTTTCTGCCTCGGGGTGCAGAGAATCAGGACGAACGCGACACGGCGTACAAGCCAGGGGGGAAGACCGGCGGCGGAGTCGCACCCAGGGGAAAATGCGCGGGGATTCCCCGCAGCTGAGGCCGAAGCGTAGCTAGAGCGAGGTAGGAGTCGTCGGTCGACTCGACGGGCCGAGATCGGACGCGAGAGATCAAGGTCGATGGCTTCTAGGGTTTCCACCTCAGGGAGCACAGGAGGAGGAGGAGGACGGCGACGCGGCAGACAAGACACGGGGGAAGACGGGCGGCGATTCCCCGCAGCTGAGGCCGAACAATAGCTGGAGAGAGGTGGGAGTCATCGGGCGACTCAAAGGGCCGAGCTCGGACGCGAGAGATCACGGGCGAGGGCTTCTGCCTCGGGGAGTAGAGGAGGAGGACGACAGCGACGGCGACAGCGCAGACAAGAAACTCTGAGAAGAGACAGGGCGAGAACAATTCGCTGACCGTGGTCGTTTCTAACGTTCGTTAAGGCTTAAAACGTTCCATTGGCGGACACGAGACCACTTACGGGTAATCTCTTTTTTGTTTAGAAAAAATACTCTGTAGGAATAAAATAAAAAGGGGCACTACGTATAAATAATGAAATTTTTTTTTTGTAATTATTTTTAATTTTTTCCCTTAATATGAATATTAGTTTTCTTCTTTTCTTGATACAGATACTTCTTTAATAATATATTTATATTATTAAATTATATGATCCTATCTAATTTGATTAGATATATTATAAATATAATTAAATTTTAATTATAATTATCAATCAATAAAAAAATCCTCATATTATTTCTTGATAAGATGAAATCTTCTAATAATCATGCTTATGATTATCAGTTAATAAAAGAAAATTCTCATAATATTTCTTATAAGATATCTTGATGAGATAAATAGATCATATGCTCTTTCTTATAAATAGATAATGTTTTATATGGACTCAATACAAATATATAATAATTGAATACATGAATATACAAGTACATAAATATATTAATACATAATATGATTGAGAGATTATATATCTTTCATCTCCTCTTAGTCATATGAATCAATCAACATAATATTGTAAATCTTGATACATATTTTCTTCGTCTCTAAATCCATCGATCATAGTGATCTTGTAAAGAATGGAAAAAGAGAATAAAATGGGTATAATCCTTCTTACAGATTTATATCACTATATAAAATTCAACAATGATGTGTTTATAGGTTATATAAAGGTCTTCTAAATATCATCTGTATCATAATATTTAAATATATCATTATTTGTATGATAGCTGACGTCCTCATAGTTCGATATTCGTGAGATGTTCAAATGGTCAGCTTACCATTAAATAATAATACTTTTTTTATTCAACATGTATATGATTAAGATTAAAATTGGAAATAAGATGACGTGGTTCAACCTCAAAGAGTTTATGTTTTCTAATGATAAAGCTTTAATAATCGTGTTTGCCTAATAATAGAAGATATTTTGTGATTTTAATGACACATCCTTATTATATTTATTGCATTTGTACTATGCATTTGAGAGATGGGTATGATGACACGGTAGAAGACTACCAATATCTTCCATTAGACACGTCATCACTCTTTAAATGATGTGATGATCGATTTAAAATTAATACACTTGATCCAACTCAATCAATTGTTATGTCATAATATTAGGATCCCTTCCTGTTTTTTGGAACATAAAAAATGATCTCAAAATGTAGTCTTGATTTATTTGTTTATTTATTTTCTTTAATGACTTTGAAGTTTTCTTCATTAAATACATTTAAAAGTGATTCATAAGTTTCAGGCAATCAAATCCGGTCCATGTGAACCGTCCGGTCCGGTTCACAGACATCGTGCATCACGTGGAGCGATCCCCCAAACGCTTATCGCAATCCGCGGTATACCGACACAACCGTTCCACTATAGAACCCGTACTCTGGGACAGCGATTGCTCCGTCGCATCCCGTCTTCCGTCTTCTGTCTTCTGTGATATTCGATTCCTTTCATATGGATCGAGGAACAGGTGAATTGGCGAAAATCCTAGATCCAATCGTTCATCTACTTTGTTTTTATGTTGTACTCGTCGAATTTTGATGAGAACTTTCTTGGTGTTTGATCTTTGGTTCAGTGATCGAGTTTCTGGGGCAAGTCCCTCTATTGCAGCGCCTCCCTAGTTCTTCCCTCCGCAGAATCGCAGAGGTCGTCCAAGTCAAGCGTTATGGTGGGGTATCTCGGCTTCTTTATGCTTTTTACCCGAGAGTTCCTTTCTTTATTTTTGATGTTTTTTAAGTAATCGTACCAGTAGATGCAGTGTCATTATTGGGAATAATGTTATATTAGATCTTCGATCATCCCATGAGAGGTTGGAACCCTTTCTTTTGTTTTTATTTTTGGAGTCTAAGTATAAATCTTGTGGTTTTTTTGTATTACTGCAATTTCGATGATTCTAGGGTTCTGTTTGAGCGCTCGTTTGGACACTCTTTCTCCTTCTTCTTTTGGAATTAGATCGTAAATAAATGTTAAACAATTATTCTGAATTCTTCGAAGTTGTAAATATCTAGCGGTTTTGCTGGATTTGATGCATGTGGTCGTACTCAAAGATTAACGTTCTTTATGTATATGTCCACGGTCTTCTTGCAGAACCTGGTGAGTATGTTGTCCGTGAAGGAGAACCTGGATTGGGCCTTTACTTCATCTGGGAGGGTCAGGTACGTCACGAGCTTTCAATTTTTAGCTTTGCAGATTAAACTATTATATTGTGAATTTGCCGCATTGCTTCCCAAGGTCCATATTGCTTTTGACAATGGTTTGAGTCTTTGGCTGGCCATTCACAAATTCCCAGACTGGGTATCTTCCTTTTCAGTTTTGGTTTATGATTGTCCTTCCATGCTGGAACTTTAGGAAATTTTCTCTTTCTACTTTGTGCCTTCTATTATTTTGTAAAAAAATTCTCTGGAAATCTGAAATCTGCATTATAATAATTTCTGATTCACATTCTTTGACAGGCTGAGGTTTCTGGATCTGATACTTCTGAGAAAGAAAATCGTTCTGAGCTTCAATTGAAACAGTATGATTATTTTGGCTATGGTATGATGCTTACTACTGATGCATGTTTCAGTACATAAGGTGCTTCAATACTATGATGAATTTTCCATACCATGCGGTTGCTTCATAATTATGATGCACCTACTGGTGTTGCAACTCTTCTACTTTTGAATGCCTGTTTTTCTTGAAATTTAGCACATGCTAGGATTCTTTATAGTTTATTTTCTATTCATATTGTGAAAGTTTGTGTATTAGAAACTTTATTAATAGTAGAGTAGGTTATGAAACACTTGTAGGAAGTTGTCACATATTTTTGCCAAAAGTTGTCCTTTTTTTTTTCTATCACTATAATAATTTGGTATTAATTGCTTGTTTTTTTTTTAATGGTGTTCACTAGTCACAATAGTAGTTTCATGTAAAGCACACTTTTTTCGAGCTAAAAGAAATCTGCACCTTGTGTATATTCAGTGCACAAGTTTGGCATACACAACATGAAAAATTATAAATTCAGTCGCAATAAAGCTCATGGAGAAAAAAAGGACAAAACATCTGCTACTAGTTCAGCCAACCTCCTGGAGGAGTTATATGAGCGTGAAAGCCTAATGCAGTGGCAGTATCTGATATATGCCTGGAAGGGACACGAGTTTGGAATCAAACTGATGTATTGCAGTCTGAGAAAAGAGCATTAGTTATGTTTTATATTTTTGAATATGTCATCACTCATCAGGCTACTTGTGTGGAACATGTCTTTAAGCAACTTCTATGACATTCAACTGTGATAATTAGCTGACCACTGAAATGTTGTAACTTGTAAGCAAAAAATAATTTCATTTATTCACCAACGTCCTGTAGTATAACTAGGACATGTACTTACTACATAAGGAAAATCGTATTATGCAGCTAGGAGCTACATGTTATTTGCAAAACTATTTTTGTAAATTGCCTTTTCAATGACAAGGAATTATTTTGGTAGCATACTCTTCATGCTTATGATGCTTTTTACCAGATCTTCTATCTTAAATTTCAACTTTCACTCTTTTTTAGGTACTGGTGGTTCCACTCATCAAGCAAATGTGGTTGCATTGTCCAAGGTAGTTAACTAGTTATAATATTCAAATTTATTCTTTTATGACTCTGATCCATTAATTCAAGCTATTTTCACAGAAAAGTTTTTTTCCCTTAACTGATCACAAGACATTTGCAGCTGATCTGCTTGGTGCTGCCAGATGGATATAATAATCTATTGCAGCCAAAGTCAATTTGGAATGCGGAGGGAATTCCTGAGGATTTCTCACTTGTAGAGCACATATTGCATCTAGAGCCATTAGATGTAAGTTCATTAAATTTGACAGTTTTTGCCACTGATAAATTGTACCAATGGCCTCTTCTCTCTCTCTCTCTCTCTCTCTCTCTCTCTCTCTCTCCACCCTCCCTCCTCTCCTATCTTCTCTCTTATTGCTTTCTTTTGAGTTTGAAGTTTGTTGTAATCTGGTGCTCCAAAGTAAGCTTTATGGAGTTTGGTTTTTTATTAGACTACTGCTGATGGTATCTGTTTGAGAACAATTTAGTCAGTAAATAGTATAAGAGAAGAATGACGAATTAAATTGTAGAGAAAAAAGATCATGAAAAATGAACCAATATATGTTAGATTGTACATATATCTTATTTAACAATTGACACAACTACATGCTGACTTGTTAGGTTACTGCAGTGTGTGTACATGGCAGGCTATATTACACATGCAAGTATGCTGTAGAGCTTATTTACATTGCATTTCATGAAAAATAAACTCAGTTCATTCTTATTGGACCAACAGAATGTGTTCAATTACTTTTTTTGTCTTATTTTACTTTCGGAGGAAATCTTGTGGTACATTGATTGAGATATATTATTTTTAGATATAATGTCCATGAGTTCCTCTCCCTCTATCCAAGGATGAACCATGCTTAGATTATAGTACGATGAAACGGTTCTAAATACTGGTTTCAGAACATTGTTGGACAGTTTTCCGGGCAGTATATTGACCTGTAGCATCCGATACAATTGAAGCTAGTTACAAAGAAATGAATGTTGGCTGATAATGAACCATGTTGTCCTATAATTCTAGTTTCTTAAGTTGTATAGATTGTTTTCTGTGGGTTTTTTGTTTTAAGTTTCTCATCTTTGTTGTTTCATGTGTTTTGGCAGGTTGACATATTTAGAGGTTTTACCTTGCCAGATGCTCCATCTTTTGGACAAGTTTTTGGAGGACAGTTAATTGGACAGGCATGCATTAGGAACTTTCTTCAATTTTTTTTCAAATTCATTGATGTGGAATAATATGTTTGATTTGGCTGTCTTTTCTTTTAATATGATACTTTTTGTGTATCAAAGTGTAGAAATTCAAATTCTCTGATATACATGCAACTTATACAACCACAATGTGACATAATCTACTTGGTGTCATTTAAATATCATCCAAATACATGTGTCCTTGTAGCTAATGAGCCTGTAGACTCGAGTTTTCATTTCTGTAAATTAGGATGTTAAAACCTACTCATGGTCTATTAACATGGTCAATGATGAAAATATAGGCAGGGAATTCTGATTTGACCTCTGAGCATCTTACTCAATCTGCTGTTGGTTGCTTGTTGTCACCTATGATATTCAGTGTCAGAGATAGTTTTAAATGCTATTGACTTGTATGTTTTCCTGCTGCAACTGCTAGATTATTAATATGTACATGAAATAGTGCATGCATTCAGATGATTGCTACAGTTTTTTTTTCTTCTAGATCTATCAGCATTAAAGTTGCATACTTACATCACCTTAAGTTATCACGAGATTGTCTCCTTTCCAATGCACTTAGGGTATGATAGATCCTTCTTAACCCCTTTGTTATGTATGGGCACCTTCTTGTACAGTAGAAGCAAACTACCACATGGTGTCTGCAATACAGGAAAATTCTTTACAACAGAGGATTGCTTTTTCATGGCATCAGATAGGTCAATACCTTTCCAGCATGGTATGACACTGCTGTACTGGTTTGGTTAGCATGCACTTACTCGAACTGACACAGTTAAAAGATCAGTTTAGTCATATGTTGGCACCTTGGCGTAGGGTCTTGAGAGCTTGCTGACAACTTCCTAGCGTGGTATGTTTTGACTCTCGCTGAACTGATTGGCACAGTAACCTGATCAAATTCAAGCTCTTACATAAAAAACCTTTTGTTTTAATTTTGATAGTTTGTTATAATGGAATGTTTTTCTAGTCAATTAATTGCTTCTAACATCACAGTTCTTTTGTTGTCTTTTCTATTGGCTGTTTTTTGAATGCTCTTACTCCCTTTTCAACCTTAAATTGTAGGAATCAGTGCCTTCACTTGTTCTCTGTATTTTTTGTACCTTTAACTTGGCCTAATCTTCCTTGTAACCACAGCACATTTTTGAGACTTTAATGCTATAGTTTTGTCAAAATGAAAACATGCAGAACATTTGCGACTCCCTCGTGCATTACCGTAATAAGTTTGACTATTGCTTTGAGATGTTTTGAAAGTCAGAGACTGACTACTTTTCCTCATCCGCTACCCAAGGATTACAATACTGAATGATACCGCCTGTATCGGGCGGTACATACCGGTTCGTCAGCAGACCAGTATGCGGACCAGCCTACTACCGGGCAGTACTATTGATCTAGCCCCGTATCAGACGATACGGGATGGTATCCGATGGTAACGGTCGATATTTCGACCATTACTATCTGAAATAGGTCGGTAACAGTCGGTTTCGACCGGTGCCACTCGCTATCGGACGGTATTGGCCTGGCTGCGGTGAGAGAAGAAGAAGCGTCGAGGGAGAAGAGGGAGAAGGCGCTTGAAGAAGAGGGAGAATTAGGAGAACCTCGACGCTTCCCGATCTGACATCGCCCTCCCTCGATGATCTTGATCTAGGAGGTAATGGAGAAGCGACAGTTTGGCTTCTTCTTCGTCGCGTTCTTCACCGAAGGCCAGAGACGCCTGCGGCCTTCGATGTCTTCGTTGAATGCCGCAAATGAGAAGAACGCGTACGTTGCCTCAGCAACGTTGCCTCCTTTTCTTCTCGTAGTGTCAGACGAGGAGAAGAAAAGGAGGTGACGTTGCTGAGGTAGCGTACGCCTCCTTTTATATATATATATATATACACACACACACACCGATCGATATGCCCTAGCGTATCGCTCGGTATGCCCGTACCACATTAAGCAAAGCTCGAAACACCGGTACGGTATGAAATTATGAACCTTGCTATATTCATCAAGGTGTCAGCAGCCTTTATTAAAAATGAAACAACATATTCTTTCCTTGGAAAAAAAAAACATAGAAGTCTTTGAAGTTCATTAAATGGTTGGAGAGTGTAAATTAGAGGTTTTTTCTTTTCTTCTCTTTTTGAGACAGTTATAACTAAGATGTTTAGAAAATTTAAGTGCAAATGGTTTAACTATGGTAATTTAATGTCATTATCTTCCATTTGCAATTGAACTTCTGCAATACTTCAATGTTTGTAGCATGAAGCAATTGCTTAGTGCTGCCATGATTTTCTTTCATTTATAACATACCTTTATCACTTTGTTTCTTGTTTGTGCAGGCACTAGCGGCAGCTTCTAAGACAGTGGATTGTCTTAAACTTGCACATAGTCTGCATGTAAACTTTATTGTGGCTGGTGATGTGCACTGTATGTCTTTTGTTTGTTGTGCATAATCTGCATATAATTGAAGTTTGTCTTCATCATTATCAGTGGATGGCAGACCAATGCCTTTTTGTCTGATCTATCTATGGCAGAGCAATTTCATGATTTACTGGACTAATATGGGCTGTTTAATTATAGCTGGTCAATAACCTTGCATCTTGAACTGCATCGTTCACAAATTGAATATGTCAATTTCAAGACGCTGGAACACAAAAGCCATGAAGTGGTTGAATGCAATATATTTGATCAAATTGTAATTTCCACTGTTGAAATTGTTCATTTAAGTCTGCTTTGTGAATAAATAAGCTGAATTGTATGTGTCATATAAATCTCACTAGTTCAAGAATTTAACTGTCGGATTCTTGTGTCTGGTTTATTGTCTTAGTAACAAGAGGAATCACATAAGAAGGAGCAAGTTGGCCTTTAAAACTGCATTTATACTGTCAAAAAATTACTGTAAAATTTTGCTGAATATTTTTTCAAAATTTTCATTTGTCTTTTGTAGCACCAATAATATATCAAGTTCATCGTGCACGTGATGGGAAAAGCTTTGCTACTAGACGAGTTGATGCAAGACAACATGGGATTGTCATGTTTACTTTGCTTTGTTCATTTCAGGTAATGCAAAATCAAATATGCTAATTGCTATGCATGGTAATGATGTTACTATGCAACACATTTTTGCATCAAGTAATCACTGGTAGTTGTCTATTTATTGTGATACTGGAGATATATTTATAATGTGTTCAAATTGCTAAGTATAATCTTTTATAATGTTTGTCTTGGGGGGGGGGGGGGGGTCCTGCAAGAGAATTGTAATAAACAACAGCTTTTTTTGGTTTCCTTGGAGGTTAAGCACATATGAGGTCTAGAGCTATTATATTCTATTGGAAACTTTTATTAATGTACTGAACTTTATTAGAACTCTTCAGATATATGATCATTGTCATTTATTGGACTGTAATAATTTGTTTTTCCTCTATTTTGTTGCCTCTTTTTTTCAGTTAACTACTGACTGTTCCCCTTAAAAGATTCTTTTAATGCCACCCATTGAAATGTTTTCACCTTTTGAGAATTATGTATTGTAACCAATGAAAATGTTTCATAATTTTTGATAAATAATACTATAATAAACAAGGTCTTCAATTTTGCTTGGTTTGGTAACTAGTATTTACCAATCTGGGTGTGAACCAAGATGCAGATTGCCCCATTTTGAATGATTTGGTTTGATTCATTTTTTAACCTTTTGCCCTAAAATGCTGGAATATTTTAGCCTTTTAGGGTTTGCGAATCTTGTGAGTCATGATCACACACATCTCCCCTCTATGCTACTGGTTGCGCCCACTGTTGCCTGCAGCCTGTCGCATGCAACCGCCCACATGCAATTGCTACACACGTTCTTCGGGACTTTTCCTTTTCTTCTTCCTGCACCGTTTTTTTCTCTTCCTCCTCTCCTTCCTTTACCACTTTCACTGCTTCCTCTTCTTTCTCTTCTTTCTTTTTTCTTCCTTCCTCCTCTTCCTCCTTCAACAGTATCATGGTATGTTTCTGAATTCCATGTGTAGGTACGTTGAATAGAACGGACCCGTATTGGTCCAGTCATTGACTAGCACAAGTCCGGTACCTGAAATTAAAAGCCTTGATCGTACGTAGTCATATATTTGCAGTTAATACCATGGTTTTAGGTTTTGAGTACCGGACCCATACTGGTCCTTGGTCGGATCAATATGTGCAGACTGACACATGGGATGTTGGTACAGGTCTGGTACTTTTTAAAAGAGTTTCGACTATTCAAAACCCTTTAAACCCTATTTCATGGGTATTTCCTTCTTAATAAAGGCAATATTCATATAATTTAATTGGTTCAAGTTTACAAAACTACATAGATTGCACTGAAGCATGTAACATAAAAGATACAATGATGGAATCTAAAGAGTACCGTTTAATATACTGATAATTTATGAGTCATTTAATAAATAGTGCATAATGAATGATTGTATAATAAGATTATATACTTGTTTCTACTATCAAAATGAATATCTAATTTCACGATGAGTGAGTTAGGATACTCCATTTGATGATAGATCGATGCGGTATCTCTGTATAGTTCAAGTATAAAATGACACCCATGACATCTGATACTGATATATACCATGTCACTACTGAATCAATGTTGTAGTAGTTATCATTTTATTATTGTGAATCACCTGTGTGGTAAGAGGCTCCTCGAGAAAGTAGGATCTTGGTAAATATAACTGTGTATGATGTAGTGCCCTGAGCTGTTGTTCATCACGATACTGTTGTTGTGTGCCATAAGATGTATCCGACTATGAAAATAGTGACAAACTGTTATCATGCATCAGTTGGCTATAAGATCTAGGATAATATGAAGGCTGAGAGTACGAGGAACTGTTGTCTGACTCAGTATGCTGTAGACTCCATCCCATATCCTCATATAAATCAACAATGTCATATCCCTTTCCTTTATGGCCATAAACAAGCATGTGGATCCTCGTGTTGATGCCCCATACTTTCCCTCGTCATGATAACTCGATGCATGAGCCTGTTGTGACGTCATGAGCTTTGACATTAGTAGCTCAAAAGAGTTATATTTTCAGATGGGAGTAATAGTCATTCTCTGTATCCTTTCATATCATAGTATATGAACCATGATGTAGGTATCAGTTATTAGATGCTCTCCTAATTTTTGTTACATGGTACTTGTCCATGTTGACCTTTATGTAAACTTTTGGTTGAATAAGTACGACAAGCAAATGGGTTTCATTGTCATGAAGGTTTTAGTTTTTTAGTTTTCCACTAGTTAGATTATTATGTATATACTGTAATTTTTTGTTCAGGTTCAACCATACTGCAAAGTCATATAACAGCCTTACAAGACCACACAAAATTTGATATTTGTGAGGACACAACCTTTGTCTTCGTTTTTTGACTGCCTACTGGAATGGCATGATTGAAATCTGCTTCTCGTCATAACTATGTCATATCTAATTCTGATCCATATGGGTTTTAGTTTTAGCAATTTTATGACTGTTTAATGCATGCATGTGCATGCATGTTCTGTATCATTGAGTATTGTGATCGATCAACTTTGCAATATTGTACAACTGGTCCGCTCCTTTGTCATTAAATTTGTGAATCATACACTCTAAGTGCATAGTATCAGTCTACATTGTTAAGGTTGTCACCAAATTATAAGCTCCACATTGCTTTGAACATGATGAGGACAATTTGCTAATTAAGATATGCATTTGATTTTTCTGTTTTGCTTCGGTGCAGAAGGAAGAAGCAGGCTTTGAACATCAGGAAGTTCTGATGCCAAATGTGCCTGGTCCAGAGATGGTCAGTATCATTTTTATGTTTCTGATGTGTCCTAATTTAAAATTTTAATTTGGCTTTCAATTGCAGCTTCTCTCAATGGAAGAGTTACGAGAAAGGCGAATTACAGATCCTCGTCTTCCCATGTAAAATTGATGAGCATGCCAGATAATTTCTTATGATATGTTTTTGTTATTTGAAGCATTTTTAATGAAATATGCATGCCTTACTTTCAAATAACAGATGTAAATACGTCTGTTCTTGGATTGTCAAATAGTCAGAACAGAAAGGCATCACCTGATGCTGATTGCCGATAGTTCATACTTCATAGTAATAAAAGCTGAATATAGCCATGGCCATTGATTGAGATATAATACAAGTCCAATTTTCTTAAAAGACACATGCACAAATCAAAGCTATTGTCAATTCAGAATAGTAATTCATCTTACTAGTCAAGAAGCTGACTATAGTCAGCTGTTAGTCGGGGTGAATACCTTCATTGTCCTTTTGATCTGTCGCATCTCAATTAGTCCCACATCAAAAGTGGGACTCATTATGATAGTTTATGGGGCTCTAAACAGATCTGCTACCAATAATAACTTGGGTTTTCACATTTTTAATCCATATGGTTTCAAGCTCATTATATTCAAGTAATTTCTACAGTAATCTTACGGAGCATATCATGACAATTGGTATCATAGTGGATCTATTAAAGGCTAACTATGGATAAAACAAGAGACATCCCACTGTGGATGCACGACTGCATCGTGGAGCTCATGTGCCATTAACCAGGGAATGGTTATGACCATATGGTAAGGCATTGGGTCTCAGGTTTTGACATGCATGTCAAGCCTTTGAGTGGTAGATTCTGACATTTCAATTAGTCCTGCATTGAATGCGAGGGAATTATGATGGATAATAGTGCTAGATGGATCTCCTATTAATAACTTAAGCATTCTTAGCTTGATTTTAGATCAGTTATATCCAAGTTATTAGGTCAGATTACCTATCGAACTGGGTCATGAGATTATTCCTTTCATTTGACTTGTATTTCCCTCACTCTTATGGCAATATACATGAATGTTTTTACAAGTCACATCTCTAGAAAGACCTTGTGAAGTAGTTAATATGGCACATATATGATAGCATATTGGATGAAGAAAAAGTAAAATGTACTTGCATTTGCACATTGAATCATTTTTCTTCTCCGACTAGAACACACAACAATTCAGAACCTCCCATCTGCAGGCAAATTAATTTGTATCAATGAGAAGCCCAGTCAATCCATTTGGCCTTGCAGCTTCCTTAATTGCACTAGTACACAGATGAATGACAAACCTTAAGTGAAGAGAATACAATGTAAATAGACTTTTGTTGAGGAAACCAATTTATTCATATGAATCTATCATAATTCTGTATCTCAAAGTTTCTTGGAAGTTATTTTTTTGGACATAGTGAAAAAATAGTAGAAACTAAAAGAACTTCCCAGTTAACTAAATGGATTTTTAACAAATGAAAATAAGGAATAGTTTGTCAAAATATCTAAATTGTATGGTTTTAAATAGTAATAAAAACTTATGAGGTAGAACTTAAAAGGCTCCCTTATCCCTAGTTCCTAATTGCATGAGATTATCATGAGCCTGCAAGCAACAATGTTCTTGCCAGAACCACCACAGCTACAAAACTTATACAAATTGTTGCCTCAAGAAAATGGTAGAGTAATTACCAGTCTACTACTGTATGCATATGATAATATCAGTGATCACTAGTTCACCATCTTGTTAACATATATATTCTTTCACGATTGCATTATCATGGGCCAGAATCATTTGATGATAGCCACAATGCAACAAATATAAGATTGTAATATAAGATTATTAGCTTATTCTTTGGCCTATTAGCTTTCTGTAATATAAGGTAATAAAAGGATTGTAATATAAGCTTGTTGTAATGTCAAGTAAAAACAAGCACAATGAGATCTTTGGCCTATTAGCTTATTATTTATGGAAGTCTTCATTAAAATCATATTCAACATATAAATGAAGTATGACTATATGGCATTGGTACATCCAAGATCCTATCTTGTCACTTGTAGGAACTTTCATATGATTATTGTCCCTGGTTTGATTATTCTGACAACCAATTTCCTCCATCATCTTCTGCATACTCTTTGTGCTTATGATGCCTATTGTGGTGTCCTGGTAGTTGTTATTGAAGCCTAACAAATAGCTACCAACAGACACTACCGAAACACTGTTGCTAGAAGAAAATTTGTTCCATGGCCCATAGAGATAAAGTTTTGTGAAGCGGGTGACTCTGCTAACCAATCTCAACCGAGGTAATTGTTCAATCATATTTCTCATGCTATTTGATACTATTTTATGTTGTGATGCTTTAAGATGCTATGAATTTCAATTCACATACCACAATTTTTTCCTCTCTCTCTCCCTCCCTCTTCCCCCCCCCTTCTCACATCACAGAATGAAGTATTGGTTTAAAGCAAGAGGAAATCTTTCGGATGACCCAGCTTTGCATAGGTATGTTGTTGCAAATTTGCATCTTCCTGGAATAAATACTCCTTAATGTGTAATATACACTAAAATATCTCATGATTCTATATCAAGTTCTTCACTTTCAAGTTACACGGTGTACAATTTTGCTTCTTTAATATGTAAGGTTTTAGTATTGCATGTGCTTGGCACTTATATCTTACAAAAATTAATACATATAATGAACATCTTCAATGGCAATTAGGAGGTTGTTTAAAATAAATATATGGAGAAATTTGCTATTATAATTTTAAAAGGTAGACGTTGCACACTAAACATGATTTTGTAGAACAGTTTGTTTATGAAGGATAGAAATGTCCAACTCAGGTGCTATGTCAGTTGTATTCTTAATCGTTGTTGACAAAGTTTCTCACCATGCAAGTAAACAAACTTTAGTCACTTTTTTATAAACCAGTTCTTTAAGAGTCATCTGAAAAACCAGATAAGAGCAATTGAAAAACCCAGAAGCTTATGTAAATAGAGAATAATATTTTCAATTGATTATTTCTCATTTTGGAGATTCAACACAGATGCTTTAATGTTGTTGCTTCTTACAGTTTCTTTACAATCCTTAAGAGCTCCTGGAAACAAAACCAATTAACATCCTTAAGTGTGTTCTTGGATGCCTAAATGCATGATTCCTGGATTTAGTAGAATGTACTATTTCATGGAGAGATAATGTCCCATGTAGGATGCTTGTAACAGAATAAAGATGTCATGAGTGATTTTTCAACTCATATGTCACATCCCAGATTTATAAAATATAATAAATCATTATTTTATTATTCATAATTTATAGAATACATTTCTTTTTTTTATCTTCATCCTTGAATTCACATCCTTGTCTTTACAATAGTAAATATTTTATTAATTTAAAAAAGGATTATATTTTCTTGGTAGGGTCATAAGTCTCTTCTACCCAAACTTTGGATCTATGACAAAGTAGTAGATTATTCTGAAAATAAAAATAGGATAAAAATATATCAACAATCATACACGCTAATAGGAACCTTTGGAAAATCATAAAATTAATCTTCAATAGTCGTAAAGCATATACAAATGTTAATAATTTAATACGAAATGATAATATATCGATTCATTATAAAACTTATGCATAAAGAAAACAATGATAATTTCTTACGTAATAAATAAAATCATACATCAGCCACATGCAACACATACATAATAATAATATAACAAAGGCGTATATCACAACCGATTATGCACTCTCCCAATAGCAGATGGAGAGTCATACTACACAGGATGAATTCCTTCCAACAACGGATGGAGATAACTCATATCGCACTCCCAACAACAGATGGAGGAATTGTTTAACCGTTATGTCTGACGGCCCGTTAATCCCCGAAGGGAATCACCATACCTTCTCTCGGTAAGGATACATAAACATCCATGATCATTCATTTGCATTCATCCATTCACTCACACATGCATTAAGAAATCAATATGATCAAATATTCTGAGAGACCATACTTAATGTATGATCTACTAGACTGTGTTCATTGGTGGCTTCGTATTGTGATGGACCCGTAGCTCCTTTCATAGGTTGCACTTCTAATGTAAATCACTAGCCTAGTCACATCTACTATATGGTAACAATAATATCAATATTATAAACTTAAGAAAAGTAGAAAACTAATAATCATTTTCAAATGACATCTTCAGATAAAATCTTTAAGTTCATCAGATCATAAAGGTATAAAACATCAATCTCTCAATAGTCCTTAATCAACCGAAAACCTAATTGAAATATCTCAATTGACTTAAACCAAACTCAATTCGATTATGACCTAATGGAACTGATCTCAAATCCTTATAGAACGGGTCTTAACTGATCTCAAATCCTTATAGAACGGGTCTTGAATCACCCTAGATTGCTCTAATTTAGATTCGATTAATCTCGATTAGGTCAAGTATGTTTGAACTAGTCAAGTTGGTTTGGAATCACCCTAAACTGACTTTAATTGATCAAACCTGTCTAATCCAATCAATTAATGAGCTCAAACCAATAAAGAGAGGAAATCAGACTATGTCATATAGCGTTAGCCTAAACTAAATCGACTCACTTGAGTCTTAGACAGGTCACATGTGTTGCACGTGTCTGTCCCAAGTAATAGGTTGGATAGAGGAATAATAGGTTGGATAGAGGAGCGACGATGTGTCTAACTCCCAACGATTTCAATAGGCGCTCGAGCGAGGCGAGGTGAGGCCCGAGCGCCTCGTTTCATGTCCAGGCACCTCGCTTCAAAGAGGCACCGCCTAGCCGTTCGCCCGAGCCCAGGCGCTTCGGGCGAGCGCCCAAGTTCAACCAAGCGACCGAACCAGTGTTTTACGTTTGGTTCGATCTTCGATGCTTTAGTTGGTTCAATGGAACCAACTAAAGCACCAATATCAGCCTCCCAACATTCCTCTCGTGACTTCCCCAACCCTAACCTTGCTCGCGACACTACCGCTGACATTTCCTCTCTACTGCCACTGTCTCTCTCCGCTGTCGTTGCCTCTCTTCATTGTCGTTGCTCTCCGCTGCCACTGCTACTGTCACTGCTTGCCATTGCTATCGCTGCTTGCCATCGCTGCTACCGTTGCCACTATCGCCGCTCTTGTTGCCGCTGCTCGCTGCTGCTTCTCTCAGTCAGCAGCCTCAGTGTTACTCTTACACTGCGCTCCGCTACTACTACCGCTGCTCACTTTTACCACTATCGCTGCCGCTGCCACTACCGCTGCTGTCGCTGCTTGCCACTATTGTCGCTCCCGCTCCCATTGCTGTTGCCGCTACTTGTTATTGTTACTCTTAATCCCTCTACTCACATTGACTCGATATTATACTATTAACATTATATTAACAGTATACTATTAATTGTATACTAGTAATAATATTTTTTATTTATTAGATTAATAATATATTATTTTAATTTTAATACTATTAATTTTTATTTATTTGAAATTGTTGTTATTGTTTTGAATTTTGAGATTTTTTGTTAATGGGATATTATGATTCTGTAAGATTTTTTAATTTAATATCATATTTTTTATTTAAATAATTATATTTATTAATTATATTATATATTTTTATATTTTAACGTCTCGCTTCGCTTGAGTGAGTGCCTCGGGCATTTTTGGACCTTGGCGCTTTTTGGCGCCTAGCGCTTTTTAAATCACTGCTAGCGCCAATCGCATAGCCGAGTAGGTTTAACTTCACGAACTAGGCAAAGCTTCACTCACAAGTTGGGCTGAGCCTTACCACTGAACTAGGCTATACTAGGCTCGCGACTTGGGTCGTGCCTAGACACATGAGTTGGGAACGTGTTTGACCACGTGGACTAGATCGTATCTAGCCACATGAGCTGGACCATGCTTGACCACATGGGTTGGGTCGTACCTTGTCACATGGGCTAGGTCGTACATAGCCACATGGGCTTGGTCATGTTTGACCATATGGGTTGGTCGTACCTTGCTACATGGGTTGGCTCCTACTTAGCTACACAGGCTGAGTCATGCCTGGCCATATCACATGGCTTAATCATGTCTAGTCAAATGAGCTAAGTCATGCTTAGTCACATGGGTTGGACTGTACTTAGCCACATGGGCTGGGTCGTACATAATCACATGAGTTAGATTGACCCGGTCTGATAGATCAACCTGACTTAAGTCAGACCCCAATTAGACTCCTCTTTATCAAATTAGATTTCAATATTTTAAACTATTAAAGAATAACTCAAATCCATGAATTAAAGAATTTAAATTCATGATCTTAAATTTAAAACTAATTAAATCTTAAAAATTCACACATAATTCTTGAAACATAGATATGTCGAATTAAATAAATTAGAACTAATATGTTAATCCAAAAATAAGAATTTTAATAATTAAATTAATATTAAAATTCATTTAAGCTTAAGAGATCAATATAAATCAAATAATCATTCTAACACCACAAATCAATTATCATTATTTACTAATCATGAAATTTCGAAATTAAAACATCATTATGCATCATAAAATTATATCAATTCTAACATCAAGATTTCAAAACATAAATCAAAGCTAATTAAAAAAGAAAGGATCCTACCTCTCATCGGCTATTCTTTCCTCGAGATCATCTCCTTGGGAAGTCCTCTCCTCAATCCTCCCATTGTCAAGCTCGGTGATGAATGAGGGAGGAGTAGCTCCCTTTATATAGGAGAAGATGAGATCTCCCTGAAAGGTAAATAATAATTTAATTTTAATTTATTTTTATTTTGCTTTCACTTACAAAAAGAGAAATATAATATTCATTTTTTATGGTTCACACATGAAAATGAAATATAAACTATTTGCTTCCTAAAAATCAAATCATTCGTTAGGAAATAAATCAATTAATAATTTAATTGATTAATAGAATTCCTAATTTGTCCACATGATTAAGGAAACCAAATTTAATCATTTCCTTAACTATAGTATACAAACATGGAAGTTAATAATAATGTAATACATTATTTATAGCAATTAATTTATGTTGAGAAATTATCGGTGATTGCACATATCCCGTCAGACAAAAAAAGGGAGCACTTAGTGCATGAGGCTCCTGCCAATGCGGGGTTTGGGAAGGTTAATGTATGCAGCCTTATCTTTAAATATTTAAAGAAGTGGTTTCCGTGACTTGAACCTTGATCTCCTAGGTCGGACAGGAGCAACCTTACCATTGTACCAAAGAGCTACCATAACCTGTCAGAGCTGTTCAATAAAAGACAAATAACTTCATTGCGTTGCATAATCACCCAAATGGTGCTCTGCAACAAAGCCTCCGTAGAGGGCCCTAATATTACAAATTTGCACAGATGATCCAGGATCAGATGACTCTGTTGCTGATCTGAAACTTGCCCACCATCTTCATCTCTTCTATTTTCTTTTCTATTCTTTCCCTAAATCATGACTCAACTCTGTGAGAAGACAAACAGAAGTCGGAAGCCTTCATTCTTCTATAAATTGAAGGGGTTCTCAAGTTAGTAAGTCACAAAGTCTTCACTTACCAAATCGGATGAGTCACCTTAAAGTCCTCAATATCTGAAATCTAATCCTAATTTCTAGATATTATGATCTCTTCCATCAAATCCAAAGTCTAATATTGTCAAGAAACAAATTATTTAAAATGGTAGTAATGATTTTGGAAAATAAATCATAGAAGGCAGAAACTTTGGGGCTTTCAATATTAGTAGTAAGATAACCTCAAAACGAAAGTTGGTCAAGCCTTCAATTTTGTTAAGGTCCAGTAGATTGTAGACTGTTGAAGACAAAATTGGGAATCGTTGAAGCCAAAACCAATTTCTCAAGTGGTAGACAAGGCAGAGTATGGAGGAAGAGATCAGGGAAAAGACAAAGCAGAGTCCACACCCCTAATACTTTACATCTTGCTCAGGGCCAGAAACATGTTGGGTTAGGTTAGTTGATGTGGGTAAAAGATACATAAGGCTAACCAAATTTAATCCAGCAAAGAAACTTTTCAGGGTTCCTGATTAGCAACCAGCCGGTATGGGTCTGCTTGAGTTTTCTTTGCAGCTTAGAGGTGGTTTACCTTAATTTGAAGGGAAAAACACTTATTTCTGATCGGCAGGATTCTCAAAGGACATGAAAGTTGCTTGATCCAAACATGAACTAATCCAACAGCACACATGCATGCACCCAACATGCAGGTCGAACATATTAGGTCAAGACAATCAGGTTAAGCCAACATCTTATCACAGTCCTTGATTGGTATGAATTGTGAAGCGGCAAAGCGTTAACTGTGGATTAGCCCACATATTAATGACTTTGATTTGCAGAATGGACTGCATGTCTATTATGGAAAGTCAGTACAGTGCCATGTTACAAAGGGAGAAAAGAACCTTTTTCAACCAGCTATCTATATGAATTTGAATGTTTAATTTGTCAACTTCTGCTTCATTTTTTACTGCTCTGTTGTTTATTGTTGAACAGGACGGCTGTCGATAATTTTAGTCTTTGGTTGGTTCTGGATTCTGGTGATGCCTTTGTTGATCATGCTTTTTCTGTCTTCACGACTACTTGACATTGATTACATTGCAGATGTGTTGTAGCATATGCATCAGATATTGTGTTTTCTGGTGTCAGTCTAAATCCTCACCGGAGAAAAGGACTGAGGGCAGCATCACTAAGTCTGGACCATTCGTATGTCTTAAGAACCTTTTCCTGCTTGAGTTTGTCTGCTTTAGCTTAGAACTTCTAGTGCTTAAAAAGATTGTAAATCTTTTATCCCCTTAGATTAGATTAAGGTTCCCTTCTAATGATTACAGCTTTATGCTCTTAAAATTTCTTGTCAACCTATTTTTGTTAAATTTTCATTCTAAATTGGAGCTATACTAAATACTAATCATCATTAGGCTTCCTTCTTTCTTGCACTGATAATTTCTTTTATCATTTTTTTCCTAGATTTATAAGACATGGAATGGAGATGAATTCGGTTTATTCATCTATCATAATAACCAAGCTCTTGAAGGCATCGCATGAGATAAGGCCAGGATATTTATTTGGTCATAGTAGAGTGACATATGATTGGATAAGTATATTGTTGTCCAAAAAAGCTGGTCTTGGAAATCATACCCATAACCATGGATTATGGGGATATACCATAGCATTAGACACTTGTGTTAGACCTATAAATGACTCATTTATTTTTAGGAATTGGTGCTCTTACTTTGTATGAAGTGATGCATTTCATTTGCTTTCTTTTATTTTTCCTTGTAGCATAACCCTATGTGAGACACAAAGATGAGCTAGAATGAAAGAACTAATAGATTTATTCCACCCAAAACAGGGATGGGCTAGGTTTATGACCTTATAAGTCATGGAATCAATCCGATCATCAGATTATAAATTCATTTCATTCAGACCACCTTGGAATAGGCTCGTGTACATTCTTATGATGGGTCATAGATACTTTGTCTACTAATGGATTGCTATGTGGTCACATTCTATTTTGGATTAGGAATAGATGTAATCAGACTTAACTTTGGCTTATCTATTTGGGTATATTCACTTCTGTTTTTGGGCTTCTATTGAATCAAAAAATATGTTTGATTGTACATCTTGTTGGTATATATAAGGTATCCTCCAACTAATTAAAATCAAAGCAATTTCACATATGATGTGGGCCTATAAGATGATCGATCGATATAAATACTCCAAGACTCCACCTTTGTTATATATTTCATGTGTCATGTTAGATAGATATTATATGCATTGAATACGATTCACTTTCAAGATATTGTAAAGACACGGACTCGAGATCTTGTGCTAAAGAGTGTGGAGGTTCAAATTCTCTTCGAGGCACAATATTGAGAATGCTCACCGAATGCGCAATTCAATAACAGATTTCTTCCTTACTTTCTTTGCTCGTCTCTTCACTCCTCTCTTTCTTCTTCACAAAGGCTGCAGCCTGCAACATCCTAAGTCCACAACATCAAGATTGATACCCAAGTCCCAGATTATCCTTTATTTTTTTCCACTGTCCCACTTCCCCTATTCTATATTCCTATTAGATGGATGCCACCATAAAAAAAAATAAAATCTGGGTTTTCTTTTCCTTTTTCTTATAGAATGTAGATCTGTTTAGATCTGCCATATAAAATCATTTTAATTCCTTCAGTCCAACTCTAGCTCCAAACTCTGCAAATTCTGTGTTGTTGGCATGCCTTTCTGGCACCAAAACATCAAACTTCACTGATACCATCTGGCTTTTGAAACCTGTTAAATTATTTGTAAAGTTTTTGCCATCAAAATTTTGCCTTGCTCTTTCCAGTTTAAGAGAGTTGAACAAGTATAGTAATAAAGTGTTTGATGGTCTTGTAGAAGGTTGCTCCAGTTTCACAATGCAATCAATCTGGAATGTGCCATAGGTATTATGGCTTAAAAGGGAATTGAACATGCTACTAGTGTTTTTGAGTACTCCAACCATCCACTTTTAGAACACAGCTTCGACATTTAAGTTGATGGAGGACCCTCTGCAACTAAGTGCTCAAATTGGATCAGTAATTGAATAAAAATACAAACTTAATGTTAAGGTCTACATATTATTGTCATAATGTTATGTGGACAATCTCTCTGATTAAGGTGGTCAGGTTCCAAGGTTCCTTTTATATATGACCATGGAGTTGATTCTCGTCCTAATCATTTCACTTAGACTTCTTGTTGGAGCTATGGCAATTCCGATTGGACAAGACGTTCTGAGCTGATTAAGTTTTACTCTGTTGGTAGCTGACTGGGAGCATAGATTGTTGAGCTCTAAAGAATCGACATAGCACATGAAATCAATTCCAGTAGTCGTGGATGGATTCCTACTTAGACCAGGTATTTTGAGGTAAAAGGGAACAATGACAAGCTTCTTAGGTTAAAATATATTAGATATTCGCTAGTTTCTTATTTGGTAGGTTCACCAATGTAAAAAACATGAGGACGATCCCAACATGAGGCTTCTGTCAGTACCAAGACCAGGAAGGATTGATGTGCACAGCTTTGTCCCTCGCAAACAGATTGGTTATTTGCAATGTACTAACCTCTGCAAGCCCGACTTATATTTGGTAAAACATTAATGTCAGATATTTTCATGTGGTTTTGGTTTTTGTAGGAAAAATTCATGTTCTGATTTTCTCGAGTCTTAAATGAATGATCTGAGTTCTGTGATTTGTAATATTTTTCTTCTTCAAATGATTTTATCTTTATAGAGGATCATGTATTTGAACTTGATCAAGTTTTCCTAATGCTGATTCCTCTTTTCCCGTTTGCAGAGTTTGGTTCCACAGGCCTGTAAGAGCTGATGATTGGTTGCTATATGTTGTTAGTATTTGATCGAACATGTTGCTAAAATGTCTTACAAATGCATTTTCTCATCCTGTTAACTTCCGTTGACACAGATTGAGAGCCCGTACGCCAGTGGAGGCCGTGGGTTTGTTACTGGTCAGATGTTTAACAGGAAGGGAGAGGTAGTTATTTGATTTTCTCATGTTAGGATCTCATTATCATGCACCCACTGATCTTTGGAAACTGTTTCGTGTTTCTATGCAGCTTATTGTGTCATTGACCCAAGAGTGTCTAATTCGAAAGCATATTCCGCAAAACCAAAATCCGAAAGCAAAGCTCTAAATGCCATCTCAGAGTTAATTATTGATTGAGGAAGGTGATTATTGTTGTTTGTTTCCTGTACATTATCAGCTCGCTACTCTCCTTCACAACGATGATTATTCTACGAAAATAAGTTCAGTCGAGCAGATAAACACCCGTTTGGCTGTCTATTTTTCTGTACTCAGGACTGGAAATAAGCTCTATAATTTGTGGTGTAATGTATTTAAATGAATCAATTATTTAACCTCATTTGTGGTGTAGTTTGCTGAGGCCAACCATAATTATTATATCATGGCTTCCACATTTATACCCGCAAGATGGATGTATTTGTGTCCATATGCTACTTTAAATCATGCATTAAACAGAGAATAAATCATATATTTTATTTGTATATCTGTAATTTATTTGTGAATTTATACATTAACTTATTTGTAAATTTTATAATTTTAATTTATTTGTGAATAATTAGAGATTATCTCAATAGAAAATAAGATGAAAGAAAATTATTTAGGATGATACGAGTATGTGTTTAAAAAAGTGGTTACTGTTGATGGTATGAAAAGTTGGTAAAAGATTAAAAATAATAATAAAAAATTATAAATAAAGATTTAAATATTTTAAATTTAATTAAATATATGATCTTTTATAAAGTATAAAAGATTTATGTGATCGATTTTAAATAATTAAAATTTATAATTTTATTATTATTATTATATATTTATAATTTATATTATAAAAAATAATGATCGTTTTTTTTTTTGAGAAAATATTTATTCTTGTGCAAAGTCCGAACGATTAAATTATTATATTTGTCTCAGATGAGATGTTGGATCACTGACAATTGGAGTCAAAAGGTTTCTGCTCTTCCACTTCCCATCTATTAGTAAAGAGGCGAAATATTTGGTGTCCGGCGGTGCCAGGCGAACAATGTATTCATGCTTCACCTGGTTCCAATTCGATTGGCGGGATTAATCTCCCACGCTTCCCATCTATTAGTAAAGAGGCGAAATATTTGGTGTCCGGCGGTGCCAGGCGGACAATGTATTCATGATTCACCTGGTAGTACGGTGAACATGACGTCGGAATGCCCCATCTGCTGGTGAGTTCGTTTTCCCGAGCTCGAGAAACGCTTTGACCCAAAAGACAAATTTTTTGAAGTCTTTCGAAGAGCTTTATTTTTTGTTAAGATTCCCACGTAACAATGCTGTCAAGATCTCGTCTTTTTCTTTTGCCGAGGAACTGCGATTGAATCCATCCTCGCTTGTTTTTTTTTGTGATGCTTGCTAGTTAGCTCGCGAGAATCTCTTCTAAATGCGACTACATGTTACTAGCCGATGACTTCAGAGAGCCTCCTCCAAAGAGGGCCTCCGATATGCTCTTCTAGTCCCCGACTTAATGCAAGTCTTGGGTTTTTGTTCTCCTGGAAAAGGTGTTGATTAGGCAAGAACTTGTCTAATTTGTATTGCTTGACTCTTGATTCCGTTTGTTTGAGTTATTTCCTGGGGATGTTGTAAGTTATTGTGCTCTACATCTGTCTGATGAAAGGACTGAGAGAGAAACCTGCATTGCTTGGTATAGTGTCAACAGTTTTGGTTAACATATGGAGCCTTTTCTTGTTGCGCATTTGTTGAAGCTTTTTCAAGCTTGTAAGTGGGCTATTATTGTGCAGCAGAATCAAGTTCATTATTTTGGATTTTTTATTTCGAAGTTGAACAGTGTCTCCGGCCTGAGTTCCTGGACGATTTTCTGATTTTCAGAAAGATGCAGGCTTTAGGTTAGCTTCTGAATGTTCTGAAATTCATGCTTGCTATTTGGCTTCATGTTGCAGTTTAATTTGTTTGTCCTTGTGGCAGTTTTTGAAGCTGATTAACTAGAAGGGAAAGGTTAAAAAGGAAGAAGATAACTTTGGTTTCTATCTGACACTAGCGATTCTATGATCGGTCAATGATATAACACCTGGTCTAGTCCCACATCGGGAATGAGAGTAGATCAGGACACTACCAAAAAGTTGGGCTTAAGTATTTTGGGTTTATTTGTTTAGACTCACAAGTTAGTGGATTACTTGTCCCATCCGGTTGGATCATACTATAAAATAGTACCAAAGCCGATCAACTATTGTGTCTGTTAAGGGACTCGAGTAGAAAATAACAATACACGGATGAGCCAAATGACACATCTTGGTGACATGGCTCCACCATTGGGATAAGCCTCATATGTTTCATGCCAGGGCTTGATTTTGGGCCAATGACTTTAAGCCCTTAAGTGAGGGAGATTGCAACACTTTGGTTTAGTTCTACCTTGGAAATGTGAGAAATATTGAATGGACTTGGATCATAACAAGTGATTCTATGATCATCTAGTTAAGGCTCCTCACTAGGATACTTATGGTATTATTTCACTCTGCTTTTTGCTAGTAGACAAGCATGGCGAGCTGAAGTACAGGTCAGATATGTATGGATAACCCATTTTCTTGGCCTTGACTCGTGGCATCATACCATTCAAAGCAGAACAAAGATTCTAAGCTTCTTCATTCTTTAATCGTTTTATGAAACAGAATCAAATGGATTTCTAGTGATGGCATCTGTTTTTTTTTAATATAGTTACCAATAAGATACTCATTCTTCTATGAGGTTATTGGCCCCTGCTAAATGCCTTCCAAGCAATGTTTGCTACTTCTAACATTGTTGTATGTGGATGCAACGACAATACCATTTCTATCGAATATGATTTGGATGGAAATATCATCCATGATGATTTTCAAAATTCTGGAGTTCTTATTTGTTGCCTAATAGAAATTATGCATGCTTAACTTTCCTTGCCGATTAACCTTTTATTGAGGCTTTTGGAAGGTTCTAAACTCTAGATAAGAGATTAACTCTTATGTGTTTGAATAGTTTTTAAGAAAATTTCCATCTTGTTTCATCCTTCTAACGTACCTTGCTCACCTTTACAGTAGTTTAGGTAGCTCCTGGGAGTTTGGTATGTGCTAAAAAGCTACATTTTTTTGGAAATGTTTGAATATCTTATACATCGTTGTAGTGTTGGCATATGCAGAACAACTGGTGCAGGCTCTATTGTTTACATTAATATAATGCATTTCGCTGACAGTTGTATCATCCATGATGATTTTCAACATTCCGGAGTTCTTATTGTTGTCTAATAGAAATTATGCATGCTTAACTTTCCTTGCCGATTAACCTTTTATTGAGGCCTTTGGAAGATTCTAAACTCTAGATAAGAGATCAACTCTTATGTGTTTGAATAGTTTTTAAGAAAATTTCCATCTTGTTTCATCCTTCTAACTTACCTTGCTCACCTTTACGGTAGTTTAGGTAGCTCCTGGGAGTTTGGTATGTGCTAAAAAACTACATTTTTTTGGAAATGTTTGAATATCTTATACATCTTTATAGTGTTGGCATATGCAGAACAACTGGTGCAGGCTCTATTTTACGTTAATATAATGCATTTCGCTGACAGTTATAGCACCAGTGTTTCTCCTCTTTGTTGGACCTATATGTAGTCAAATTTAGTATGATTCTGCCACCAGCTAGCTATCAGAATGGATTCTACTTAAAATCTTAGGAATGGCTTCTTGTCATGGATCTTCAAAACATGATAAGTTTTCTATCAAATATTTATGGATTCCTCTGGATGTGCAATGTTATGAACCAAATACAATTGTTTCCCAGAAATATGCCCTCAGAACTCATGCAAAGGGCAGTACACTATCTGAAACCAAATCTCCCATCCAAGGAGCAAGTACAGCAAAGTTTGTATCTGCAGTTGCTAGGATCTGGGATTATGCTGGAGATCCAGCAGTTTTCCACATTGATGAAAGCTTGAAATATCATGACCATTTGCAGAAAGAGTGTAACACCATATGCTATTCTGGCAGGCAAAGAAAACAAAAACCAACATCCACCAGAAATGGAAGTGCTTGCAATGGACTAGAGCCTAAAAGCTCTTTGACATCTGCAGTAAAATCATACTTTGAGGAAGTAAAATGCATTAAGAAACAGTTATTGCTTGCCGCTTGCAACAGATATGTAGCCAATTCTTTCATCTGGAAACGTGTCTGGTTAATTGGTTCCCATTCACATATAGGAAACGATAAGGTCACATGGAGTACAACTCGTACTGTTCAAGCCAGCCAATGTGAAAGCATTGATAAAACTAGTTTGGAAGACCTGAAGGATGACAGATCTATTGGAACAGACAAGCAAAGTCCATTTGAAATATCTGCTACTCAGGCCAAAGGGAATTCTGCTGCTGCTGAACTCTATGATGCTTCTTGTGATAAATCAACGAACTTAGTAGGAAACGATCTGCAAATTTCAGGTTCATTTTATTCAACATATTCACTCCGACCAATGATGATCTGGAAAGGAATAGTTGTTGGATTTTGTAGAAATCACAGATCTAGTCTTCATTTCGGCAACAACTTTGATTTCTTAACTTTGACTGGTTACACTTATGGACGCCATCAGAAAGCTATTGAGGTCATGTCCTCTTCAGTTTCTGAGGTTTCACGGGAACTTTCTGCCTTCAAGGATTGTGATATTCATGAGTGTGGTAAAAGCTTAGCTCAGGAGCCCATTCTTGAACATAAACGTTTACCAATATTCACGATACATGATAAACTCGAAAAAGAACTAACCAAGAATAGACATGCAATAGCAGGAGCATTGGCTGGAACAATTGTTAGCCTTTGTCTGCATCCTATTGATACAATTAAGACTATAATTCAGGCTGATGGCATAGGTCAAAAGTCAGTTTATTGCACTCTCAGAACGCTCATATCACAAAAAGGTAATGTTTATAGATAGATTTTACTAGTTTAGTCACTGCCAATTGGGCTTCGAATATCTGATATCAACATCTGATGTATCCTCTCTGCATTTTTTATGTTTTATGAGTTTTGAAGAATATCAAAAGAATCTTCCTGAAATTGCATGTAAATCCACTTTGCAGGCATAGCAGGGCTCTACTGTGGGATAACTACCAATATTGCTTCCTCAGCGCTTATTTCTGCCATCTATACCTTCACATATGAATCAGTTAAGGGGGCCGTACTACCAGTTCTGCCAAAGGTGATTTTTCTGTTGTTGTGACTGTTTCATACTAAAATATTTTTGTATATAATGGCTTTTTGTTATTAATACTCTTTATCCATGTACAGGAGTACCATTCTGTTGCTCACTGCTTTGCAGGTGGTTGCTCAAGCATAGCTACTTCTCTCATCTTTACTCCCAGTGAACGTATAAAGCAACAGATGCAAGTGGGTTCACAGTATCAGGACTGCTGGTAACCTGTTTAATCATATTCTTTAGTATGGAGTTTCTCAATATATTTGGTGTTTTGAAACCAGGTCCAATTAGCCAAAATCGGCAAAATAAAGAGATAACTACATTTTTTTCAATTCTTATGCATATGAGTCTAGATACGTAAAATGATCTTGATAAATTCTTCTAAGAAACTGGTAGAGTGATGTCAGTTGATTTGATGTTCGTGAAGAATGTCCCACTAGAGACACACATACGTTTCCTAGCCCTTTTTTCAGTTAAAAGTCAGTTGTTATTGGTTCAAGCTAAAAATTTGAATTTCAAACAATATTGGATGCTAGATGTTGGATTGATTGTGCTGATCTGACAGAATTTAGATCTGTTGTAGCCAAGCCTATGCTATCATATCGTAAGTTTATATTTCTTATACGATGTGACATACATGACATACTGTAGTTGTGCAAAGCTGCAAAAAGGTCATTGTTTCCCTTGTTAACTATTTAATCATGACCCATCACTTTTGATTCTTGGATTCTTCTTACTTTGTTACTTCACATTCTTTTATGGTTGGAACTCAAAGAACACATATGAAAGCACCTGAAACTTAATTTGTTGTCAAACTTTTTGGGTTGATAGGGGATAACAAAGGTAAATAATTATTCCATGGGTATCGTGACAGAAGAGAAAACTTGATTTCTCTACAGCAAATAATCATCATAATGTTTCTGATTATTGGTTGTTGCAGTTATTTCTCATTCATTATGTAATTAAAATGTTAGTTTCAGAAGTTCTATTCCTCAGCAAAAGAGTCTTATGTATCTCAGGCTTTCATAATTCTTATGTTTCCTCTTTATCAGACTTTAACTAGATATTGTTTTTGTAGGAATGCCTTCATTGGATGCTTTGAAAAGGGTGGATTGCCTTCACTATATACTGGGTGGAAGGCAGTTCTTTGTAGGAACATTCCACACTCCATTATCAAGGTAAGTTCCTCATTCAATTACCCTTCCTATTCACCTAGCAATTTTAAATTCTTTTACATTTATTCTTCACTTTTGTAACAAGTTCGGGCTTTGAACGTGCAGTTTTACACCTATGAAAATTTGAAGCTTCTCTGTTTGGTGTCGGCAAAGCCTAATTCAGGTCTTAGCACATTGCAAACGGTTAGTCGGGTCTCTTTCCTTCTTTTAGCATTATACATTCTTTTATGAAATTACTTTGTGGAATTAAAAATCAGAGCATTTGCTAGTCGTTTCTTTTTCAAAGAGAAGTTATTAATAAAATATTAGTGGCATAAAAATTGGAAATTCTTCCAGAAATGCACAAGTTCTGCACACAATACTTTTGTATTAATAACAAGATTGCATTAATTAAAGAGAACGATGGATAATATGATGAAATATCTATGAAAAGAATATGTTTGCTTTTCTATTAAAAAACCAACATCTTGTTGAAATGTCCTACTAAGAAATGCATAGGAAGGAGACAGAAGTTATTGCTTGCTGCACTCTGTTTGAAAATGCATAAAGCAAATTGAACCATCAGGTAACTCTTGAAATAAAATTAAACTCATTTGAAATTGATCTAACCGTGTTTCAAATGGACATTATCTGCATCATGTGCTTCCAATATGTGAATCACATCACTAAAACCAAGAAACTTCTAAATTAGGTTTTGGTAGAATTTCATTATATGATTGTTCCTTATCTTTCTGGAGATAGGATGGAAATTAGGGCCTTTGAAATGACATTTTGTAACATTGATTTCTATAATCAGGATTCTTTGGACCATAATATATTTTATTGTCAGTTTGATTTCCTTCAAAATGAGTTATTTCACAATGGAATGAAAACAAGGAGATGAAAATGTTCGAGGGCTGACATTTTTGCCGCCTTGTGACTTGGTTTTGATTTGATCTACTATCCTTTTTTTGAAGTTGATATAGTTTACAATTCTCATCAGAGAAAACAAATGAAAAAGCAACTCATTATGATGTTCACACTCAATTTTCATTACAAAGTTTAATCACATCAGGATCCATTGCTCAAACCAAATCATGTCAAGATGATGCCGTAAGTACTCTATTTGTTCAGCTTTTCAATTGGTTTTTGTGTGCTCAAGATTGGATCAAGCTCTAGAGATGCTAAGAATTCACTCGCTAGCTCAGCTCATGGGACTATTGAATATAGGGCTATCGATGGATAAAGATTTGGTCAGGTTGCAGTGAGTTGGTGATGTTGTTCAGGGTGGCCCCACTTACCAGCGGGTCAAGATTTCTCTAACAGATGTACCTTCTATAGCTGATATGTGAGTGTGGGGTTGCATTGGCTCTGGTTGTTGTGGCATTTTATAATTATTTTAGGTCTTTTCCAATAAGGTTGATCCTCATATTCTTTACTTGCCATTTTATACAAATTTTTTTTCTTCAACAGCTCAGGTCCTAGTTAGGAAAGGGTGCCATGAATACGATCCGTTCTTAAATCATCTGCACTACAAGGACTATATATGAGATCTAAACAAACAAAGACAGAGGCCCTATTGTCCATCTATTCCTTTTACACACTGTGTGTCGACTCCACAACTTTATCAATTTAAGTAACACATTTTCGTGATGAGTTTATAACATGTATTCAAATATCTTCTTGATAAATGTTTTGAGAAGTCTGACTAGTTTGGCAAAATGATCATCTTTACAGCTATTGTGTGGGGGTATTGCTGGATCAACTGCTGCTCTTTTCACAACACCCTTTGACGTGGTAAAGACAAAGTTGCAGACACAAGTGAGTCATTTATTATATTGGTGTTGCCATTTTTCATCTGTATACTGAATTTGGATAAAGTTGCAAGACCGATTATTACACTTGTGCCTTATTTTCATCCAGGCTCCTGGGACTATTGGGAAATACCGTGGGGTTCTTCATGCATTGCAAGAAATAGCTAGGCATGAAGGTTTTCAAGGGCTTTACAGGTATATTGTAATGTGTTAATTTCCCTGGTTTTGTACTCGCTTACCCCACAAGAACTTTTCATGATAATTTATTGGAAGTCATCTTCACATTTAAACCCTTTGGCTTTGAATTTGTGGCTGTCGCAAGATGTGCTGCATTGTGGTCAAGATCTGTTCGATCGACATACAATTTTGCATTCTATTGATCTGATTAGTCTTTTTTTCTCACTTGTTTCAGGGGTGTGACTCCAAGGTTAGCTATGTATATCTCTCAAGGAGCCCTTTTTTTTGCATCATATGAGTTTCTTAAAGTAGTCTTTGCTTTGCAAGTTCCACAATCACATGTTCAGGTCATTCATAACCAACAAAATGCTGACTACTCAAAGTTGAGAAGTGAACAGACTGAAGTCTTAAACCAGAATTCTTTGGCTAATTAGAAACTAACTAATGGTGGACTTGTCTTGTGGGCAACTAGTCAGAGGGAACCCTGATCGATCACTAATGGGCATGACAGTGGTGCTTCTTTAGAACACAAAGCCACCGAGCCGTATTTTTGAAATCTGGTTGTCTTAATCGCACGTGCATTGGAATTCGATAAAAGTGGCATTGAACGTGTTCTTGGACCTTGCTTCCTTGATTTTAGTTTCTGAAGATCTTAGAAATCCTTTTTTACTCCTTTCACTACTCTTTTCACCAAATGCCAGTTTGCCATGCCCCCGGCAAAGATGAGTTATTTTCTTTCCTTTCCTCCCACGACTAATATCTTCTTGTTGCCAACTTCAGTGGTGTGTTATGGAATTCAATCTGTCCATGGCATGGGATGCAACTACAACTTTAGCAGCATTGTTTACTGTTGTTGGTCATCATTCATCATTCACAAGTTTGTTCTGGTAGCATTTTGATATTTTTCATGCATGATTCTGTTTTATGCCCATATAGGTTTATCTTCACATCAGTCTCTGAATATGCAATCCTCAGAACGGAGGATTTGACACCCATTAATGCAAATTTACATCTCTGCTGACCATATATGCTGCAGTTGTGTGATTTAAACCAGTAGCTACTCTTCTCTATTTACTGGAAATGCATCATTGAGGTTCTTAAATCCTTGTTTTGTGCAATTCCTTCTGTGCCAATCTCGATTGATTTATTGTTGTGATATTATGACTTATTATGATTCTTAGATATAGTCTTGCATATTTTTATTTGAATATGATTAGAGATATTAGTCCTATTGAATTTTATATCTTATGCGTCGCTTTTTGTAATATATCTTTTTGTTCTTTTGGAAAAAAAAGTATAAACATTTGGTGTGAGAGGCATTCATAGTATCTCCCAGAAATGGAAACTCGACTGTTAGATGGAGTATCTAAAATTTCCGGGATAAATTGTCCGCATAGAATAAAATGCAGAATCTTAATGGCTTCCTTGTGGGTTGACCACACAGTGATCTACCATATAAGCACAGCCTCTTTTGTCAAGATCATGAATCGTCAACCCTAATTACCGCTCCCAAATATATCATTGATCCTTACAAGGAAGTTATTACACGCCGAAAGATACCATCTTCTCGGAGCCTCCAATCTCCCCCCAAAGGCTCTCTATAAAGTCCTCCCACTCGTTATGAGGCGGCTTCGTCCCATGCAATGGCTCTCGCTACGCTTTTCTTCTCCCTCCTCCTCTGCCTCTGTGCCGCCTCCCTCCTCTCCCCCCCGTTTGCCGATGGCTCCGACGAGCTCAAAGTCTATATTGTTCACGTCAAGCACCCGGAGGGCGTGACCTTCTCCGACGCTGCACAGTGGTCGGACTGGTACTCCTCCCTTCTGCAGAGCGCGGCTTCGACGTTGGGAGTCGAGTCCGAAGAAGATGTCGCAGCCTCGCGCCTCGTCCACTCCTACCACAACGTCATGACCGGCTTCTCTGCCTTTCTCACCGAGATGGAGGTGGAAGCCATGTCGAAGCTGGATTGGTTCTTGCAGGCCTATCCGAGCCGTGTTTACCGCCTCCACACCACCCGCAGCCCCACCTTCCTGGGGCTGAGACGCCGAAAACATGGCGTGTGGAGATCGTCTAACATGGGCGAAGGAGTCATCATCGGCGTCCTCGACACTGGCATAACACCCGGACACCCTTCGTTCGACGACTACGGCATGCCGCCGCCGCCGGCCAAGTGGAAGGGCCGCTGTGACCTGAATGCGTCGTTTTGCAACAACAAGCTCATCGGTGCGAGGTCGTTCGTCAACTACGATGGTCGCAAGCGCCGGTCGAATGTGAGTGTGGTCGACGCTGACGGGCACGGCACGCACACGGCGAGCACCGCCGCCGGGGCGTTCGTGAAGCGCGCCAACGTCTACGGGCTGGCCCGGGGCTTGGCGTCCGGGATGGCGCCGCGCGCGCACCTCGCCATTTACAAGGTGTGCCTCGAGTCGTGTGCGAGCTACGACATATTAGCCGGCATGGATGCCGCGGTCGGCGACGGCGTCGACGTGCTCTCCCTCTCCCTCGGTGGCGATCCTGTTCCTTTCTTCGTCGACGCCATCGCGCTGGGTGGCTTCAACGCCATCAGCAAAGGAGTCTTCGTCAGCTGCTCGGGCGGCAACTCCGGTCCGGATCATTACACCGTGTCCAACGACGCGCCGTGGTTACTCACGGTTGGCGCGAGCACCTTGGACCGGACCTTCCGAACCACCGTAAAGCTCGGCGACGGACAAGAGTTCGACGGCGAGTCGATGTACCAGCCATCGAACTACAAGTCCAAATTGCTACCTCTGGTTTACCCTGGTCTGATCACCGGCAATAGTGACACCGCTCTCTGCATGAATGGCACACTGGATTCCGTCGACGTCCGCGGAAAGATAGTGCTGTGCGACCGCGGCACCAATGCGAGAGTCGAGAAGGGACAAGTCGTCAAGAAAGCCGGCGGCGCCGGCATGATCCTTGTGAACGATGCGCTGAACTCGTATAGCACCAACGCCGACCTCCATGTGCTCCCGGCGTCGCATCTGCCCTACTCTGCCGCGGCTAAGATCAAGGTGTACATCAACTCCACCTCCGCCGCGACCGCCGCCATCATCTTCAAAGGCACCGCTACGCGTGTACCCAACTCGCCCGCCCTGGCCTCGTTCTCCTCCCGCGGGCCCAGCCAGATCACGCCGGGGATTCTGAAGCCAGACATCCTCGGGCCGGGCGTCAACGTCCTCGCCGCGTGGAACACCCAGAAGTTCAACATGATCTCCGGCACCTCCATGTCCTGCCCGCACCTCTCCGGCATCTCCGCGCTGATCAAGAAAGCACACCCCGACTGGTCGCCGGCCGCGATCAAGTCGGCCATCATGACGACCGCTCGCCCGAAGGACAACAGACAGCAACCGATCTTCGACGAGAGGCACGTCCCGGCCGACCTGTTCGCGGTAGGCGCTGGCCACGTCGATCCGCAGAGGGCCATCGACCCAGGTCTCGTCTACGACCTCGCACCCGGCGACTACATTCCTTATCTCTGTGGCATGGGCATCAAGGACGAGTCCGTTAGCGCTATAGCCCGCAAGAAGGTGAATTGCTCGTCTGTGAAGAGCATCACAGAGGGAGAGCTGAACTATCCTTCCATCACCGTCACTTTGCCGGCGAACAGCTCCAAGTGGATCAGCTACACGCGGACCGTGACCAACGTCGGGAATCCGATGACGGAGTATTCGGTACGGGTGGACGTGGCGAAGGGAGTGACCGCGAGGGTGCAGCCACCGAAGCTCTACTTCAAGGAGGTGAACCAGAAGCAGAGCTTCAGCATAAGCTTCAGGAGGAACGGAGGTGCGTCGGGCGCAGTGGAGGGGCGACTGAGGTGGGTGTCGAGGGAGCATGTGGTTAGGAGCCCAATCTCCATCGCCTTGGAGTAATCCATGCATGCATGCATGCATGCACGAAGCGTATTCCTTTTTCTTTTTGGGGGGTAGATTTGATGGACTTTAATTGCATTTTATTTTTTCTCCTGTGAACCTTTCCGCTAATAAATGAAACTGTTTTATTGGATTGTATCATTCGATTGATGTTGCACACTATTCTCTCATCAAAGAGGCTCTCGTTGACTTGAGTTATGTCTACTGTTTCTTTGGTCCTATCTATCTCTCCCTACAACATCAAACCTCTACTCCTGAAAAAGGCATGCACGAAATCCTTCATCGTCGACTCGCTTGTGATTGTGTCAACGAGGAGGCCACGGAGCTTTCAAAGAAACCTAAATCAACTCGCTCAAGTTTCTCTCCAACACTTAAATTAATCATGAGATTATTATTATTTTTATTATTTTTATTTATGTTCTTAATTTCAGCACTTTTTATTTGCAACTACTAGTGTGTTTTATACATGACCTTAGAGAAAAAAAATATTTTCATGAATATTTTGTATAGAAAAATAGTTTATAATCATCGCAAGTCATTCATAGACTTGTACGAAATATTTTGTAGGAAAAGTGATTTATAACTGTTTTGAGCTACCCTTTGGACTCATGTCTATGTGGGCGTTTTCCTCTTGTTGATCTTATGTGGTGCTTACGTAGCAGATGATAACTGACTAATTATATATTTCATATTATTTATGCAGATAACACTTTATAAGTATAATATTTTCACCTCGAGAGTATAATATTTTTATCTTAGAAGGAACACCTTCTACCTCAAATGATTATACACATATAGATTAAATTCATATTGGGCTGAAAAGAACATCAATATTGCTGTAGTAACAATATCTCATACACATTCGAAATCAATAGTAATGATTCATTTTAGAAATATTTCAATTGTGGATTGGTCCAACTAAATTGCTGTTCGCAATTTCAATCAGCTTCCTTTTATTGAAGTCACAAAATCTTTTGCATTCAATTGTGAGATATATTAATTATGCATCAATAGAGTGACCATTTCGGATATCAAAGAAAAAGAAAGTAGCAGTCACAGTGGTGCAACACACCCGACTGTATTATTAGAAATCGCGCAGAGGACGCACTTCTTCTAGTTCGTGTACGTGATGGAGATCGGGCTCCGTACCTCGTGCTTGACGGAGACCCACTTCAAATAGCCCTGAGCCGCACCTACGCAACCGCAACCGCCTGTCATCTTGAACACCACAAAGAACTGCTTCTCTTCGTTCACGTAGGTGAAGCTCAGCGCCCGCGGGTAGACGCGAACGTACGTCCCATTTGGCGCGCCAACCTCGGCCCAGTAGGTGACCGCCGCCTCGCCCACGTTCTTCACCGTCCGTTTCACCACGGTGTAGGTCACCTTGCCGCCGAGTGAAACCGAGATCGAAGGGTAGTTCAAGTCCTTCTCCGGGATGCTGCTGACGGTTGGGCAAAGGATCGGCTTCCGCGCGATCACCGAGACCTCAGTGCTCGTGTACCCCAGACCGCAAAGATAACCGATGTAGTCGTCGGCGGTTAAGTCGTAGACCAGGCCGGGGTTGCTGGCCTTCACCGGGTTGACATGGCCGGCGCCGGTTGCGAAGAGGTCGGCAGGGACGAGTTGTTCGTTCACGATCGGATTTCCGCTGTGGTCTTGCACGCTGGCGGTCGTCATCATGGCGGATTTGATGGCGGCTGGCGACCAGTCCGGGTGTACGCCCTTGATCAGAGCCGCGATCCCACTTAGGTGAGGGGTGGCCATGGAAGTGCCGGATATGATGTCGAAGGTGACGCCGGTGTAATTGGAGGGTCCGACCGGGAAAGGCCATGCAGCCAAGACATTAACTCCGGGCCCGGTGATGTCTGGCTTCAGAATGCCAGGGCTAGCTTGACTGGGGCCTCTCGAGGAGAAGGATGTTATCGCCGGAGCAGGGGACGTGCCCAGTATCGTGCCCTTGAACAGGAGCGCCGCCGTTGGGCTGGCCAAGGAGTTGATGTAGGCTTTGATCTGTTCGCCGGCAGCAAAGCTGACGTGCGAGGCAGGGAGGACATGAGCGTCGGCGAGCGTACTGTACCCGTCCGCGGCCTGGTTCATAAGGATCATGCCGATGCCGCCTGCACTCTGTACGGCGGTGCCCTTATCGATCCTTCCGATGCCTCCGCCGCGCTCGCACAGCACTATCTTGCCCTTGACGTCGAAGCCGTCGAACGAACCAATGCCGCAGAAGACAGTGTCCGGGTTCCCGCTGGCTCCGGCGTACACTAAAGGGTAGAGAGTGGGAGGGAACGAGCTTGGCTGGTAGAGGGACTCGCCGTCGAATGAGAGACCATTGCCGAGCGTCACCGTCACCCTTATGTTCCTGTCCATGGTGCTCGCGGCCACTGTGAGGATCCACGGCGCCTCGTTTGACAGCGTGCTCGATTCCGGCCCGCCATTGCCGGCCGCGCAGCTTACGAACACCCCATTCTCTATCGCAGCGTAGGCGCCCAACGCGATCGAGTCATCATAAAATGGTAACGAGGCTCCGCCGAGGGAGAGCGAGAGGACGTCGACTCCGTCGGACACCGCAGCGTCCATCCCGGCCAATATATCACTGCTGAAGCATCCGAAATCGGCGCACACTTTGTACATGGCGAGGTGCGCAAGGGGCGCCATGCCAACCGCGACGCCCTTGGCGTTTCCGAGCACTTGGGCGCCCGGCACGGCGGCTCCCGCGGCCGTGCTGGACGTGTGAGTCCCGTGACCCACGTCGTCGTTTGGGGGATCCGACGCAAACGCTTCGCCCCTCGCGGCCTTCGCGCCGGCGAGGAACGTTCTTGCTCCGATGAGCTTGTTGTTGCAGCTCGACGCGTTGAAGTCACAGCGGCCAGTCCATTTAGCGGGCGGCGGTGGCATCCCTAAGCCACTGAAGGAAGGGTGGTCAGGGAAGACGCCGGTGTCGAGCAGGCCGACGATGACGCCCTTGCCGTAGCTGGACAGGTTCCACAAACCCTGGTGCATGTGCAACCCCAGGAAGTCCGGCGTGTGGGTGGTCTGGAGGCGGTACATGCGGTCAGGGTAGGCACGGACGAAGCCGGGGATCAGTGACATGGCCGCCAGTTCCTGCTCGGTGAGCCGAGCAGCGAAGCCACTGGCGACGTTGGTATAGGCGTGGATCATCTGCAGCTCCGACGTGACTGTCGCGAGGAACGACCTGTACCAAACCACCCTGTCCGACGAGGTGCCGGGAGCGGCCGACTCCGGCGGCTGCACGTGGACTATGTAAGTCCTCCGTTGCAAATTGATGCTGGAAGTCACCTGATATGGATTGGAGCAAAGGACATAGAAAAGGCAGAGGAAGGAGAAGAGTTTGAGCACCTCCATTGATGAAAGAAGGGGGAATGGGGGTTCTGCTGTCGTCTGCATGAAACTGGTGACTGCATATATATATAGCAGCGGAGGGCCGGCGAGCAGATGAAAGCTATGCGTTTGGCTTCGACGGGCATACGGATCGAGGACAGGAGTTGTCGGGTTCTGTCATCGCCATGGAATGGGGGAGATCACAAAGTTTAGAACGCAGGATACATTTCTCGGGTTTGTCTGCTTCCTTCAGGATCGGAGAGGATCTCAAGGAGTGATTCGTGTTTTGTTCTTCGTGGTCATCCATCGCATGATGACTGCGACGACTGGAGACCGAATGCACCAAAAACGCAGCCGGCTCCATGGAAGCTGTGGGTTCAAAAGATGAGGTTAGACTACAAAATAGATGATAGCTTAATCTTCCGGCAATTTCGATGAACAAGAAGTTGCTACAGATACTGTACAATATTACACATATCCAAACTCAGAAACTACATGAAGAAAAAAAATAGAGTTAGCAGAGACCATGAATTGAATCTCCAATCCTAAGAGATCACACTGCATGTCATTGTGCAAACAATGGAAAGATGAATACCAGAGAATTTGGAGTTCAAAACCCGAAGTTGCGAACAGTTTCTTCCATTATATCATCTAACAAGGATTCACATATCAGAATTGCGATATTCTCGGATTCGAATCGAAGGTCCATCCAACCTCTGTCTTCCAATTCCTTTCTTATTGCTTGATCTAATGTGTTTGGCAGCTGTATATGAAGATGCCTCTCGAGACAGTTGCTAACTTCTTGGATTAAGCTTGCCCTTGAAGGGGTAGGCAGGAGATTTGGTTGGATGAGAGACAGCCATTGGGTATGCTTCGAAAACCTTTCCTGTGTCTCTACAAGGACTTCATTCATGCAATCAAAGAGAAGCTTAGGATCATCTTGTAGGAAGCAAAAGAAGATCCCTATTTCATCAAACAAAGATGGATCAAGTAACTGATCTGCCGTATCCCATCTCTCTGAGAATTCATTAGCAAGGCCTGAGGCTTCCAAGACTACTTTAACATAATCGAACCTAGCTTGCTTGTCATGAAGATGATCTCTTAAACTGTAGCTTACATCTGGTGATGCTATAATTCTTGAATAGTTGTCATAATCTTCATGAGTAACTTGTCGATGTTGTGCTTCAATGTCATCTGCAGAAGGGCAACAAATTCAGATAAGTTTGTGCCAAAAGGCAGACCAAAGCCGTGTCAACAAAAATCTTAATGCTTCTTAATATTGCCAGATCATACAGTGCTCCACTGTAGTAGACTCAGCAGTGGTAGAATATTCTGAAAAGAGTGTTTCGAGAACAGATACTGGACTTGGTTGCTCTAGTTTTTCATTGGTGCTGGTGCTTTCTGGAGCCACTGAATTTTCTCTGGTTAAGGAGCTTGGTGGGAGAGTGGACTCTGTCAATGCTAGTAAATTTCCTTCGGATGAACCCTGGTAAAATGATAGTGCAGTTTTAAGGTATCAATATACTTAGACCAAATCTAATTATATATCTTGCGCTATAAACTCACCAGTCCTTGTATTGCTTCTTCTTCTTCTTCTTCTTCTTCACTTTTATCTGCAGCAACTACTTCATTTGTACTTAAGGCATGACTTTGTAAAATGCATAAGAAGCTAAGAGGATCTCATTCAAATATATCACAACCTACCTTTGTTGTTCAGGTCTTCTGTAAGGCATGATGGCTCTGAAATATTGGTATCAACCACTTCTGTTTTTAGGATGAGCAAATTTGATTCATCACCTGGAATGCTCAAGGAGCAAGATGAGAACTCCAAGTTTGGTCTCTCGGGGCTTAAGTTATTGGCAGCACCTTCTTGCTTGAACACATGTGAGGTATCTGCGGTTTCTTCAGGTGACATGACAAGCTCCTTATCTCTTTGAGGACTTGATCTAGGACGTAAGTCATTGCATCTTGAAAGAGAGAGTACTCTCCCCAAAGATTCTGAGGCTTGGATCACTGGTAGACTATCGACTGTAGTGTCTAGCATCTCAGCAAGATGCTTTTTGGCTTCCTCACATATCAAAGATTGATGCTTCGAAGAGGAAATATGACTGCTGATCTTAATTTCACTTTCTGAATAGATTTTCTTATCTTTTCTCTCATCATGGGGCAAATATTCAGATACCTTTTTGGCATTACAAGAACTGATTGCTGAGCTCGCTACTACACTCTCATTATGTATCAATTTACATGAGTCACCTGTGTCATTCGAGCAAACCGGAGTTCTGTGTAGAATACCATCCATGGAGATAACATGTTGTTCTTTTCTACTCTTGCCAATCATATGCTGGATCCTTCGTTTTACTTCTCTAAGGGAAAATTCAGATAGAATTCTTTCACCATCTTTGTCTTGCCTAAGCATATGATGAGATTGAGGTGGAGAGCCTGGAGGTACTATGACAGAAGAATTTTGAATTATTGCTGAGCTTGGCTTCAGAACTACTATTCTGAATAATGCCTTGGAATTTGAACTTTCCTTTGATGACTTTATCCCCCTTGACTTTCCCTTTTTCCAGAAATAATTGTATCTGTTTTGTTTGTGAAACAATTGCTTAGTGTCTGATTCCTTGGATATCCCTGAACTATTGTTCTCCTCCCCTAACAATTGAATATCCTCTGAATATTTATCTGATCCCAAACTAAATAGTTTCCCTGCCTGATTACTGTGAAAATTTTGAATATGTTCAAGCAAAAGAGAATCTGGATCTTGAAGAAACGACAGAGATAACTCCTTATCTAAATTCAGAGTATCTAATGCATCCATGAATTCCTTAAGATGGCCAGCCCATTGTCCATGAAGTTGCTTCTCAACCATTGACTTCTGAATTTTAATAGCCAGGGCAACATCTGCTAGGGTCTTCTGAAAGAAAGAGATCTTTTGATCAAGATGATCATCAAGGTCATCAAGGTGATTATGAATCTTTGGACCAATACTTCCTGAGGCATGCCACAAGTCAAACTGATCACTAGAATCAGCATTCATTTGTTGGCATGTATAACCATAGTACCATGTCAAAAGTGCAGCCATGTCAAAGTTACAGAAAGATCTTTCAGTTAGATCCATACTGTTAGACTGACGACCATTTAAGCTTGCAGAAGCAGCTAGATTGTTTGCATAAGCATCTGAAATTAACTTCAAGCTTTTACTTCTTTGTTTATAATTCTTTTTTGGACAAACATCATTTTTCATGTTAGATGCTGCTCGTGAAGCTTCATCATTTGAAAACTTCTTTTGTGGATGCTGAGACATTGCTTCCTCCGTAAGAGTTTTCACACTGGTGATATCCAAATTGGCCTGATCTTCTCTGATTTCATCAGCAAGCTGAAAACAGATTGGTTTCATGGATTTCTATCTTAAAGCTTAAAATTTATGATCCCAAAAGAAACATGGCATCCAACAGACTCAAAATTTCATTTCTTCCAAGCTATTATGATAATTGCATTTAAATATTTTTGGCAGTTTATACTCGAGCAATAGCTACTAGTGGATAATTATTCAATATATTTTGTAAATTCTATGAACAGAAGAAGTTCTAAATATTTAGGAATATAATAGACAAGCATGACAGCTTCAGAGTGAGATCCTCTGTTTACTTCCTCTCTAGTCTAGCTCTCTCTACTTTTCCTAGAATTGTGTCAACCAACTTATGCCTTTGGGGATATTAAAGATATTTTTCCTATATCCTTGTCACCTTTACAAACTGAATATACATCCTTTGCAGAATTTGTAAATCTAGATTTCAACCAGAATGTCATTTTGGGATCACTAAAGGTATTTGTAGATTATAATACCTCTGAAGATACAAACAGTTGAATGCATATGTTTGTGAAATTATATGCATCTCTTTACAGGCATCTTGAATAAGTAAATCATCATCTATTTAGTTCCTTCTTGAATTGATAATAGATACTGCACATGCCTGCTTTTCACTAATGGAAAGCACCAATATATGATCAACTGTTAAAACTAAGAAGATTTGGAAGAATAACTAAATTTGTAATATTTACTTGAAACATGGATTTTGCTACCTTTGAAGTCTCATCCATGATTTCTCTCAAAACCAAGTATAACAGGTAAAGCATCAAGATAGAAAGGGTATAAGGGTATCACATGCATATTAGTGCAAAATCTTGGTTAAGATGGAACTATTTTTAGCGATACATTGAACTACATTTTTGCTTCACTAAAATCATAATATTGTTCAACTTGCTAGAATTATATCTGTATGTTGAAGTATGCTTAGTTCATAGATAAGTACTGTCTTCTACTTCTGTAGAATGACATATTCACTAAACTTACACTACCACCTTCATGTTTGTTCAGAGAACTTTCAAGTAAATCAAGTATAGCTCCCGAGGGTCCAGTACCTGCACAAGACAATATAACAGCTATAACTAAATTACCACCACCAAGAAACTAAACAATATCTTCATTGACATATACAAAGAGCAACATATGAATGAAGACCTTAATAATTATTATTGAATAAAAAACAAAGGTTAAGTTGCAATTGTAAAGCCTGTTGGACTGTTAATAATTTATCAAATGTCAAGTCTAATCTTGCTTACTGCAAAAAGGGAAAGAAATTATTTGCAAGTTTGAGCTTTGCAGAGCAACTATGACAAAAAAGACTTACTACCAAAAAGTTTCATGAGTCAAAATACATGATTAAACGAGGCATCCACAACCGAGTAATGTTCATGATTCAAAATCCCTTCAGAAAATAATATTTCACAGAAAAAATATATTACCAGCCACTCTAGTGCTTTTGAGCTTCTTATCCGACATTAACTTCTGAGTTGAATGGCCCTGGCAGAAATCAAACAAACCAATCAAACCCCACATACATCCAACATTGTCCCTTTGAGTTTGTGCTGGTTTTCTATATGATCTTCTTGCCATAATCTAACTCCTGATTTGGCTCAGAGAAGATAGCCTCCAAATTTGAGGAGCCAATTGACCAAAATAGGAGTATGAAAGAAACTATTAAGAATGAGAATGTCTCCTGCAAAGGAAGAAATCAATAAAGTAAATATAAAAGAACCATTTATATATATTTGTGCCAGTTATAAATTTAAACATTTTCATGCTAATTGTGTTTCAAGTCACTTGGAACCATTATTGATTTGTATGTGTTTTTTCAGAATACCACCTCTCCACAAAGGAAAGGCTTGGAAACTCTTGAATACAGACCACCTCTTTTTTATCTGAGGACATCTTTTCATGTTTGCCACATCTTTTAAGGGGAAAAGGGTAGTCATTCATCAACACATACCACCTCTCTCTCACATTTCTTTGGAAAGTTTGCATGTCCTCTTTTCTCTGGCCACCTCTCAGCTGGGCCTTGGTTTGAAGGAAGAATTGGATGTGGAAGGTAGAATTGAGTCAATGTGTGCAAAAGCATTCTCAGTATGACTTGTCTAGCATGTATGTTTTATCTAATATTATCAAGTGCGACAACAATAACAAAACCATAAGTCTCAACTAATCAGTTAAGATCCATGTTTATGAAATCTGATATAGTTTTATGTTGGGTTTTAGTAACCTAATGCAACCCTCCACCTTTTTCAGCCAGACTTAGGACCAGCATTGGCAGTGTTATCTAATATTATCAAGTACTAAGTAGATAATACCTGAGGGAATAAAGTGAGATGAAGTAGAACATAATCTCTATGGAAACTTCTGAGCTGGTGGGAAGAGGCACGTGTGGCTAAGAAATTTAAATCTATGGTTAATTCCAAGGGTTATTCTTAGGCACTTGATATTTTAATAATACCATACACTGACTGATACTTGATGTTTGAAAGTCTTGATCATATCTAATGGAATACCCTAGACGATTCAAAGTGCATGTTATTATCTAGTAAATCAACAGTCATAAAATCATGTTAAGATGAATCAGTAATCGACCCAAAAGTGAAAATCCACATCAAGATAGTTGGCCTCCATGTTAACAACCGAATGCAAAGTTAGAAGGCCGACACTTAGTAGCCATCTAGTGCCCCAAGTTGGCCCATCGAAGTAAACAAAATAGGTACTCCTCAACAAAAGCATATTCTAATAGCTAGCAAGACTATACAACCATTGGCTTATGTCACGGCAGTTTATAAAATTTTAGCATGACAAATAAGCCCATTCTTTCTTTTCCAGTTAGTTTTTATTTTCTTAATATTGTCACTTTAATTTCTAGTAAGCCTTTTTCTTGAAACCATGTGCACTCATGCTGGAATTTGTCATGTTCAGATTCTTAGTTTGATTTTGGCTTCCACTAAAATATAATACTGAAATGTTTCCCAGTAAAAAAAAATTCTTCCACATTTCACTTGTTCCAGTTAAGAGTAAATGACCATCTTTCGGTAATCCTCTTGAGGCTTTAGTAGATTGACCTATAGCACACAAAGGAATTCTATGTTATGAATTTAGACTTTGAATTTTTTAAGAGTCCTTCAGGACCAGGAACTAGTGATCATGCCTTTTTTTGTGTGTTACAGTCAATTATGTAAGGCGGCAACAATAACAACAATGGGTCTTTTGACTCATCTTTGTCACTCCTCTGCCTTCTTCTTATCATTCTTGATCTAATAAGTTGTAGCTACAGTCATTTTTTCAGATAAATTTTACAGGGTCAAACAAAAGAAAAATAAAACCTGATGATGAGAAACTATAGAAAATGACACTTGAAGAATTAAGCAAACTTATAAACTGAATTCAAAAGCATAAATAGGCATGTTTTTCATGGTCAGATTTTATAACTTCAAGTGCTCAATGATGAACATTAAATCTTGAGTTGCAATTATAAACTGATACAACAGCATGTCAATTTAATAACACCTACAAATGCTATAATATAACCTTTTGAGAGCAGCAAAAACAAATGACAGATTTCCTTCACATCACAGTGAAGGAACATCAGATTTAACTGAGCTGTAGCTTTCTTCCTTCATGCTTTCTCCACTCTCATCTTCTACTTAGTCTACAATCTTTTCTTTTTGTATTCCTTACATAATAAATTTACGGGACAATTGCCCTGTTTTTCTTGAAAGAAAAATAGAAATATACAAACCAGTAATTTGCATTATTATTAGGAATGGAACTATAGACTATCCAAGGTTTGACGTACCGAAGCGTACTGTTTGGTACGGGCGATATGTACTAGTTCGACAGAAGATCAGTACGATCGATACATCAAAACACCCCAGTGTACCATGTGTGGGTACGCTTGGTACAAATCGGTATAGTTCGATACGTACCGTATCGACAGCTAGTTGGTATACCAGTACAAACTGGTAATACGAATCACAAAACCATCTATGCCTTTTTATCATTGAATTATATTAACGAGAATACTTGGTAAAGTTGATGAAAAGCTAATTCCACTAAAGATCCTTCATGTCGAGATTAATTTCCAGATTGCACAAAAATAATTCATAAAAAAACATTTCTATGATCAAAAGCAAAAGAATAAATACCTCAATTTAAGTGCCAAATATGAATGGGGAAAACACATAATTTCCGATTTCTGGGCCACGCCCTCTCTGCAAGTCCCCAAGTTGTCGAAGGTGAACTGATTTAGTTATCCTCATGAAGGAAAAACTGAGAACTTTCCATACCACCACGCCAAACTCCAAATATAGTCCCGTTGAGCCAAACTTCTTCTTTTTTTTCTCTTGTTTATTAAGGTCTCTCGAGAAATGATAACCTCAATGTGGTCGTCCCGTGGGTCTCGACTCTGAAACCAATTGATATGGATTCTAAGTTAGAGCTTCGAACAAAAGCCAACCATATGTTATACCAAATATACAGAATAAAATGGAGAACAGCAAATCCAAAGGCTTGGAACAAAGTAGTTTCTTTTCTCATCCGATCGGTCAAAATCAAACAATATTTACCAAGAAATAACTTGAAAGAAGGCAAAACTCAAAGAACAATTCCTCAAAGCGAGAATGCACGAACAAAGATCAAATGTATGCGTCCTTCCCGCACTGTAGCAGACAGAAGACTCGGATCGTTAGACCTCTTCCGCCACTCTTCTACGATCGAGACGCCGAAGGATGGGTCAAGAACGTAAAAGGTGCTTCACCGGCCTGCAGAAAGTAGTGCGTCATGGCGCTACGCCGCCGCCGCCGCTAAAGAAGCGCGGGAGAGGAGAGGAGAAGGGACGTGTTGGGAAGATCAATATGAATAAAAGGTTGAAATCGTTCATCGTGGGAATCATTCAGATTATGGAAAAGTTCGAGGAATCGCCACCGTCGTTCCAGGCGCGCACATACATACACACACACATATACTCTCTCTCTCTTATTTCCTTCTATTTTCTTCCCTGTTTCCGTACACGTTGAAGTTTCTAGTAGGACAGAGGAAATGATAGATTTTGGTGGCTGCTCCGTTCCCGTAATGAAAGTTTCAACAGAATCTTCCCAAACTAGCCTCGTTTGGTTTATAATATACCACTACTAATTAGCGGTATAGTATGAATCGATATTAAATTGTTAGCAACCTTGAAACGGACTGCTTCTTTGTTGAAATAGCTCCATGACTATTTTTCTTGATAGGATGGTGAAGTACTAACTACTTAGGACTTGAAAATTTTAGCCATCATCAAAATTTGTAAAAGAAAGTATTATGTCATTGATATTTTTTTTAATTGCTTATTGCTAGTTTGTCTCTTCCATAATTAATTATGGCATCTAAATCTTTCCTTTTCTAAGAGAGGTAGAGAGGTAGGTCCGAGGATCCAAACGAAGATCATATTAAATAATGTCTACATGTAGAATAAACAAAAGAAGATGAAACAAAATGAATGGAAAATAAATCAAATGAAGTAGCCATTAAGCTGGATTAATGCCTTCAAAGGTGTTATTTTTTAGACTATATTAGATTTTTTATTGAAGCCGAAATCAATTAGACCAGATTCATTTACTATATTCCGATTGAATATCATGTATGATATTTAAATTTGAGCCATTACCCATATGTGATTTGACTCATTTAGTCCATAATAATGTGAATGTGGGACAAATCCTAAACTGATTTAACTCTATTAATCAGGTGAATATCTGATCTTATTTACAAAAGGCATATGCAAGTTTTATCTTCTCTCCCTAGAAGTTTTTGCAAAGTTAGGTGGATGTCACAAGAGTACAACGTCGAGCTTTTCTATTCGTAGAATAATTTGGATTATTGCAGAAGAGTCTGACCAGCATGAGCTGATCATGGTGACACTCAGACCACGCATGCAATGGGCCCATTCTCCTGAGTCATGCAGTTGGGAATCAGACAAGCTTTCATACCCTATGCTCCTAAATAGCAGGACAACCCACCCCAATTCTAATGAGGGGTGGCCGCTGGGATTCAAATAAGTGGTTAATCGCAGCCATGGATGGGATTTTGGAGGTTAATTCACAATCAGGAATCAGTATCAGGATGCAGACTATCTGCTGGTGATATATCTCCATTTTGTTCGCTTATTGAGAAAACCCTGCGATGGAAGAGACACAGTGTTGTTTTAACACTGTGAAATTCAATAAATTTATCTGAAGTTGAAAATTTCATCTGTAACCAAAGATCCAAAGTGCAAGTTTTAGTCCTTAACGCAGTCATCTCTCCTCTTGTGCGCATGAACTATCTAACATCACATTCAGTCCTAGCTGCTCTTGTCCAACTCTCTCCCACCTTGCTGTAGAAAGGAGTCTTAATGAACAACAACACACATTTCCAACCTACCAACTTTGTCTGCATGCGGAGTCGATCAATTTCCACACCAAATCCTCACTGAACCTACCACCATTACGTCTATGGACATATGAGAAATCACAGTTGTATCATCCATTTTTCTGGGACTCCAGCCATAAAAAGAAGGGTCGTTTGTGCACAAAGTAATTGCGTGGATCATGGTAAGCGGGTGATCTTTCTAGCACTCAAAGTCCGCCTGACAGTAAGGCGTTCTATTACCCCCGCCAGGAAGAGGAAGAAGCAGCATGAGCTGTACAAGTGTTTGCCTGTCCTAGGAAGTGACCTCTAAAGGTTGTGGATGGACCAAGCCAAAAACTCGGTTGTCCTTGTAATATGAGCCAGCTATGCTACATTAAGATGGATGACCCATCGTTTCCATGTACAAGAATTTTGGAGGATTTATCTACTTGTAAAGTGATTACAGCTGTAATGATGCAACCAATGACAACCCATGCATCTAAAGCGAAGGCAACCTACGGACATCCAAGGGAGTAAATTAATTTCGAGAACAATTACATTAAGTGACTTCTTCCTAAGTTAAGATTCCACTGGACGGATATTTCATTGTCCAGCTTATATTTGTTCGACTTCTGATAATTGGCCTCTTCTAGCCAAAACAGTTAATATCAGATGCGAACAAAAGAATAAATCAAAACTAAAAGGAAGTGTAATGATGGAATCAAATGGACATTGAAATTCTAGAAACAAGGACTGCGTTACCAATGATAGATTGCGAGCAGTAATTTACCTTGTGCTGAACTGGCTGTCCTATGGACAGTACTGCTTGTGTCGGCAGAGTCATCAAGCAGACAAGGGTGATTGGAAAGAAAAACAAGAAAGAAGCTTGATCGAGATCAGTTACCGAAACAGTCATATTAAACTAATGCTGTTTGTGCTCCATTATCCTGTCTAGCGTATTGGTCACGGTCCAAATATATGTGTGCTTGATTGGGAAGAAAAAGAAGCAAGAAGCTTGATCTAGACCAGCTACCTAAACAGTCATATTAAACTAGTGTGATTGTGCTTCATTATCTGGTCTAGTGAATTGCTAAAATAATGACAAACCCAAAGAATTCAATGGCACCGAATCATCAGAAGTATAGACAAGACATAGTTGTTGCTATCTGAATTAACAGGGCCTGAGCAACGTTTCTAGTGGCTGGAACGTGGTTTTTGGACTGTGTTTCTCTTGATTCGTTAGATGCCTAAAGGCAAAGTCATCTGAAACACGTTTTCAGTGCCCCACTACTAGTTTTCAAGTCCTAGTTGCTCCCTTTGCTTTTTGTGCGGTGAAGTGATGGAAGGTCAAAAGGGAAAGGAATCCAGAGTTCGATATGAGGGTGATGGGAGGACTCAACTTTCACAAAATGTCCTGCGCCTTCCCATTCTGGCTCTTAGCTTTTGTGCAAGTGGCCGGTTGAGCACTTCGCCATGACGGCAGGAATTTTGATGGATGCTCCCCACTCACAATCCTTCATATAAATTGGGTGCCAAATTTGGGGCTTCTGATGGCTGAATGCCAGCAAAAGAGGAAAGCCTACAGGCTATCACACGAGGAACAAAAAAAAAAGATAACTGGATATCACTAGAACCTCAAGAATCTAGTGTCAATTAAATCACCTCGCGCAGCAAAAACAAAAAAAGGATAACTGGATACCTAATAAAATTAACAGCAGCAGAATACTGTTGGAATTAATTGCAAAGCATGAAGAGAAAAATAGTTAAAAGCAAAATTATAATGTACATACCTTCATAATCTTCTGTCCAGCAAAAGAAAGCGGAAAGCAACAAGGTTGGATCTATCAATCAGCACAATGATCAAAATCTATCAAGGTCTTCTATGCTGTTTAACAGATACTGTTTGTGTGGGGTAACTTGTGGTCAAGACTCTTACTGTCATCCAACTAGAGGCTCAGATAGACCATTTCTTACATTAATTCTTGATATTTGTTGCCCAAATTATTGGACAATTTTCTTATAAGAAGATGAAAAAGGTCTCTTGTTTAAAACATTGTTTTAAAACAATGCATATGCTCAAAGATCAAAATATGAACAGATGCGTCCACAGGAAATACGAGAAAAAACAACATTGATAACAGAAGATGAATTATATACATTTACACCTTAATTTCTGTGTATTTGTTATATTTCTTTGATACATTTGAACATGAAGCTCGAAAGGCTTTAATGGAAAATTAAAATAAAAGATAGAGTTACATGTATCATTGAAACAATGTCCTCTTTTGTCCTTTTCTTTAGTGAAATGTAAATGGAGAAAAATTCACCTATTCATATAATGAGATTTGACAAAATAATGAGAGTTAAGCTGCCCAGATTTAAGTTTTATTATAGTAACAACATATTATTAACTTCTTAGAGACAATCATGCTTCTGGTTCTAGAAGCCAAATTTATCAAGCACAAGATAAAACAATGATGGCATGGCTTGAGCTGGCAGGAATGCTCTGATAAGATTTGAGCTAGATAAGAAAAGTGACTGTACTAATTGATCTTTTTTTGGTTGTATGGCAACTGAAACAGACGATTTTACTTGTGTAACCTACAGTGAAAGCATCATAATACTCTTAATATGGCTGGTGGTTTACCAAAGGACAAGCACATGGTGTCTCACCTTAAACAACAGTTATTGAATTCATCTGTCTTCTTTTTTTCATCCTTGCTTTTCTTAGAATTCGCAGAGTATCTTCCTGAACTTCCTCCATAAAGCTACTCTTCTTCCCTGAAATAAGACCAGTGGTAACTTGAAGAAATAATATTTATATTTTGCTCCACTAGTGTGGATGCGATCTATGTACATCAATATCTGCTTGTTCTTAATGCAAAAGGAAGTTATCAAGTGTTTTGTTTCTTTTGCAATTTTTGGAATAGTTGTCTTACTAAAGAAAAAGATACTAATGATAGAAAGCAGTCTAATTAATTCTATTTATCATGAATGCATCATGAAGCATGAGATCGGACCCAACTTTGTGGTTGTCTATACTGAAATTTTCTTTTTAGTTTTCATGTTTGTTTAATCACCTTTGCATTTTTTTTACTGATAAGCTAAAGATGCTAATTTAACAACATGCTTTCAGTCTAATTATAACAGAAAATTGGATCTGTTTTTCTCACTCCTCCAATCATGATGGATGAGACTGTGATTGTCCTTACACGAATTTTCTTTTTGGTTAACATGTATGCTGGAGGCTGTAATCACATTTGGATATTGCTTTACTTGCTAAAAAAATTAAAGATATCAATGTAACAACAGATGCCCAATCTAATTATGGCCTAAATTTGATAATTTTTTCTTGTATCATATCAAGATTCATGAGACGAAACCAAACTTTGTGATTTCATCTTCCTTAGAATTGCTTTTTGGTTAATATATATGCTGGAATCACATCAGTGTACCTCATGATGACTCTTCTTAGGAATTAGTGTGCATCATGATGACAAAAAACCTGTTTCTTTTTTTTTTTCGTTTCATAACTTCACTTTTAAAGAGAAGATATAATAAAGCTGGGTAGAAGGTTAACTCTTGAATGTTACAAAAAATAAGATCCAACTAATAGATCTACACTCTTGTTAATCCTGTTTTAGTCCAATAAGGAAAAAGAAGTTTTCAAGATTTCCTTATTCCAAATATTATGAAGCTGCTTTTTATCTATGTTACTTGAAGTTGCTTAAGTTACCTGTTCCTTTGTTCACTATAAGGCATGAGATGCCTCCATCACTTTCTTCATCTAAATCAACGATTACTCTAACAAATTCTTCCTGCATCACCATGGACAATTATTACTATCACGTGATACATAAACACAAACAACAAATCAGCAAGAATTTTACAGCCAAAGATAAGGTCTTGACCCAGTTACTCAGTATAGGCCCTATGCTTTTTCAAGTTCTAAACAGCACAATTCTGAGAAGTCTTCGAACTGTTACATCACTATGTTGAACTGAGGAGCATACAATTTGTAACATTATGTAGGATACCAAGAATATATAGAATGTCCTGATAAGATCAGTCTTCATGTTCAGAAACAAGTGCATTACTCCAAGCATAAATTGAACTTTATGTAAAAGTGCATTAGCCCAAGCATAAATTTTACTTTATTGTAAAAGCAGCAAGCTTTAAAAAAATCACCTGCTTTGTATGAGGAATTATGTGTTTGTGTTTCACAGTATGCTTTGGTTCAGTCAGCTTTGATTTAAATGACTCTAGCTTTCCTTCTTTCTTAAAAGGTGGAGACCTTTGCTTGTTGCTCATCAGTGGTGCAGCAGAACTGATATCAACAAAATTTTGATTAATACAGAAAAATGTAATAATGAGCACATAAATTTTCAGAATCTGTAGTGTGAAAATAAACATTTGCAATAATACCCTCAAAAGAATATTTGGAATAACACAAAGGTAAAAGCATTAGTAATCTGCTGATCCACATTTCCTAAACATCTGCTATAATTTAGTCAAAACAGTGGTCAAATTGCAAAAAAATCCTCTTTCTATAATGTATCTGAAAACTTATTGTAACTTTTAGATGGACGATTAACACCAAAGATTGCAGTTTGACACCATTTTCTAAGCAATAATTCTTTCAGAAATTTATTCCTCCTAATAAGTGAGTTTAGATTATAACGGTAATGAATGTGATAGAACAAAAACAGATGACTGTAACATACACTTTTTTTTCTTCTATATTGCCCTCCAGAGACTCTTTTATATCCATATAATTTCCGCTCTGCAGACGAGATATAAGATAAAGAGGCAAGAAACACAAAATTCAGAGTACAGTATACAGATCCATATCAGATTTATGTTCAAATTATAATTCATGAGCAAACTTACCATAGGTGACTGGAATTTAACTGAATGTTGGTTATTAGAGGACTTAATGCCACTTTCCCTTACCTGGATGGTATCAAGAATCAAGGTAAGAGATATTGTGTGGGTACTAACACTTAGATGCTAATAATGTTTTTGCATATGCTTCTTGGCAAATGAAGAAAAGTCCAAAATGACAGAAAAGAAAGCAAAGATGATGGACTAGTATCCAGAATCATCAACATATTAGCAAAAATTTTCATATGCAAACAGCAACAACATTTCCATGCAGATAATGTCCGAGACATGACAGGCCTACCTCCTTTTCAGAAAAAAACCTACAAACTTCACACTCGAGTCGTGCTAAACGTGAAAACATCTGCTCTTGCAAAGTTGCAACTGCTGAGGCAATCTCATTTACTTTGCCAGAACTGGAGATTTTGATCAGCTGATCAGAAATGGAAGTGAGGCTTCCACCAATAAAAGCTTTGATATCATCTTCCCACTTCACCTGTCATCAGGTTTTGTGCTAGTTCATTGATCTTTGTAATTTCAAGAAAAATCACTAAATAAAAAATTAACTTACCATTTGTTGCATGGAGTTTTCAAGAAGACTTACTTTTTGCCTTATCCCTTCCACTGAAGAGAAACACCAATGAAGAGATTATACAGATCATGGTATCTATTTATGCAGTCAATTATGCACATGCAATAAAATTTTAGACCATGGGATGTGAATCAGAAATCCTGTGAGACTAACACTTATGTTAACAATTTTACCAAAAAATTAAAGTGAATATATATTTGTTCTGCTTGATTTAAACATTAGGAAAAGTCCACCACTGAGGCTTACCTTCTAATGATAATTCTTTTGCCGCTCTGTTTACTTGCATAACATCACTTTGAACAGAATCCAGGATCATTCCAACCCTATTGATTGAGCTTTCAATGTGTCGAAGTTTGTGTTCAAGTTCTTCACTGACCTGAACTGTTTGAGAGTTAGTAGTAAGATATTCCCTGCATAAATCCTGAGTTGCAATTACTTTATATGAATTTGCCTCTGAAATATGACTACTTATATAGTATTTAATAATTCTTTTGATTTAAACTTCAGTCATCAAAAACCATATTATATATCTATCGAACTTAACACTTTGCTTTGAATGTGGTAGCACATCAGTTGACAGAATTATACCTTAGGTATCACCAGAAACTTTGACATAAACAGTACTTAAGCAGCAACAGCTATGGATAAACCTAACTTACATCTATTATCTGACATCGAGGCTGCATTCCATCGGTGCATAACATTGCTAGATGCTCTTGTGAGCTGTAGCTGAGATTCTTCTCTTGTTAATGCGATCGGTGCCAATGACGAGATCTTTCTTAATGAGTTATCTTTTTCTTGAGAACCAAATCTCTATTGCAGGAAAAAAGAGACTTAGACACAAGACATAAAACAGCATATGAAAAATTATATATTAGAAAGCTCTTCATGTTAGGAGAGCAAAATATTCAAAATAATTATGCAGAAGCATAAGACCATTGTATAAGTTGTTGACCAAAGAGTTAGAACAGAATGATTTATTTTTAGTTAAAATGATTTCCTTTTCTTTTTTAATTCTTGATGAATTTTCAAATTCTACTGAGTTATATTTTCTTGAGAATCACATTTCTATCTCCAGATAAAAAAATTAAATTAACAACGATCAAGGACAGCATGTGACATATTTCTTCTAAGCATGCAACAAGTTAGAGATTATTTTCTCTAGATGCAAATTTCTAGCCCAGAAGGAATTTAACCAGAAGTAGACAGTAAACAACATGAGCCAATTATTTTCTCTTCCTTAAGAGAGAATTTTTTACTCTTTGACAGAAGTTAAACCAAAAGTAGACACCAGATGAAAATATATGTGACACGTTGAGGGTCTTTTTTTCTCAAAGGAATGATGCATGAACTATTAGATGCATAAAGATCAGTATATCCAGAATTGAAGCATAGCATCTTCACAGGAAGTAGATTATCATATAATATAATGAAGAGTGTTAAAAAAAATGAAAGCAACATTACGCACATCACCTGTCCTGAGAGGCAATGAGGAAGCCCACATCAGCTTATGTTGCACTTCTCACCACATGGGTAAGTGAAGCAGGAAATGCATAAGCAGATAGGAAGAAGTATTGCAAACAAAACAATTTATATGATCTTTTTGTCAGGCGAAGTATTCACTGAGCTGTTGTGTTATGATTGCTTTTTTAAAAAAACTTATAGAACGATTTCTGCTAAATTTTCAAAAATGTGACATGGTTATTGAACCCGATGCAGAACCATGATGGACCCCATTCTGCAACAAAGTCATACACTACGTTAAAACAAATTACACCTTTTAAATTGGCCATCAGCACCATGCTATCATAATTAATTATCTGTATCCAACTAACGTGGAGCCACTATAAAATAAAATCTAACAGATCCGCATAGCTATCCTGCATAAATGAGTGTATAATTATCTATGCATGATTTCCTGCACCAGATGTTGAACTTTTCGATAGGTTGTATCTGTTGCAAATTTATCAGACATCAGATGCATTAGAAAACTGCGACTATATCAATTGATTCAGCTAAGAATGATCAACTCATAAGCGGACGAGATGATTTAAGCTAGTTTTACAGATATGCACCTCAATTTCCATATTATCAGATTCAGTTTATATATCAATTGACAATGCTATCCCTTAGACATTAATCATGGATTTACTTGCAATCTTCCTCTGTTTTTAAGGTGTCAAATCTACTTATGATGTATCTACATGGAAACTTGACAATCAATTACATTTAAGATAACAGAGAAGCCGTTTGGCACTCGGGAGAAACACGAATGAGCCTACACCATTACATAGGGTAAGACGGTCTAAAGAAATTTGAGCACAGGAACGATCAAGCCAGATTGTCTATGACAACCGCTGATTCTTCAGATCCTGACCTAAATAAAAGGATTCTAGATTTAATCTACTCAAAAATAGAACTATAAAACGACATCCAGCAATCTAGGTAATAATCCTGCACATTGACGAGCAGAAATGGAGCTCAATACCTGATCGTTGACCAGAGGCTCCTCAAACGAGCTCTGGGAGAGCTGCGACAGAGAGATGCCCTGGGAGAACGACTGCTGCGATTGGGAACGGATCTGAGACGCCTGGCTCCTCCCCAGTCCATCGCCTCCAGAGCTCATTCCGCCCGATCTCCTAAGAAAGATCGACCAAATAAGTCATATAGAGGGGAAAAAATCAAGATCAAGCGAGGTAAAAGGGACAAAGAAAGAAAATGGTCTGAAAACCTCGGAGGAAGAACAGAGATGGAGCCCAGATCGCAGGCTTTGTTGATCCTTAGCTTCATCTGTTCCTCCTCGCGCGATCTGGATCGCCGTGAGCCCTAATCCTAGATCCGACCCACCGAAATCTACAAAGAGATCGATTTCAAGGACGAAGAACCCTAGAGCTTCGGGAGGTCGGCGAAGGCTTCGTTGTCTGTTAGAGAAAAGCGAGCACGAATGAACCGGTGGGAAGGCGGGTTGGTGAACTCTTATTTATAGCCGCGTGATTTGAATTTTTTTAGTTCGATTCCTAATTTGCCCTTCAAAGAGATTCTCGTTACAGTTATAGCCAATATTCCGTTGGTCGGAATCATATCAACCCCTTCTTATTTCCTTCAGAAAATTATTCTTTTAATACAATTTAATGTATAGTTAATCATGATTAGCACATTTTTTGTAGCAGCTCCATCCAGATTAATATCATTTTTAGAAAATATCAATTTTGATACTGTGATTATATATCAAATTTTAGCACCTGCAGTGGCTTTGTTATAATAATGTGGCTGGAAATAAAACATGCTCAATGTGAGCATGATTTCTTGTTCCTTAGGGTTCAAATATTTTTGAGAAATGCTTAACTAATTCTCTTAGAGTTTTATCTATACAAAACTCAATGAAGCGAGTTGAACTTTAATTTCAAGAAACATAAGAGCATTATTATTCTCCTTGATCATGTTCCTTATAGTTGTTTTGATGTGCATATAGATACTTAAAACATTTATAAATGAATAATACGTATGCAATAATTTGTAAGTAGTATCTAGGAATTCTCTAATTCAGAAGTAAAATTTATTATTTATATAATAATATATTAATCAATCCGGATATCTATTAATACGAAGGAACTGTACTTAAAAAATTTATATTGATATCTCTATAGTTTTATAAATAAAATAAATAATTCTATTTGTCCCAATGACGAAAAATATAACATATGTTTTGTTTCTAACGACTTTACCGATAAATTTACCGATAAAAAGATAATTTTAACTTTTTACCTATCATTTTTACATTGACCTATCACGCGATGTCACATATTATATTTTCTATCAATGTAATTGATAATGTTAGTGATAGGGATAATATTGGCACCCTCTAGCTCCCTTTACTATGTGGACTAACAAACAATAAAGACATAGGAACACACCTTAACTTCCCTATGTATCTCTTAGCTAACATCTTGAGTCATGCCTTTGTATCAATGATTGATAGTAAGCTGCTCTTATTAAGACCTCTGTTAGGACCCTTTTTATAAACTTTTGAATAATGTTTATTGAGTCTGGTTAGTCTAGTTGTTTATTGAGTCGGTTTGGTTCAGTTAGAGTCAAGTAGAGGTTTATTTAATATTTATTTATTATTAGAGTTCAAGTCCTGATGGACTTTGGGTGGAACTCTATAAATAGGGATGTAACTGCTTCTTTTTGGTAAGCTATGAAAAATACTATTCTGTCTTTGGACAAACCCTATGAGGCCGATCCCCTCGAAGCGATCAAGGAGGGCCGATCCCCTCGAAGCGATCAAGGAGGGCCGATCCCCTCGAAGCGATCAAGGAGGCCGATCCCCTCGAAGCGATCAA